TATGCAAAAAAATTGGTAAGAAAATAGGGTTTTTTAACCGTGTGTCGCGGTTTTTGTCGCAGTGGACTAGGATATTAGTGTATAATGTTTGTTCATTGCTTATATCTTGTACAAAAGAAGATTTAAATAAGTTACAGTTACAACAAAATAGGGTTATGAAATCATCCTGATCGAGATATACTCCTATAAAGAGTAAGTTAGACCAGCTAAATTGGCTAAATGTCGGGCAGTTCATTAGAAGAGCAACTTTAATGTTGGTTTATGGAATTGCGCACGATCACCAACCAGGTGATAAATTATGGTTGGAAAAACAGTCAAACTTTTATCAATATAATATACGTTCCAATCGGCACTTCAATGTTTCTATGGTAAAAACAACAAATTTACAGAAAACTCTACGATGGTGTTTGTAATTTCAATGAACTGCCGGATAATATTAAGGGCGCACCTTGCCCAAGAGTGTTCAAGAAGAGACTTACGGGGTATTTGCGAAGTTTATAGTTTTGGTTTATGTAAATTTTACTTGACCCAATTGCTTAAAGTCACCGAAAGAATTCGCCACATTTTGGCAACGCGTTCGAAAAACACGGCGTCTTTCACCTCGAGCCGAGGTTCACGGAAAGAAGAAAAAAATTCGCTAGAGTGACGTTAAACTGGACCCCATTAGCGTCCGCGTTGCCGGCGGCGGCCGATAAAAAGGAACGCGACAGGAAAATTACCGGCCGTCACACGCGCCCGCTAATCCTTATTATTAAATTGTCGGCCACGCGAGGCGCGAACGAATAGTGTGCTTTGCTTTCGTTCTGCCGCGTACGCGATGTGCATACGTTAACTTTCTAACTGTGCCGACCAATCAAAACGCGGCGACTTGTGCCGGTCGTGGCGCCAAATTTAAAAAGAATCGGGTTCCTAAATTTTCTTTTGTCCTATATTTAATGTTTTACGTATTTGTTTTAATATTTAATATGCTACTAAACATCAACAAATTTTAAACAAATGTACATAAAAATATAAGTATTAATCATCATCATTGAAAAGACTTTTTTGCATATGTGTTGTTCTGGTTGACTGAATATCGAAGTTGTTTTTAGATCTGATATTATAAGCATGTTTCATGCACCTTGGAGTTAAATATTCCTGTAAGTATGGGGGTAGCAATTGCTGTCGAATCTTGAAAATCAATAGAATGTTAGATATTTCAATGGTCTGGGACATAGAGAGCCAACAGGCATAAGACGCACAGGAGTGTATCGGGAACAAGATAAAATAGTTCGCATTGCTTTGTTTGGCGAGATTTGAAGTCTTTGTACGTCTGACTTGTTACAAGATATTAGAAGTGAATTGCAATAAGCGAAATGTCGATATACTATAGTATTGAAATACGAAGTCGAGTACAATGGCTAAGATTTTGAGGGACTCTTCTGAGAAAACCTATCTTCTTGCCAATCTTTGCTTTAAATGTTTTTTTTTTTTTAATTTAATCATGATTTTAAATTAATAAAATCAGGCTCCTATTTTAAAAAAAAAAAAATTATTCAGACCAACACAAAATGCACAACCTGAAAATATTGTCACAAATAAAAAGTAAAGCACAACTTAAGGTTAAGGTAATTAACGATAGCAAAATCGAATTATTCGCAGATGATACAATGTTATATATAGTTGGTAGTGACACAGATCAGATGAAACGTAGTATTAACCGTGATTTGAACCGAATATATGAATGGTTATGCAAACACAAACTTAATATTAACAATTCGATGTCTAAATTTTGTAATTTTGGGAGGAAACAAAAATTGAGTGCTGTCAATATAGAAAATATAATAAAATTAGTCATGTTAGACTCAGAGCGAACGCTACGACCGCATGTAATGAGATAATTTTCACAAAAAGTGTACGTAGAATAGGCCATAGTCTTTCCATGTACACCAAATACCTTTTATATAACAGCATTGCGGCATCTCATCTGAAATTTTGCCCCACACTCCTGTATAACTTACCGAATTATAAGATAAATGAGTTTCAAGTAATTCAAAATAGACCATTAAGATCGATCTTGAAGTGTAACAGATACCCCCCCGTAAACCTGATGTCAAATGTTGTTAATGTCATGACGTGACATGTAAAACTTTGTAAACAATTGTTTTTGTGTGTAGCGTCCCACGGTAATAAAGAAATATTATTATTACGAAAAAAAAAAACTGCCCTATGCTAGTTTCTTTTGATAAATAAAAAAAGTCGTGAATAAAAAAAAGATTTTAGATTTTTTTTTTAAATCAAAGATTGTCCAACACTGCGTCGCAAACATTTTTTTGGAAAACTGACTGAAAAGGTGACTTTTTATTAGCCAACCACTGTGCTTTTGAAAAATATAAAGTAAATCAAAAACGCCGTCACTTTTTAACAATCGACGTTGTGGAGCGGTGCACTCCATAGAGAAAATGATAATCGATAGGCGAACAAGTATCTTATCATTATCCTTAATTGTCGCTGGTACATCGTTAGCGCGGCGATTTGTTTAGCGATAAACGAGCAATTTGGAGCGACAGGTGGATTGGATGGCTGGATTATGTGCTCGAGGAGGTCGATTAAAAGGGGTTTTTGATATACAGGTGGCACGTCATATATCTTATTTGAAATATATTAACTTACGCTGCAGATCTTGCTATCAAAGCAGACTTGACCATTTTTAAACAATATGGCTGTTGTCCAGAAATCGAATGATAATAATTTTTAAACTGAAATATCTCAAAAACGACTGAATAAATTATATGTTTTTGAAATCAGGAAAAAAGATTTACGATTTAAGCTAATAATATATATTGCATTCCATTTTCAAAAAATGATGTTGCTGTCATTTGCTTACGGTAATGGAGCGAAAATCTTCAAACTTTAGTATTTACACTTTTTTTCCATCTTTCCAAATTAAGCCTGTAGGTGGGTGTCAAAATAATAACCCTTTGCTTCTACCGCCCAATTACAAAAGTCATCTTACTTTTTGAACGCACCTCGTAGACCGAACTGAAATATTTTCTTTATAGGATTCACCATAAGACATCGAGATCGGGATTCTGGATATCTCGTATATTCACAATACTCATAATAATAATAATAACTTGCCTTTATTGTATATTATTGTATATAAAGGGTGTTTTTTTTACGATGTATAGAACTTTAAGTTGGCATTACTGTTCAAGATGGCGACCGATTTAACAGCTGTCAAGTGATTTATTCTCAGTTTGGTTTGGCAATTCATCATGAATAGACTCACGCCTGAACAACGCTTGCAAATAGTGCAATTTTATTTCGAAAATAATGGTTGTGTGCGCAATCAGAGCAGTTAATTCGATTAACCATGGAACGTTTTCGCACCACGTTTACTCTTATTGATAACGGGCATCCCCAGAGACGCCGTACGGTGCGTACAGAAGAAGCTATTGCTGCTGGAGAGCGTAGCATTGAGGAAGACCCGAATGAGTCCATCCGCCATCGAGCACAGGAATTGGATCTGTGTCCGTCCACTTTATGGAAGATTTTGCGGAAGGATCTTGGTTTACGTGTTTAAAAATCCAACTCGTGCAAGAATTGAAGCCAAACGATCATCAAGTAAGCCGTAGATTCGTCGAATGGGCCCAAAACGAGATTGCCGTTGTTCCCGATTTTCATAAGCGAATTTTGTTTAGCGAAGAAACGCACTTCTGGTTGAATGGCTACGTTAACAAACAAAACTGCCGCATTTGGAGCGAAGCTTATCCTCAAGTGTATGTCGAAACACCGTTACATCCAGACAAAAATTCTTTAAACGTTGACTTGTAAGGGGTGTTTTTTTTTCGATGTATAGAACTTTAAGTTGCAATAAAACGACGATGGATTATTCGATTGACATGAATTTTATTTATCCGAAAGATAATCTTGTGGCATTACATTTTAAATATGACCGCCACGGCTGGCGCGGATGTAGTCCAATCTGGACGTCCAATTTTCGATGACTTTTTCCAACATTTGCGGCCGTATATCGACAGTAACACGGCGAATGTTGTCTTCCGAATAGTCAAGCGTTTGTGACTTATCCGCATAGACGAATGAATTTACATAGCCCCACAGAAAGTAGTCTAGCGGTGTTAAATCACAAGATCTTGGAGGCCAATTCGCAGGTCCAAAACGTGAAATTAGGCGGTCACCAAACGTGTCTTTCAATAAATCGATTGTGGCACGAGCTGTGTGACGTGTTGCGCCCTCTTGTTGAGACCACATGTTCTGGACATCATGGTTATTCAATTCAGGAATGAAAGAGTTAGTAATCATAGCTCTATACCGATCATCGTTTTTGAAGAAGCACGGACCAATGATTCCACCAGCCCATAAAGCGCACCAAACGGTCAGTTTTTCTGGATGTAACGGTGTTTCGACATACACTTGAGGATTAGCTTCGCCCCAAATGCGGCAGTTTTGTTTGTTGACGTAACCATTCAACCAGAAGTGCGCTTCATCGCTAAACAAAATTTGCTTATGAAAATCGGGAACAATGGCAATTTCGTTTTGGGCCGATTTGCCGAATCTACGCTTTACTTGATGATCGTTTGGCTTCAATTCTTGCACGACTTGGATTTTGTAAGCACGTAAACCAAGATCCTTCCGCAAAATCTTCCATAAAGTGGATGGACACAGATCCAATTCCTGTGCTCGATGGCGGATGGACTCATTCGAGTCTTTCTCAATACTACCGTGTTAGTGTTGTTGACTTTTACATTTGTTAGTGTTCACTACTGTGTTATTTATAAAATACGTTTTTTTTATACCGTTATACTTTTTACATTTTGTTTTTGTATTTTACCTTATATTGACAGGCTGCAATTGTATTATTATTGTACAATATGTGGTTAATAAAAATTCTTCTTCTTCTTCTTCTTCCTATATGCTTTCACTGTTTGAGTTTTGATTTGACATGAGCTAAGAGCATAAAAAAATGTTCAATTTTTCTCTACTCTGTTTTGTTCCAGGTGGGTTTGCCTTTGCGCATGGTGGCTCGCTAGGGCGGGACTGTCGTGGACCCCGGACAAAATGCGGAGTCTCGCGTCATTTTTGCACGTGTGCGGGTGGGGCTTCCCCGCCGTCCAGACCGTAGCGGCGCTCGTCCATCGCGACGTCGATTCCGACGAATTGACCGGTAAGTAAAACCAATTGCAAATTCTGACGTTGGACCCATAAGCCCTTGCGGCTTTCAACAAACAACATGGCCGCTGACAGATGTTTATATCGGCCATTTTTATGGCAGTATTTTCTCAAAACTTTTCTCGAATTCTCAGTTTGGTTTTCGCAATGCATTACCTACTCAAGACTGTTTAGTTTCCTTATATCATCAAATAGTCTCGAACGTGGATGGAAGATAAATAATTGCGGTATACGTTACGCCTGGATTGAGACGTTTTTGAAGAGTCGTGACCAGAGAGTTGTACTAAGAAGAACTCACCAGCGGTGTCCCACAGGGAAGCATACTGGGACCTTTATTATTTATAATATTTATTAATGATATGATGGCAATGTCATCTGGGAATCTGGAAGGTCTCACGTTCTTGGTCTTAACTTATAAACTTAATAGGATTGCCCAATCCCATAAGACATACGTTCGCCAAAATTATCGATCGCACGTGGTCGCCTGTGACGTAAGCGAAGTCCTCTAACGGTTTTTGTGTATTCCGTCAATGCATTCGAAGGCGTATTAAACCGTTGTATTTTTTGTGTTCTTTGAACAATTAAAATCATTTAAACTAGTGAGTAGTGCGCTTGTATTTGTGTTAATTGTATTTCTGTAAAAAAAAACTTGGGCAAGGCAGTGTTTTTAAGCTTTAACAAATACTTTAAAATTGTATGTGCTTGGGTGGCGAGAACTGAGAAAAACAGTATTTTTAACCTTAAACAAAGACCTAAAAGTTTCGTGTTCGTGCTGCTTATTTGCGGTGTTGTTAGTTAGGAGGTAAGCTTAAAGTATTACACATAATAATATAGGTAATGGTAAGAAATACATTTTTTTTACCTTTTTTAGTGGGATAAGTTACATGAAAAAATAGTTAAGTACGCCTGGAACGAGATGTGCCATGTATGGGTGCAATAACAACAATAACAAAAATGTTGGGGAAGTCTCGTGGTCACTCTTGTAGAGTCCTGTTCCCGAAATTAAATATTTTAACGTTTCCCTCTCTCTTCATATTAAATAGCGTAATTTACATAAAGAGTAATCCATGTAATTATTGCATGACCAGAATTGATGGAGATTACAATTTTAGAGCTAATCTAATCATAAGTTAGCCAAAGTAGCTAGCAGCCCTATGATTTTACCAATAAACAGATATTGCCTGTCCATTTATTTAAGCAAAAATTAAAGCTCATTTTAAATAAGAGTGTTTTTTATTCTATCGATGAACACTTTGATTGTAGTAATGATGATCTCTCAGTGTGATATACATTGTACGTTTGTACGTACGTATCTGTTTATATTTTAGTGTTCTGTTTTTTTTTTTTTTTTTACTTGTTGACATTATCCGGTACTTTTGTTACAAGTCAATGGAAATAAACATTATTATTATTATTAAAATATGTCGAAATCCTATTCAATTTTCAGGCAAAAAGGAAAGTGTGGAAAAGTAGTGCAGAATGCGTCAGCATAATTCTGTAATTAATTTGGCGTTTTTTTTTTCTTCAAGTCCTGTAGATACGATCTACATGTATTTTTTCAATTTTTAGTATTCATAAACTCGTAGGTTTAACCCCCATTGAAATAACTTTAAAATTGAATGTCAATAATTAAGGGGGGATTTCTGGCTCTATTTTAAAAAGAAACGTCTTAACTTTTGAGATACAAAGTGAAGATAGACAGATAGAGAAGAGATTTTCATTTTTTAAGGGAAAAAATCGAGAAATATTTTTTTTTAAATGATTGAATCAATGTCTGCCAAAATAGACAGGCGAAATTCCGTACGCCACTGGTGCATTTTAAAAAAAACATGTGGTACGCTAAATAATGATATATAGTATGTGTGCCAAATTTCGTTAAGATATATAAAGTGGTATTACAGATATTAAAAAAATATATATTTTTTCTATCCTGTTTGCAAAATGCCTAATTATACACGGATCTAGCGTGCGGGAAGCGTCATTTTACCGCGTCAGTTTCGTTTCCCCCGAATCTGAGAACCTTCGGACATTTCCAGGATATTTCTCGAGATGGTAACAAACGCACGGGTTCGGGAGCAGTCGGATGTTTCCGTAGATATTTCCCACCCTTTGAATTTTGACGTTTGTCAATTCTGATTGTCGTGTCACTGAATGTATTCGTGTTGTTTTGCAAAATTGTACGCAAAAAGTAATACACAGAAAAATGTTATGCAATATATCATACGATTTAAGCTATAAGCCAAAAACGTTTAAGAATAATTTTGTAGCTTTCCGTTGTCAATATTCGTGCCTGCTCCTCGGCAGTCGTGTTGTTTTTTTGCGTTCCAGCTGTCGCCGCCGCCCGCGTTCTTCTTTTTTTTTTTTCGCAACCGAGAGCGCATCGCATGCAAATTTCGTCGGGACTCGCGCGGTCTGCGGATTTTTGTCACGGAAAACAATGGCCCGTTGTAAATTTTACACGAGTCCCGATCTAGACGGCCGCGATCCATTGAAACGTCACCGGGCAGAAAACGAAACCAGGGGCGATAAAAATCTAAGGCGGCGCCCATCCGTCCAATTAAGGGCCTTGAAAACATCGAGACTACGCTCAGTATATTACTGCGTGCAATGATTTAATTGATTTGTAACGACCATCCAATCCAGCGATCACCCTACGAACCACAAAATCACACTACAATTCTTCTTCTTTTCTTTTGACAAACAGTGAGGCAAGACAAATATGGCCATTCGCCGATTACCGACGCCGTCGAGGATTTTTCTCTTTTGGTCACAGAATATACCAACCGTTCTATTCAAAATAAACTGTGAGGTTCCCTGTATAAAAACCCGCAGAGTAGTGAATATACCCCGGGTCCAGAGAGGCAAACTTTATGTGGTGTCGTTCGTCGAATGTTGACCGTTTCCGCAACGAACCCGATGAACGCGAACCGACATAAAATTCACGGCCGCCTTTGCGTGCGCGCTTTCGCGAAGCATTTTAATTCGAAACGGATAAGTAATGGTTCCAGGCGGGCGGCGGGCAATTTAAAACGTGATTAATGTTAACGAGGAGAGGTCGAAACGCCGCGAGTTTCAATTTAAACGCGGCAGTCCGACGTTTCCAACGCCATCTCGCGTTTAATTTAGAAGGTTCGCATATTTTTTTCAGGCACGTGCTACGTGGGCAACAAGAACCTGACGACGCTCCTCTACCTCGTCCTGATGCCGTACTTTTTCTATTTCTTCGTCGGCGTCGTCCTCCTCGCCATCGGCTGGACCTTGATCCTTTACAAGCCGAAAAATGGCGGCGGCACGGCTTCCGCCCCCCTTACCCAGACCGCCCCGCGCAAAGAGAGGGACTTTCTGGGCGCGTTGTGCGCCCTATACGCGATCCCAACTTTCTGCGTCATAGCCAGCTACCATTACGAGTACAGCAACAGGTAATCAAGTAAATTCGAGAAATTGACAGAAAACACGCGACACATAACCTCATTTTTATCGAAAATTGGGCACAATATGACTATATTCCGACACATATATAAAACCAAGTAGTAATAGACTTTTGATTACAGGTATAGGATTATAAACTTAAATTTAACAACGGAGAAGCATTAAAGTCCAATTGGTCATTAAGTAATAAATTCGAATATCTCATTTTGTTAATCTCCATAGCTTCTAAAAAATTTAGTTTTTTTCTTTTTGAATGATTATGTAAAATATGAAAATTATCGTCAAAGTTGTGCTTTTCTGAATTTAAAAGAATGGCATGGTTAGAATCCGAACTTTATGACTTTAATGACAAGGATAAATACCAACTAATAATCATAAACCCTCAACCTCCAAAGTTATATTCTTTAATTAAATAACACAAACAGCATATGTCAATAAGGCCTGTAGTTCCTTTTTAACGTCAATTAAATTTTCAACGAGATTAATTAAACTTTTAGAATATATTATATAGATATAGATTTTTGATTACAGGTATATGGTTATAAATTTAAATTTAACAACGGAGACACATTTAAATCCAATTCGTAATTAACCCATATAGAAGAAAGGGAGATCTGAATCATAGCCTTTCATTTACAATCAATTTTTAATAATAGGGGGACCCATTTTTTACAGTTTTTTTGAATTTGCGGCGCACCCTGTATATTTTTGAAAAATTGTCAAGAATTTTTTTAGTCTCGTAAACAGTTTTTGCAAAATGTTTTTTGTAGATCCTTGCATGCGCGATATTTTATTTTTTTAGGATACTTCCCGGACCCCCAGCCCCCCATTTTCAATAGGTTCCGTCACGGGACAAAGCTGCATATATGTGCCATATTTAAAGTCGATTACTTCAAATTTCGGACACCTATCGTGTTTCATAGCAAGGTCCAAAAAACAGTCGAAGATCGCGAAAAAAAGATGGAAACCGGCGTCGGATCAGGGCCATTTCTTATAAGCTTATGTGCCTCGTGGAGGGTTAAAAAGGAAGCAAATTTCAATTTTGTAGCTCCAACTTTTCGAAAGTTATTCAGGAAAAACCAAAAGACGAAATTTCCTCTGTGATTATTTCTGTACCAACCAAATTGAATAAATTGTTACTTTGCATTAATATATTTATGTACATGTTTCAAGAATTGCTCGGCGAAAAAGACTGAAAACATTCCGCTTGTTAGTGTAGAAAGGTAAGGGGCTTCTGTTTTGGAGTAATAAACAGTAGGCGAAGAAAAGTACTATATTTCTGGTCCGAGTATACAAGCGTTCCATTTTTTTTTATCTTTGCTTTTGAAAAATTTCGTTCGCAGGGAGGACTGGTTGTCGGGCGTGAAGAAGCCGGTCCTGTGGGCGCTGCTGCTGCGCCATTTCATGTCGCTTTTCGTGGGCATCAGTTCGATATTCTGGATATGGTCGGCCAAGTCAGCGCAGGCGTGGAAATCGGCGCTGAGACGGCTCGGACCGCGGAAACGGCCGAGCAAACCCGCGCAGGTGCTCTGCTACCCTCTCGCGCATGCGCAACCGCCGAGACAACCGTGCCGACCGGTCCACGCCCACCGGAAGGTGCCTAGGTGTCACCACCTGCGTTCCGGAAGTGAAACCATCATCTAGACTAGCGGCGATCGGTCGAAACGTCGCGAACCTTGTGAGGTCCCTCCCTGGGGGGAGGGCCGCCGCGTAACGTATTTTTTTTGTACTTAAAGGATCACAGGAGAGGGTGTCAGAGACTCGCGTGCCCGTAGGGACCCCGCGCAGTTCAAATTAGGTTAAGAATTTTTAATTTCTGTGCCGGGTGTCTCTCGCGTAAGCTACCAAGAAATTTTAAATACGACCGGGAAATTTTCAGGTTTTTTTCAATTTTGGACATATTTTAATGCGTTTTTTGATTAAAAACAAGCATATTACGAAAAGCTCGCGAAATAGACATTAGGCTGACTACTAAATTTTGTAAAAGGAATACAATCGAAACTCTATGTAGCAAAATTGAAGGGACTCGTTATAAATAAGTAATTTTTTATTACTTTATATACATATTTACCTGCGGCAAATAAGGCCCAGTTAATAAGAAATTACATTATTTGGCAAACACAGACAAAACCAAATAACGAAATACAAATATTATCTTAATTCAGACTCGCATAAATGAAACTAAAAGTATGGTCTGTTCATAGATATAAGAAAGTGACCAATTGCTTTTGAACGGATTATCCAAGGGTGGTCATTAACATACAATGCAACAAGATTATTATTATTAATTAAGGTAATTACCTTTTTAATAATTATTAATTAATAATAATAATCTTGTTGTATTGTATGTTAACGACCACCTTTGCATAATCCGTTCAAAAGCATTTGGTCAATTTCTCATATCTATGAGCAGACCATACACGTTCAGTCTCAAAGGCATATGAAACATTTTACACAAAAAACTGTCATTGGGCTTTCTTATCCCAACATTCGGTTAATAAAGCCCACAAAAAAATTAGGCCCACCTAAAACAAGGCTAAAATGGGTAGTGTACATTTAGTTATTTTTTATATAAACAGTTATAAATCTTAAAATGCCAAGGTTGCATAAAACATACGTTTTCGAAATAAATAAAACAACAAAATAACGCAAATTAAACTCTTTGCGAGAAAAAATAAGCAGATATGGTCGTCCTTGTCGTGTTTTGTGAAGACAACCAAGTGCCACAAGACACACAGCTTCGTATATCTAATTGTTCTGATTTGTTACACGCAAAGCAATACCGTGACCCCTTTTCTTGGACATCATTGGATGAATTGCTTTTTATGTTTTTTTTTTGATATTATAGGTCTGGATTTTGCAAATATTTTCAATAACAATCTACATAACCTTAAATATTTGCTAAGCTGAGCAGAAATCAAATAGATCCGTCTAATGTAAGTTACGTTTGTGTTCCGTATTCAACATAAAATTCCATGATTGATGTGGATACCAAGAAAATTGGATCTCCCAAAATTGGATAATCTAAAAATTTTCATAAACACAAAGGACTTTTATTTAAATTTTCTCGACAACTATTACAGAATATATGGGTCGGCTTATGTGAAACACCCTGTACGTTTCCGCGTTTTATTTTCGGGGCTCGTCGGGCTGCACGCGTCGCATCGAATCTTTTTTCCGTTTAGTGCCATTGTTATAGGTTAATTTCGATGTGTTTTTGCTTCGAAGTTTACGTTTTAGTTCCGCGTGCGGCGATTTATATATAGTTTTGTTTTGTGATATATGTGTTAGCCTTTAAGGTTGATCTGTAAATAAAAAACTTTTACGTACCCATCTGTGTGCTTCGCATTACTTAACCTCAACCTTTCCACCTTAAAGTCCTCTAAATAGTTACCGTTTGAGTATAAATGAAATTGTAGGGGCGTTCGTCTTGCAGTAAGCACCAGCTGCATCAGTTTCCCGTTGCATTGCATTGCAACATTAAACTCCAATTGAACGACATAACCACAATTTTTGATATGAGGGCTTACTTGGCGAGGAATCTATAAAAAATGCTTATGCTGATAAAATTGAAGCAGCTATTAAAAAAAATGGAGAAAATCCATTCAACGTGAGATTTAGAACCTTTAAAAAATCACCTGCCGGCATTCAACAACCAATTTGGCCGATAAAATATCGTCAATAAATTTTCATGCGGCATTTCTGAAAATATGTCCAAATGCCAATTAATCATCAGACAAAAAGGAATTAACTACTAACATTTGACTATCTGATTTTGCCGCAATCAGTGTGGTTCTTCAAATATAATGCTGTGGTTACGAGACAGAATTAACGCCTGATCACAGACTATAGAGGAGCCAAATGTCTATCCAACCGGTGGACTTAGCTCTCGAAGTGAAGTGAAAAAAAAACTTTAAAATATACATTTCAAATGTTACATTTACATCATATATTATCATGGCAAACGCTTCAACTGAGGATGCTCTCATTAGAAACACCAACCAACCATTGTTAACTGAGGTGCGTGGTTGGATTATAGGAACCAATGAAAAAAAAAAAAGATTTTATTATGATTATTTATTTATCTGCAACTTTCTCCTTGGTTCCATCCTCGACATTCGCGATTTCGCTAGTGCCAGATTTCAACGTAAAAACTACCGACAAATTTATCAGAACTGGGTTTCCGTCCCTCTCCAAATGTCTAATCCAAGACAGAAGTGAATCTTTACTGGAAGTACCGGTCGCGCACAACGCGTACACAACACCGTCCTCTTGTTCGTGAACACTAGGCACCACTTTCAAGTATGTCTGTTGAATGGGAGGGCTAAAATTAAACACGGAGGTACTTATTTTGCTCACGTCATCGGTATCGACCAAATCGTCCGATACGGGCCTAGCGTTGCCACGTAAAATAAAATAGTTGATCGGGTTGCCCTTGATCCACACGGTGAACGCACCCTCCACAAACACCGGGTCCTCAGGTTTGTTCTCCCCGAGCAATCGCTTCTGAGTTTTGCTTTGGGCGCTTATTATCCAAGTGTCATCTATCGAGTCTTTTATGTCGGCCGATTGATAAACATTCACCCTATTGGTGATGTCGACACCGCTGATCCGTTCAATAGCCAACCGCGCTAACTCGAATGTGTCTTTCGGTAAAGGTTCTGGCAATGGAAATGGCGAGAGGTTTTTAAACTTTGGCATCCAGTACATCATTCTCCAATATCTGCGCAGCGGGTACCCGTATTGACCGAATATACTAATTAACTGAGTTTCCATGTCGCTATCGGGAATAACCCCGTTCTCTTCCATTTGAGACAAAACATCAATTACACACTGTTGCTGTTTCGGATAATGCATAAATTCGGCTTGGATAATATTTTTTGCTACCAATTTGCCTTTCGGCAATACGTCTATCAATGACTTATACACTTCTAAATCTTTATGCACCCCAAATTCTTCCATGTTTTTCAACGCGGCGTAAATGAATTCGACGTGTCCCCTGCGGTATACATGCTCGCGGTTAACGTAGATCCTTATCATATCCAAATAAGTGTTCTTGTTTTTTTCTCGAACGCTTTCAAACATGTCTTGTACAACTAAACTCTTGTCGTCGGCCTTTTCTAAATATCCGACGGACGTGTGGACGTATTGAGCAGCTCCGGAAAATACATTGGCGCTTTGGGTTCTACATTTACTTAAAATTACGACACATCTCAAAAGCTTCCTTAAAATCATTTTAATAGTATCGGAAACTGTTAAATTAATTCATAACTTTTTACATTTTATAAGCTTATAAAATGGGGTTAAACTTCATAACATAACCACAAATTGCGGGATAATTAAATATGGCCTATATCTTTTTCCGTTCAAGCAGTCGCGGTTACCGCAAGTGTTATTAATGCGTTAATTAATATAACCATTAACATTATTTACAAATAACAATAAGAATGGCGTATAAAGTCAGAAACGGACGTGAGTCGTTTTTTTTGCAATTTCGATTCTCTTGTGTATGATTTTGGTTGTGAAGTATTTAATTAGATGAATAGTTAGCTATTATGATATGGAATTGAGTCAATAAAAGTTTGCTCGTAATAATTAATCTTTGAACGAAATGGAAATGTCCAGATTAACAAATTCTAACATGAGTCTGTGATGCACAACGGGATAAGTGATAAGAAGTATTCTGTGATTATTCTATAACCATTTATTGGGGTGCGTAGTGTATTTGTTCTTTGGTTACGTCAAACACAAGTGAAATGCAGCCAGAGGTTTAAAATTAAGTGAATATTATTGTTTGTGTGATAATTCGATGCAATTGGCGTTTTTATAAAACAAGTCTGAATAAAGGTAAAGGGCGGCAGATTATGTTTTCTTTTATAATTCTTTGAATTATGTTCGTATACTATTGAAAAGATTCTTCTTGACAACTGTGTAACGGTGTACCGTATTTATTTCGTGTTTTTCCCATTACCTTTTTTTAATTAGTATTCCGTTTCCTCGTACTGAAAACCGACCCGTTTCCCGTAAGAAATACAAAAATCACAAACCATCCATATATTTAGCATCGATTTTTTATGTATGTCGGCCATGTTGTGAAAAGTATGTGACTGTGGCGGCAAATTTAAAAATATTCCGTATACAAAGTCACCTTAATCGGTACTTTTACGGTAAGTTACCAGGTATTTCAGCATTCAAACATCGCCGAGGATCGAAAATAAAGTATCTGATTAAAAATCCTTTTCAGTGTTTGAAGGGGAAGCTTTCCATTGCGATTGCTTAAAATGGAACCAGCTGCCCCCGGGACCGAAGACGATAACCCTTTCGATTACGGATCGTTGAAAAAGCAGGTAATTTACGTATGAACGTTCGCGTTGTACCGTTCATCATAATGGTGCGTTAAGATTTCCAGGATCAAGGTAAGTATTTGATTATGAAGTATCGGGTTCTAACATTTCACCCAAAGTGTAGATATCGTGTGACATAAAGTAGTGAGTTTAAAGAGATCAGTGTCACCAAAGTATTATGACACGATTATATGAGGGGCACAGGTCCAGTTCGGTTTTCACCTCAAACGCAATCTTTTCGGGTAGGGGAGAGCCGGCAGTTTCCTTTCTTTCAGACCGCGATGTGGATTTGGGTTGTATTGCTTTCAGTACAACTCGACGCAATGTTTTTTTAGCACGTCCTATTATAATTTTTAACAGTTGTTAAAAATTTAGTTTGTTTCATCCCTTCTATTCCTCCGCTTCCCTGAAATATTTTGGGGTTAGGTTTGTCGGTTTGTAAAATTGCCTTTTTGCTGTCTTAACTGATATTTTGTTTGTCGGTTACAATTTACTCATGCTTTTTTAAGTGCTTATTATTTACTTACCACGAAGTGCAGGTATTTCATATTTAGGTAATATCCTTAGTTTTTTATTCAAACAAAGGGAACTCAAAACCACAGAAATGGCGTCGGCCGTTCAAGACGCTTTCGAATGTTTCAGGAAACGGAACAGGAACGTTTGCTGAACCAAAAGGCGATACTGAAAAATGGCCAGTATGATAGCATCTTCGAGCTCAGCTACGTCAACGGCGTCGAACGTTGGTTCTGCAAGATGTGCGAGTGCCCCATCATGGGCAGGGTTTATCAGCATGAACTCGGCCGACGACACACCACCGTCATGCAAATCACCAATCGCCACCTGCAAAAGAAAGACGTCGCGGAAAAAATTGACGACAGCGTCCATATTGAAATCGCCCCAGGCGAACCGGCGCCCCCCGGCTTTGAGGGCGAAGTGGACAATAGGCGGGCGCTCATTCAAGTAGGTTGCAAACTTAGCGTAAAAGTATGCGCCAAAACAACAGAAAAGTAACCTAAAAATATATATCAGTCGTTAGTCTGTGGTGGTTTGTTGACTCTGGCTCAATAACGGACCATTACAATCGGATTTATTGCCTTTGCATTGTTTGTCTGTGGTTTGATTGTCAGTCTGTTCCGTTATGAAATTGAACGTTAGCGATCTAATTTTTGTGATCTGTGGTTTTCAGTCACGAAATTTATTGATCCATTGCCCAACGGACCATAGGAAATCGCATGTAAATTTTTAGGTGCCCAACTATTGACTCCACTGTTAATTTCGTAGCAAAGTTGTAAGTCATTGAATTAAGTATAATGGCAAAATTGCAAAAGGTGAATACAACAAACATCAACGAATATTTTCCATGAAGATATTTTCCAAAGTTGAGGTCAAGCGTGCTATTGACTTTTAATAAAGGTTGGTTTACAATAAAGACGTGCACATTTGGTTTCACACGTTCAATAAACATTGTTTTGTAAGTAAATGTTGAGACAACCCTTCATTAACATTTAAACAATATCTTAAGTGATGATAAAATTGATTTCTAACATTCCTTAGTTGATATTGTGAAATCCTGTCACATTTTAAGTGACCCCATTCGTCGCGAGGTCAGGTGACCTGGGTGGCCAAAGGATTCGGCACCTTGGGCCAATAATTTGGCCGTTAGAAGTATTTACCAAATACTCCCTGAGAACAACTTCTTCTAGTGTGGGTTCAATTTGATTTTGCAGTAAGTCCAAATGAAGTTATAGTTGATAAAAATGTCTCAATAATATGATGTCCGCAAATTCCCGCTACGATATTTATTTTTTCAACATATCGCTTGGTTTTATCAGTGAAACAAATATTTTTTTAAAAATCCCTACTTTTATTTGCTTTTTCCATCATTTCGAAACAAAATGCTACATTTCTTTCTTGATCGCCTTCCAGGAGCTCATCATTTTGTTTTCTTCCACAGGCAGTAAAATGTTCAAATCTCTATTGTCCATCTCTTCTGCTGTATTATCGATATTTCCAGCTGAACATTTACAGTTATTTATTACGGTGCCTTTGATCTTTTAATAGTTTTAGCAGGAAAATAAACTGAAAACATTTCGGACACTGCTGTAAGACTGCTTCCTGCGTAATGGCACTTCATTACGGTTATTTTCTCTTCAACTGGTTTGAACATATTTAGCTTTAATTAAAGCGTGTTTAATAACGCATAACAATCACAAATAATATCATTGTCACGAATTTGATTTATTATCTAAACTATAAAATTTTTGTAGTTTTCCCATTAAATTTAATTCAGTAACTCAATTAAACACTCGCTCCGCTCGTGTCAAATAAACCCGTGGGTCAAATGCCGTTTTTCTACTCCCGTCTGTAAAATACCTAATTACCCTCCGATCTAGCGTGCGGGAAGCGTCACTTTTACACGTCAGTTTCGTTTCCCACGAACCCGAGCCGCTTCGAATATTTCCGGGATTTTACCGCATGGATTTGGGAGCAATCGGATGTTTTCCGAGATATTTCCCACATTTGTTAATTCTGACGGTCATTCGTATTGTTTTGCGAAAGTGTAGCCAAAAACTAACGGTCGTGCAACATATGCAACACGTTGTTGCATAATATACTATTACTGCTTTGCTATAAAATATACAGAGGAGGCAATATTTAGCCACCTAAAAATTTCTTAGTTTCCTTTCGGAAATGCAACACTTTTGCCTCAATTTACGACGGCGCGTGTCTCTTTTAAGGAACGCCTCGACGGTTTCAAAGTGGGCCCCCTTGTCGCCCTCGAATACCTGATCGAAATGCAAGACATCGACCCCAGCAGGGAACCCCTCTACTTGTGCCTGTTGTGCGACAAACGGGGCGACCCCCGTACCGTCCTCACCCACCTGGCGAGTTACAATCACATTTCCCAAGTATAAGCCGCGTCTCCGTCCCCTATTTCGCTCATAACCTCACTTTTCAGTACCTGCAGAAACATTTCCCGACTTGCTATCGCGCCCTCGCCCCTTACATGACTAAACAGTACAAACGCAACTGGCAAATAGCGTTGCAGAAAATCGCCGAAGCGATCGAGGTGAAGTACGGCCGCCTGAGGCCGTTTTCCATCGAGAAGGACAAGTTCGAGCAGGAACGCATGAACTTTATCCAGCTGATCAATCGGGGCAAGCATTTTTCCGAGCTGTCCGGTACCACTTTCATAGAACTCGTCGTTCACGACGAACTGACCAAGGTTCTCGAAGGTAACGTATAGTCTTTTCATAAATATAATGGAAATTACACTGTCAAAGTTATAATTTTGAAGCTTTATGGAAATTTTGAAATTCGCTATCTTAAATAATTTTCACTTGGTCTTTGATACGCGTGAGTGCAATGAGTCGTTGCCGTCCTTGACGATCACAGCGTTGCCGGATCGACCGGTATAGTCGGTTCGTAAATATATCATATCAGTTGAATTGTTTAATTTATTAAATTATCTTTTGCGTCGTTTGGCACAATTTTGTTGCGGTCCGCAGAGAAACCGGAGACGAAACCTGCTGCTACGGACTGGGCGGGCAGGTCGTTCATCGAGAAGCCGCCCCAGAAACGCGATCCCTCGCCCCCCGTGGTCGCCAGGCCGGTAAGGAAAATCAAACCGGCGACGGGGGACAAGCCGGCGACGAAACCGCCCCCCGCAACCGCCCGGCGGCGGTCGCTGTCGAGCGTTTCGAGCGTGTCGAGCGACGAAGAAACGACCAAGAACGGCCGGGGTCCGCCGAAGAACCTGCAGGGCGGCCAACCTTCGAGGAGGATGCCCTACGGAAGGGAGAGGTGAGTCAAATAATATTCAATTCGAACGATTCATTAAAATATTAATAAATAGCCGGCGTATAATAAAAAATAAACTTTCGAAACGTCTCAAGGCTGCCGATTTTGTCTAACGTTCGACGGAATTGGGATTTTTTACTATTTTTCAAAATTGCTTGGATAATTATTATCGAAAATTTCATCATTAAGTAATATCCGTATAATCTGTGTAACCATAATGCTACTTACAAAATTTCTGGATCATCGTGTTGGCTTGTTCAGAGCTTGACCAAAACTTGCGCGCATTCTACCAGCTTATATATTGTTTGAGTAAGGCGGAGCTAAAAGAGCGACCAATATGGGACTCACGCCCCCTCGTTTAGCTCCGCCCCTATCAAACAATATATAAGCAGGTATGGTCTGTTCATAGATATAAGACAGTGACCAATTGCTTTTGAATGGGATTATCCAAGGGCGATCATTAACATACAATGCAACATCAATGTAATGGACAATGCAAGTCATCACAGTAGACGACAGTTGCCTAGAACCCTTTCCTCATGTGACATTTATTTTCACGAAGATTCCACAAAGCTTGAACCTACAAAAGGGATACGTCTGTGATAATTATGCAAATGACAAATGTATTAAAGAAATTAAAAAAGAAATGAAGGAAAGGAAGGGTATGAAGGTTTTGATGCAAATTGAGGGATTAACTTATAGTTTTGCCACAATATCCGATGATTTTGAGAGAATAACCGTAAAAATTGGTTTAACGTTAGGTATTATTAATCACTTAAAATATAAGATTTTTATAATGACACTAGCCTGTAACCCGAGAAAAGCAGCGGAATGACGTTACGATCATTCCCGCGCGTTGGGTGTCGTTTAACAACTCGAATCGTTTATTGCAACTTAAATATTGGGTTTAAACTCTTGATATTTGGGACGCGTTATTTCTGTACATAAAAAAAAAAACGTATTAAAAAAATTAAAAAAAAACAAGTTCCCTATTCGTCACGTAAGCGGTTATTTCAGGAACTACAGGCGGCGATCGCCGGTGCCGCCCGCGCGCCGCAGACCGTCCCCGCCCCCGCGCAGGTCCCCCTCGCCCCGCGGCAAACTGCCCTGGGAGAAGGGCAATTACGGCGGCAAGGGCGACTGCGGCAAGCCGCAGCAGCAGCAGCAGCAACAGTCGGCGCCCCCTCGCGGCGGCCGCGAAAAGGAACGTCAAGAGAAGATCGAGGAGTTGAAGCGGCTGTCGAAAGCGATCGAGACGGACATGGAGCGGACGCTGAAAAACCACGAACGGAACCCGGAGAAGCACCCGCGCTACAACGACGAGTGGAAAAAGTTCTGGAACCGGCGCTACAAGGAGCTGCAGGCGCAGGGCAAGGACGCGGCCAAGCACGACTTCAAACCCGAGTGGATCGACTTCTGGGGCAAGAAGATGCTCGAGATGCACCGGGACGAGCTGAAGGCGCGGAAAGACGGCCTGCGGAAGCGTCTCGGCTTGCCCGACGAAGTCGCTCCGGTCAGTTTCCGCATCGGGGGCGGGACGAAAGGCGCCGCCAAGCCGACCCTACCGATGGCGGCTCGACCCGATAACGATCCCGAGGTGATCGTGATCGACGACAAGGATGACGACAAGAAACGCGCGAGGCCGAGCAGCCCGTGGGAGAGGGAATCGCCGCCTCCCAAGATGGCCGTCAAAGCGTCCAAGCGCAGCGTCACGCCTCCTGCGAGGCGGAGATCGAGGTCGAGGTCGCGGGACAGTAGACGGTCGTCGCATAGGGGGCGCTCGAGGTCGCCGCCGCTGTCGTCGTCCGAGAAGAGGCGATCTAGGGAGAGGTCGCGGGACTCTTACAGGAGCGGCGGTCGCGAAAGGGGGCGGTACTCGCGGGAGAGGAGCTGGGAACGCGAGAAGAAGTACCGCGAGAGCTCGTACGAGAGGGACCTGCGCGGCAGGGAGAGGGTGCGGACCGTCGCAGACCTGCCGTGGGAGAGGGAGAAAGGTGAGTGAACTTCTTACGGTGAATTTGCTCGAAATCAACAGCGAAAACCAATTATTTGCCCCAGAAAAGGGGGTTTTAAGTAAATAATTGCTTTTCTAAGGTAGATTTCGGTACAATAAGACTCGAAAAAGCCGATTTTGACTGGGAAAGTGGGTTATCTACAGTTTTAATGTAGATTTCGGCCCGGTAAGTTATGAAAATGCCTGTTTTGGCTACAATCTGCTGCAAATCAAGCGCAAAAACCAACGCGGTTATTTTTTTTTTAATAATTCCCGACCCCCCAACCCCCTCCAATTTCAGTAGGTTCCGTTACGGGACCAAACGCTATTTGCCTGAAAAATTTGAAGTCGGTAGCTTCAAATTATCGTGTTCCATAACAATGTTCAAAAAAGAGGCGAAAATTAAAAAAAAATAATGGATGCCGGGGTCCTATCACGACCATTTTTTGCTGGCCTGTGTGTTTCATGGGCAGCTTAAAAGGAGACAAATTTGAAGACGTAGTGGCAAACCGTTCGAAAGTTATAACCAATTAATGTCCCGTCTACAAAGGTGTGGAGAACAGAGAACAGAGGAACGGACAAACAGAAAATGAAACTGAAAAATGAAAACTTTTTTTTGCACACTGACACTGATTCTATCGGTACCAATGGCAACGCTGTACGAATGCTGGTTAAGGAATTTTACTGCGGGTTAATAGGTTTTGAGAAAATATTTTTTTTCTGAAAATCAAAATAACCGAAAAAAAAGTTTCAAAAATAAAAAAAAAACTTTTCAACAGTTTAAATGTGGGTGTGGACTTCTATCTCTGTGATAAATTTGAAGTCTATAGCTGCAAATTTAAGACATCCGCCCCATTTCTAATTATGGCACGGAATATCTTAAACACCCTGTACAATAAGTTAAGCAAGAGACTACTGAAGCACAGCCTTAAGGAGACCCCAAGCTTTTTGCGAATACCGGACACACCCTGTAGATTTTAAAAATTATCAAGAATAAAGATTTATAGCATTGGATCTCGCGGATCTTCTGCAGAAACATATTTTTCGATTCGGTAAACGATTTTCGACAAACGATTTTTAAATTTTTAAAAATACTTGCCGATCCCCCGGCCCCCCAATTTCAATAGGTTCGGTTGGGGGACTAAACCCTATATTTGTGCCAATTTTGAAATCGACAGCTGCAAATCTCGGACACAAAACAGACGAAAATCGCAAAACTTCAGCTCCGTCGATCAAACCGCTAGAAGAATAAAAAATCCCGTTTCCCCAGACAGGATGATGTACCCGCACGGCGTCATCCTCCCCGAATACGGCGAATACTACGGCCCGCCGCCCGGGGTAATGATGATGCGCGACATCACCCGCAAACCGGTCATGATGGCGCCGGGGGTCCACGGAGCCGACGTCGACGACGACGACGACGGCGAGGTCAACCTCGTTTCCGTCCTCCGCCTCCTGACCGCTCTGGAGGAACGACTCGGCTCGCTGGGTCCCAAAATCATCGACCTGCTCGCCCAGGCCCTCGCCCTCGAGAAAAAAGAGGCGAACAGTAGCGAAACGTTGCTCGACAACGAGATCAACTGCGTCATGTTCGAGACGGTCAAGGAGAAACTCAAAGGGCAATTGCTCGCCGGCCTCGTCGACCCCATCCAAGAGCGGGCGTTCAAAAAGGCCATCCAGAAGACGGCGAATCTGGTGCACGTCTCGGAGCAGCGGCGCAGGCAACGGGACCACCTGAAGCCCCAAAAGGAGAAGACTCCGGTGGTGGTGCCCGGAGTGGGCAAGGTGGACAAGGCGGCGATCGCTAAACAAGTGGCGAACGCTCTAGTCGCCCAAGGCAAGACTGACGTCACGCAGGCGGAACTCGAGCAGCTGATCAACGCGGTGGTGGGCATGGCGGAGGCGTCGCGTACTTCGAGCCGCCCGGTGACGACGGCCAGTTTCTTGGACGGCCTAGCGGCCGCCAGAGCGACGTCCGACATCAAGGAGGCGGAGAAGAGCGAGTCGCCCGGCCGGCCGCTAGGGGGCGCGATGGAGAATCTATCCGACTCCGACCTGCAGACGCTCCTGCAAAACTTCAAGGACCTGTCCACCGAGGAACAGATGAACCTCATCAATTACCTGAAGAAGTTGGAAATCGACGATCCGGAACGCGTCGAGAGGTACGCCTTTTTTGGGTTCTCTGGTTGTACTTTTATTGGGTACCGCGCTGCGCTACTTTTTCGTCAACAAAATCATCATCGCCCCTTTAGTTTTTGAGATATACGGGGTGTTCGGAAACTTGGAGGAAAGTAAAATAATGGTGCTGAGTCATGTAATCATAATATTCTCCGAGTTACAGCTTGTCAAAATTCTTTTTTTTTTTTTTTTAAATTTTATTTTCAACGCAACCGAATAAGCCGGTTTGCCTTAAGCGGAATTTTACTTAACAGGACTTAATAAAATTTGAAAAAGTCATTTTCACGATCCGTTTAAATTTAGTTTCTATTAAAGGAGCTTATTATTCGACTGCTACTGTGATGGTCCATCGGGAATATTCAAATACTGAATATCGCGGTATGCATTTTTCCTATCCATTTATCAGTATACACGGAAGATTTGGCGAAAGAGGATCATTCAAGCCCGATAATATGAACAAAGCTAGACCGAAATATAAAAAAAAAAAACGCTGCAAAAGAAGGAAGAATTCTTCAAAATGTGCAGGCTGACTCGTCAACGAGTAAGGGAAAACTTGCTGCTCAGGAAAGAATTACTCGCTTTACAGTTTGTGAAGTTTTGCATGAAAATGATCTTCGACCTTTTAATGTTCAATGTAATTGGGCAATTGAGAGTAATTTTATGCGATTAAATTTGAGGAACACTTCAAAATTACCCGCAATTCGCACTGCTCACTGACGAGGCTGCATTCAATTCTGAAAACATTGAAAACTCTTTCTTTAAATGTATGGCCAGGGATTATAGCAGATAATTTTATAGGACCTCATTTCTTTAACGGATCGCTTAATGGGGTAATGTTGATTATCAACATTGGATAAAGACACGGCGGTGTCGAAACAATTGTCATGTCAAAATATATAATTTCGTGAAAATCTGAACTTTTAATTCTTATTTATTTTGATAACTGGATTTTCATCAAGTAAAAGCCTCCTCATTTCAATGAATATGACACGGTTAACTGCTTATTTAAAGGTTTTTCTTCGCCCCTGATGGAGAAAATAGCCACGGCAGCTTAGTTTTGAGCTGGATGATTACATCTAAACGTTTAGTACCTCCAAAGGTGCCTTGTAGTTCCTTGCTTTAGTATCTACTTTCTGGTTCCTGTTAGGTTATCATTTGCTGGTCCACAGTTGCCTGCTTAATACCGAAAGACTAACTAATAACGGCCCCGCCCCCATTCGCGTCTTCAACTTGACTTTAATCTCCTCAAAATTGTGCGATGTAGGTTGAGGAAGTTCGTCAACTTGGGTTCGGGCGGTCAAAAACCAGGAGAAAAGGAGGACGACGTCGTCGTCCTCGAACGGGACGACGGCGAAGAGGAGGAGGAGGAGGAGGAGGAGCGGGAGGACCAGGGGCGTGACCGGAGCCCCTTTTCTGCCAGACGTACTGGCGGCAATCCCGATGTCGAGCATCGCCCCGAAGACCGTAGAAAGATCGTCGACTCTGAAGACGAGGACTACACCTTCGAAGGTAAGGTGGAGGAGGGGAGGCTCCGCCCTCCAGGTGCTGGAGGTGGTGTTTTGTCGCCAGTGTGCAGTCCACTTTCTACACAAGTAGCACAAAATTGTCATTTGCCTTACTATATAACCACTTTTAATGATAATAATAATATTTATTTATTTTTTTTTTCTGGTAAAGGACTTATTGGGGGAAAATAATGTCCATACCTACTGCTTACTGTTTTTTTTTTAATTTTTATTTTTTTTTTATTTTTGCATTTCATTTATTCGATTTTAACACTTTTGTTTTCTTGAACTTTTTTTTTGAAGCACTTTTAATGTCGCTCGTTTATTTTAAAAATTAACCAGAAATATTTAATATGGCACTTAAGTTAAGTTAAGATTCTAAATAACGTTTCCGTGTTCTTTGACAATAAAATTATTTTAGGAATATCGTTTCAAAAGGTTATTAGCGTTAAAACGGTATTACAGAATACTTATAAAATTATTTTATAGCAGCGTTGAAAACGTTTCATTTAAAAACAATCTCAACAAACATTTTATAATGATGACGAAAAAAATTATTTTAATTTTTATACCATAATAACGACGACAAAAATGATAATTGTTGAATAGATAGATATACAGCGTGGTCTCTAACTGAATGTCACAAATGAAGGGGCCGATTTTTGGGACCATTTTAAAAAGAAAAATTTAAAAAAAAAAAAATGTTTGAACTCCAAATCCCATATTTCAATCTAAACTTTTAATAGACTTTGTTGACATTACGGCGATTGTTCCTATTTACGACAAGATGGTTTGCCTCGAATATGAACTTCATTTCGATTCGACAATGGAAAACATGGTGATTTGTGTTGAATCATTTTTATCCCTATAAAATTAAACTATGTGTTGGAATTAGTTTTATATTTAACACAATTCTGATATATAATTTATCTATATTCAAACAAAGTTGTTTCTCTATTGACACATCCATTTCAGCAGCTACACTGTTGCCAAATTGTCAAATATTTCTTAGTGTTCTAGATACCAAATTATATTTATAATTTTATATTTATATTTTGTACGGAAAGGATCGCCTTTGTGTTTTTATAGTCGTCTGTTTTGAGAAATTCAGGCTTGTGGCATCCATCACTTCCTGTAGAGTTTATAATCGTAATTATTATTGACTATGATCATCTATTATCTCGTTTAGCCTTAATATTTTTACTGCTCTGTGGTATCTTCTTCGTCACTTGAATCGATATGCCAGTTCTAAGTTCCAAACTCCAGTTGGCTTTCAGGTAAAAACGAGAATTTACATTTTTTGATATTCTGAATCTGCGATGATAGATTCCAACCTAGGAGTGGACGATGATGTCGCAACTATTTGATTTAAAGAATCTTTAAAATTCGTTGATCTTTCTATTTTAGTCTGCGTGTAAGTTTTTTCCAATAATTATAGTCTCGCATAAGATAAAATTACTATTTTGAAGCGCTTTTTATTTTATTGGCTGCTCAAAAATGTCGCAATGTGCAAATTGTTTTAAAGGCAAATCCGCGGAACAACTAGAAAATCTTGTTGCAAATATCTTCCAAAGAAGATATTTCCAAAGAAGATATTTTTATTATGGCGTCCTGCGCCCCCAATAAAATCACTTTAAAGCGACTATAAAATAAACTCGACTCAAGCATACATAGTTTTATAAATTTTGATTTATAACCATGTTTAAACACATTTGAAACACTTTCGCATCAGCGACTATAAAAGCCACTTTATGAAAATATATCAGTTTCTAAAGCATATTGACGATCTTGTTGAACTTTATTCGACTATTTACTCTTAAGGGACGTCGCAATAAAGCAAACATATAACTATTTAGTCGAATAACAAAAATTAAGGACCGTGCGTTGAATTTATCTCGATAACATTTTTAATTAAATTAATTAATTAACAAAAAAACAAAATGTACGGTTAGTAGCTAAGTTTTTTTCCAAGTGACGTGTAAAAGAAAATACTATTAATTTTCTGAAATATAAGCCTACATCAAATTTTTAAACATGGAACACCCTGTATATTATATATGTGTTTATCACAGTGATGTAACGTACTTTATATGTTAGTCCACTCGTTTTTGACAAATCGGCAAAAATAGGAAATTTTTATATACAGTCGAAATTCATATATAGCGAAATTGAAGAGACTGCTTTTTTTTTTCGTTATAAGAGTTTTATAGGCATTTGAAAAATAACAATACGAATATGTGTTCTGTAATATTGAATTATTTTATATACATATTTTAACATCTACTTAGAAACATTTTATTCAGATACTTAAGACCAACATTTAATGTTTCCAATGATCAATAATTTTCTTTTGAATTTTTTTTTAGTATGCCAATACGCATCTCGTACTTTACCACGTACCATTTCTTCGAGAGGAGAATCTTCTTCATGATATATAAAAAATTTCTTTAGCAGCTTAACTGAATATGTTGAAAGGTCGTCCCAGATGAACTTCTTCTTCTTCTTCTTCTTCTTCTTCCTCTTGGAGCTCTTCCTCACCCATTCTTGTCTGTTGTAATATGGGTCCCTCTATTTGCTGTTGTAGGCAAATCCTTATCTATCACCATAAAATATTGCAACTCCTCACTTGTAAACGTAAACTGCTTTATCCACTCGCTTAGTGGCTGATCATCTTCCAAATCCTGTTCGCATTCTGTCACGATAATAAGTCCTGCATGACCATAGGAATGTTGAGTTGTTTCTGCTGTCACCTCTTTCCAAGCTGCATGTAGCATATTAATGGAAAATATGTTTCCATTAAAATGTTTTTCCTGTATCGACTCTTGAGACTTTTTATTACGCTCTGGTCCATCGGCTGTAATACACTTGTTGTTTTGGCTGGAAGAAATGCCAATTCAATATTCCGTAGATTTGGAATATGGGGATGTGCAGGACAGTTATCCAAGAGAAGTAATATTTTCCTCCCCTTTAATTCTCCTCTTCAAAAATTTGCGATGTCATCCAGGCAGACTTGTTTGCCATGTAAGTGACCGGCAAATGCTTGATGTTTATTTATTTATTTATTTATTTATTTATTACAAAGGTGCCCTAACATGAAGAACTAACTTCACAATTTACAAGGACACACTAACAATTATACCATTATTTAATTAACAAAGTAAAACTTATAAGTAGGTACCTACCTATATCTACGATAAGCAGAAGATTTAAAAAAAAAACAATAACAATCAAACTTACCAAACTAAACCAAAACTAACACTGTATCTTAAGTGCGTGAATTACAAAAAACAAATGTGAAAAAATAAGGAAAACAAATCAAAAATTAAAATAAATTTATAGATGTTCGTAAAATATCGTGCGTTAGTTGATTTTCCAATCACGACCAGCCTTCTTTATTCTCTCCGACTCATATTGGCAGCTACTAACACTGTTATACGTTCTTTAGAAAGTTTTCCACCCACAGACTCTTCGCTTCGAAATTTAAGAGTTTTATCTGGCGCCATTTTGTAAAAAATACCAGTTACGTCAGCATTAAAAATTTCGTCAGCAGGATACTTTTCTGATAGTTTTGTCCACGTCTTTTCCAGGCAATCGTTAGTGACGTTTCTGTCGACACCACGGGCTTCGCCATTTATCTGTCCATAATTTATATGTCTCTGTTTGAACTTCCCCAACCATTCTTTAACTATTCTAAGTATTGCTGTATGTGACCACCATTTTTCTGAACACATTTCTCACACTTGCACAACATTGTGAGGAGGGACACCGTCTTGCTGCCATACAAGCAGCGCTGATATATTTAGTGGTAAATCTTCTATATATTGTTTTATTTCATGTTCTAAGAGTTACAAATAATGATCTCCAGCTAACTTTTGATCTATAAATATCGGACCCAAAATATGCCCATCTAAGACACCACACCATACATTAATTGATTGGTACCCTGGGTTTTTATTTCGTGTATTTTTCTAGGATTATTTAAAGACCAATATCGTGTATTTTGTCTATTTAAAAAATCCTAACAAAACTGCATTGTCCATTGAAATTGTACCTACACTTAGTTTTTGAGTTTTACGAAATGTATATACTTTCAAAAAAAATGATATAAAAACTTCAAAAACGAGTGCACTAAAATATAAAGTGTGTTACATCATTCTAATCGGAATAAGATATTCTGTTAAACACGTACATAATATACATGTCGTCCCATTTAAAAAACATGATGTAGGCTTATATGTCATAAAATTGATAGTGTTTTGTTATATACGTCACTTGAAAAAAAACCTACAAACCCAACTTTTTTTTTTTAGCTTGATATCACGGTACCGCTTACTCATTACGTCAGTCAGAATTTCGCGTTTAAGGTCGTTACGCTCCGACACCTCCCTCGCGGCGTTGTCGGATCGCGCGTAATTTCCCCGTGTTAGGGAAAAAGTTGTATTTCGCAACGTCGTATTCAGCGAAGTGACGCTGTTGCAGACGTGGTGAAGACGGTGTCGCAGAACGTGCAGCAACGCGAAATGGACAACAAACGGAAAGTGGTCGAGGACTCGATCAATTACGACAACGCCCGTAAGGACGTCGACCTCACCGACGCGAAAGCGCTAATCTCGAACCTGATGGGTAATATGAACAAGACGGGAACGAGCGCGTCCGGCGTCGACCTCCTGGGCCTCGGTTCCTCAAATGCCCATCAGCAGCCGTCGTCCGAATTAACCAAAACCCTGAGCTCGATCAACATGGAGAACTTGGCGAGCATCGTCAGCAACGTGCAGTCGCTGACGTCACAGCTGCTGAGGAAGACGGCGGAGGAGAACCAGTTGAAGTTTGAGCCGCCCACCTCAGACGCCCGAAGGTAGACGTTGCGTCGCACGGTCGTCGCCATTTTCGATTTTCGCTGTTGTAGGTCGGTCGCGACGAAGAACCAGCCAGTGGCCACGCCCACTTTCCAGCAAGGGCCGCCGCGAGGCCCCGCCCCTCGCGGCTTCAGGGGCGGTCCGGAGCCGAGGCCCCTAGTGCAATATCCTCCCAAGGGTTTCGGCAATCAGTATGGGACGAGACCGCCCAGGCAACCGGGTGCATATGGGTTCCCCAGGGGCGTGCCTCCCAGGCCCGGCTTCAACAGGTGGTAGATTTCACAGAGAATTTAAGTTTGATCGTTTGTCCGCGAATTTAATAAAATTTCTATAGGATTATTTGATTTCGTTTTTTTTTTTTATCTTCTTGGAAGGGCCAGGAAACTTTATGAACACATAGAGGTTATGTCGGCGGTCCTTATTGCGTAAAATTTAAAGCAAAACCCTGATGCAACAAAGTTCACCCACTAAACCCCACAAAACCGCGGTTTCTCTTTCTAAATAGCGAGCTTTAGATACTTAACTCACTTGTTTTCTGAGAATGTAATGGAATCGGCGCATATCTTGACGAAATATGAAAGCCACTTTCCAATATTACCTTAAAGGATTGTATTTTGAAATAATTTCATATTCAAAGAAAAATACTTTGGGACTACCTATGCGGTTTGTGATATGGTTGAAACTGACAGACATGTCCTTCAACGCGTATTTTAAATGATCCTTCACAATTTTTGTCGCAATGGGTTGGAAAATTCATATATTATCAGTTTTAGGTAAGATTTCTATGTAGCTAGTAGAGTTCTCCCAACCATATACCGTTTTTGCGACATAATCCGGTATTTAACTTTGGCAAAATTTTAATCAAGGTCTAACCGCAGGCCTACCTCGTTTCCGTTTCTGCTTGTTCCGGACCCGTACTTTGGTACTTCGTGCATTTGTGTAGAGTTCCATCGGTGAGATTCCTCCATTATTATTAGTCCATGCAGTGAAAAATTCACTCTTTAAAATATTTATTATAAATATAAATAAAGGAGTAAATTTACCTATTAAACAATGTTAGAATATTTGTTAAAAATGATAAAACGAAATTCTTCTAACTGAATCATTATTACAAAACATGTGCACCACCACCATAGTTCTATTTTTCTTTTGTTTCTGGTCAATCAAAAACACAGACCACAACCAAAAGGCACAGAATACAAAATAGACATTGCTAAGTAACTCTAAGATATAAAATAATAATTTAACAATATTTACAAAAAAAATGTTATTCTGCATCAAAATAATCACTATTGACTTCTGTAAACATTTTCTTCTTCGAAGCAGATATTTTTCTACTTCACTTCTAATTAATTCTATTGCCGTAGAACTAAATTTTGGCGACGTGTTGTTTGTTCTTAAACTGGGTTTCAGCTGTCCCCATATCAGCTCTACCGGATTAAAATTGCAGTGATATGGTGGAAGAGCGACAACTTTGAATCCCCGCTTATGCTTTTTATCAAACATTTCGGTATCAAGAACTACTAATTCTTTTTCAAAATACATATCATTTCCAAGCAAAAAATGTTGCATTACTTTTTTTAGTTAATATTGAATTCCGTAGTTTTTCGGCTTGTGTAGAATGCAAGCTGGCGTTGTCCATCACGATAGCACTGTTTGGTGGAATATTGGGAATCAATTTTTTACTAATTACAAAAACAAGACGAAATAGAAATATGCTTTTGTCACCATATTTCTGTGGTCTGTGGAGCATCGTATTCAGAAACATACCAATTTTAAATCCGCTACAGAAACATCTAACATCTAAACTACGATTGCTTAAGCCTAGCTTTAAACAAATCGTAACGGATTCGAATCTAGCAGCTACGCGCGCATGGAGCAGGAATGTTTTAAAAGTAGTGTGATAACATTGTTTTTGCTTATTCGTAATTGAATTTTCTTTCGTCACAGACCAAGAAATGTCACTTGCCATTTTTTCCGAATTTGTTTTCCGTGATGGGCAACTAATATTCTGTGGCATCTTTGGTGGCCATAATGTTTTTAGTGCGCGAGGTGCCGTTTTCAATTTTGTTATAAAAAACGCCGTCGTTCTGCTTATACGATCCGTCGAATTTGTGTACCTCGAAATTGACTCGACATTCCGGTTAACAACATGGGCGAAGAGAAAGGTCCGATGCGTCGGTAATTTTCTTTGTTGTTGGACGCCTCTAATGCGATGCTTCTAAATTTTAGAACGGGAACGTAGTAAGGAAAGGGACAGGGGACGGAGGCGTTCGAGGTCCAGGGAGCACCGCAGGCGCCCGTCCCGATCCCGGAGCAGGGAGCGCAGAAAGAGGAGCCGTTCCGCTTCTCCGAGGTATAAAAACAGCCACTCACGGAGAAGAAAGCCGTCCCTGTATTGGGACGTGCCTCCGCCGGGGTTCGAACATATCACACCGTTGCAGTACAAGGCAATGCAGGCGGCGGGCCAAATTCCAGCCAATATCGTGGCGGACACCCCACAAGCGGCCGTTCCTGTGGTTGGCTCGACTATAACCAGACAAGCTAGAAGGTAACGCAGTTTCAGAGTTTTAATAGATATTGTTTTGTTGTTCAGTGCCAAACATTTTCAGAATATACGTGGGCAACATACCGTTCGGAGTGACGGAGGAGGAAATGATGGAGTATTTCAACCAGCAGATGCATTTGAGCGGGCTGGCCCAGGCGGCGGGCAATCCGGTGCTCGCGTGCCAGATTAACCTGGACAAGAATTTTGCCTTTTTAGAGTTTAGGTCGATTGACGAGACGTCCCAAGCTATGGCGTTCGACGGCATCAATTTCAAGGGTCAGAGTTTGAAGATCCGTCGTCCGCACGACTACCAACCGATGCCGGGCATGACCGAGAGTTCCATTGCCGTGCCCGCGGGGGTCATCAGTACCGTCGTACCCGACTCGCCTCATAAAATATTTATCGGTGGTTTACCAAATTATCTCAACGAGGATCAGGTAACGTTAACTTTATGCCTTAGGGACGGGGTGGCGCCTGCAGCGGGGGGCGTTTTATTCATTGTGGCCAAGACGCCCCCCGCCCGGCACGGTCGGGGTGGGGCTCTTTTCCGTTTTAGCGAATTTTTTTCAGCCTTTCATTTCAGGGTCTCGTTTTCAGAGTATTCTTTTAGGTGGCATCGCCACGAGGCGTTCTCTCCCTCTTTTGCGTTTTAGGCGATTTTCAGGGAACGTTTTCAGCGCTTATTTTCAGCGAAACCGGAATGTTTGGGGCGCAGTTCTAGACTTTCTACGGTGCGGGGTGTTTGACGATTCGCGTCGCGTAATTTGATTGGTTCATTGGAGACGAGGGATTGGGGGGGGCCCTCGGCCCCCTAATTAAAACGTTTTTGGTTAATTTCTAGAGTCCGTAAAAGGTCTGCGAAAAAAAGAAATTGTTTTGCATTGTGAATACCACTTGTTTTACTCCTTATTTTTTGGCAAAAACAACAAAAGGTACTTCGATCATTAAAAAATATTTGTCTTGTGCCCTTTTTTACAATTTTTAAGATGGTATAAGGTGGTAAAGTAAGGGAAATTGTGAGGAGGATATTCGGCGCTCCACCCGTCGACATTAACCGGATTAAATTACGCGAGGTCGATTTTTGCAACACCCCGTATATGTGTTCGGCGCGGCGTGGGGGAATCTTTTCGAAACGCGTAGGGGGGCGGCGCTCCGCGCATCATTTCGGAACGGTTCCCGACGTTTCGACGAAAAATTAAAATCAAATTAGATAATATTATATGATAGTTGAAAAAATTTTTTTCTCATGTTCTGCTTTTTTGCCCTATAGCTAGGGTCGCGAATCCTATGAATTTGTGTTCTCCTACACTAAAAAATGCGAAACGCCCTGTGTGTGGATCGACCAAGGCAAGTTGCAAAATTAAAACAAAACCGGGGCGGGAAGTTTTTTTCAATTAAAAGGCTACTTAAATCGGGCGTGGTGGGGGAACATTGACGTTTCGGGTGCGGGGCGTGGGATCGCAAGGAGGTGGGGATGCGACGTGGTTGCGATAGTTCAAGTTTACGATGTAGGTGGCTCGACGTTGTCAAATCGTACCATATGGGTACCTAATATTTTAGGAATTCGTCTAAAAGTAATTCTATACAAAAATAAACATTATTTTTAGGCGAACAAAACCAAATATTATACTTAGTAATTTATACTAAAGGTTTAAATACGAAATACTTCGGTAATATTGCATTATGATAATTTTGGTCCATTACGGGCATCCATACCTTCCGTCAGTACTGTTTTTTATGCAGTTCTTCTATGGTTAAAACACTATTCACTGTATAAGCTTCGTAGATCATATGCCTAATTAGATCTACGTGGTGCTCTTTAAAAACTCGCAACAATTTTTCTTACAGTATAAAAATTTTATTTCTCGGTAACGGTAAGTACTACGGGATCGCCGTTGGTACACCGTCGAAAAAAAATTTTTTTTTTGTCTGTTTGTTCTCCGTTCTCGGACATTAACAATTATATACAGGGTAACTCGTTTGTGCCGTAAATTTGGAGTTCGATGAGATCTGAAGGACACTTTATACAGGGTGTATTCACAATAAAATTACATCGATTTTGCGAAAGTTCCATAGTGGTGCGCAAGAGCACGATAGAAAAACATTGCGTCCCTACAAGAATCTGAGTTTCTTATAAAATTGTAACCATTCAATACAATTTGCTTAGTATCCGAAGACAAATGGATACGTTCTTTTATTTGCTGAGGTAGTTCGTCTTCTAAATTGTTATTAGGTTCGACTACCATCTCCACTTGGTCTTCAAAATCGAAGAACTATGTAGAAGACGCAAAAATATAAGAAGAATGTTGTTAATCGATAGACAAACAAGACAAAAATGATGGTTTTCAAATTTACCTGTACAAGGTACAGATACTCACCCTTACTCTTTGAACTATCCAGTGAAAGCAGCCTTGTTACAAGGATCAAGGATATGTATGAACATAATTGCAATTTAGATGTTCCAAAATACCCGCGCAGCATCAATGCTTAATCAAATTTAAAACGGTCCATTTACGTTTCAAATAAAAATCTCAAGTTTCTATAAATATTCGTTACGGTCCATCTCAAGCAAGACCTACTTAAGGTACTGTAAAGTACTTAAAACGTCAAAGCAATAAGTGCACTATATTTTTGGCCGTATTATACTCTCATATCGCAAAGTTATATGCGTCGCATATCACCATGTTAACTAGCAAGTGGATGTGACACATGCAATTTAGTAACTAAAAGGTGGTATACAACCCTCTATACAACTAGAACGTAGCGAATGAGAGGGAATCCTTGGAAATTCGACATACAATTGATATAATATTTGCAACAGTGTAACTAAAAGGTAATGTTTGGCAACGCGCGCGCCTCTAGCGGACTTTTCGTTGAATGTATCGCCTCCTTCTTGGTCCCCACGCAGGGTCGTGTACTCACATCCGACCCAGCGATGGGAGTCGGCTTCGGATTTGGGTACATCCTTTTCGATGTGGGAGGGGCCCCGGGGTGCCGTTTTCTGAACTCGGCGTCGGCCTTTGCTCGTAGGTCAAGGAGCTGCTAATGTCCTTCGGGCAGCTGAAAGCGTTCAACCTCGTCAAGGACACCGCATTCGGTTTGAGCAAAGGGTACGCGTTCGCAGAGTACGTCGACATATCGATGACAGATCAGGTAGGTGGCGCTGCTTTCCAGTACCGATTACAATTTGTCTAAATGCCTGATCAGGCTAACGCATTCGACCACGAACAATTTTCAGCTTTACTGCACGATAGTGGCTTTAGAGGCAGAATTACTTAAATAATCGAAAACAATGTGTTGTAATTGAAAATGTTACGAGCGAATTCCAATTAGTAAAATGTGGAGTGCCTCAAGGACCCCTATTTGGCCCTATACTCTTACATATCTATATTGACGGGCTATTCAAGTTAGACATCAAAGGACGATTTCGATAAGATCCCAGTCAGGTGTTCGCTCTTGATTTCGAGCAGATTATAGTCAAAACCAGCATTTGAAGCTGCTCTATCACGCACTCGTTGGAACAGTATCGAAGATCAAAATGTACGCTCAATTTACAAAAGTCACTTTACTTTTTGAACGCACCTCGTAGATCAATTAGAAAAATATAACAAATATAAATTGCCAGTTTTTGAAAAAACTATAGCATCGAGATGCAGTGTCTTGCTCCAAAATTGTATAAATGCCTACCTGAAGATATATATTAAAAAAATTAAATTCTTTAAATTTATTTTAAAAGAAGTAAACATTGGTCAACTAACCACGTAAACCTTTGGCACGATTTCATAGATTATCGAAATATATGAACAATGAATCATTAAAAAAAATAATAATAATAATTCATTTGACGGATGATTTAATCTTGTCAATTATTTGCGTTTCAAGTTCGTGAAAAATGTAATATATTATAAAAATAAAAATATTATAAAAAATCAGAATAACTTTATATTATTTAATGGTTATTTGGTAAATATTTGTTATTACATAGGCTATCGCCGGCCTGAATGGTATGCAATTGGGCGACAAACGGTTGATAGTACAGCGGGCGAGTATCGGCGCTAAAAACACAACGGTACTACCGGCGGTACAGATCCAGGTGCCCGGTTTGAGTTTGGTCGGTACTTCCGGCCCGGCCACCGAGGTACTGTGCCTCCTGAACATGGTGACTCCCGACGACCTCAAAGACGAGGAAGAATACGAAGATATCCTCGAGGATATCAAGGAGGAGTGCAACAAGTACGGGGTGGTACGCAGTATCGAGATACCCCGGCCCATAGACGGGGTGGAGGTGCCGGGATGCGGCAAAGTCTTTGTCGAGTTTAATTCCGTTCTCGATTGCCAAAAGGCGCAACAGACGTTGACCGGAAGAAAGTTTAGTAACAGGGTGGTCGTCACGTCGTACTTCGACCCCGACAAGTACCACCGCAGGGAATTTTAATCGTTCCCTTCGCCACCCCGTTAGGCTTACGTTTTAACTTTCATTAATTTTTGATTTGACCGATGTCTTAGTTGTAATTACAGGTTAATTTGTATCATATTCCGTTTCTAGACGCTGTCCCGCTAATAAAGTATTTGTCTTGAAACATTTGTTTTTTTTTTTAGGGTATATTTACGTTTACATAGGGCGGGTTCAGCTAATAAAAAGAGTGCCAGAACTGGGAGTAGTTTTTTGTCACGTGAGCTTTTGTGTGTTTTTTTTATCAACTGTTTTTATTAGTAATGAATAGTAACTTAATATTTGCGCCTGTGTTTAGTTTTACAAAAAAATATCTAAGCATCAAATAAACGCAATTGAAAAAATTGAAAACTGCTTTTGATGAAAATCCATTTAACACAATAAAATTATCAAATACAAAATATGACAATTAACGAATATCTGTGATGAAAATATTCTAGTAAAGTGTGTTCATAGATATAAAGTGACTAACTGATACGAATTTTAGGTAATAATCTTGTTGCATTGTATGTTAATGACCACCCTTCGATAATCCCAATCAAAAGCAATTGGTCACTCTATGAACAGACCATAATAGTTTATTTACCCGTGTATGGTTATAAATTTAAAAAGAGAGCCCCATTTCAATCCCATTGGTCGTCAAGTAATAGATTCGGATGCCTCATTTTGTTAATCTCCATAGTTTGCAAAGAATTTAGTTTTTTGCTTTTTGGTTGCTTTTGGTAAAATATCAAAATTATCATCAAAATTTATTAATTTACATGAATAGTTAGAATCCGAACTTTTATTTTTAGACGCTCTTTTATGTTCGTTAATGCGTTTTGAGACATTATCCACATTTCAACTTGAAGGTTTTTGAGTTTTTCGTAACTTAGTTTTATTATTTTTTTAAAAAATTAGTTTTAAAAGCAATCTTAAGACCAAATGTGCAGACGTCAGGTACCCCAGTTTAAAAAACACAGATATGATTCATACATCTGCGAAAAGCTCAATGTTTCCTGACTTTCCTTTTTTGATGCAGCGGAATATAGAATCGATACGAAAACATTAACCAAAACCTGAACAATAACAAAAAATATGTATATTTCGAACATTAACTGTCCTCTTTAAAGTTTTTTATTCCTAGTTTCCAACATGAATTTTGAAAAAATTCCCCATATTAATAAATCAATATTTAATTCTAAACGAAATCAAAACCGGACACATACAACAAACGAACAAGTTTTGCTCATGTTTTCCCTTAAAATCCAGCATTAGGATCTGTGGGCTAGTCCTCTATTCTGGGATGTTGCTTTTTGACGTAAATAGAGTAACTCCGTTTAAGAACAAATATGCGCCAAAGTGTGAAACTGTTCAACATTTGTTGGATACTAGGAATAAATTGCTTTAAAGAAGCTCTTCATGTGCAATTAATGTTCGAAAAATATATATGTTTAGATATATCAATTTTTTAAACTCTTATTAAAAATGGTCACCTGACTTCTGCAGAGTTATCAGTTTTTCCAATTTTTCATAATCCTCAACGTTCAGATATATTGTTTTTTATAAAACTAAACAGGGGCACAAATAAATTATTTTTAATTATTAATAAAAATAAACACAAAAAACTAGTTCTGTTCGGAAAGTATAAAAACAATAGCAAACCAAAACAGCTGTTTGACGTTTAGCTCTAAGATCCAGGAGCCTTCGGGTCTACGGTTTACACTCTATTAACTCCAAATTCGCGCGATAAAACACTACTCCTACTCCAGACTGACCTCTAGCAGGACGTTCTAAAAGCAAACAGGATTGCCATAGTGTAAATTTATTGCTCGCTCTACCTCGTTTGGCGCTGCCAACTTGATAAAATCTCCGGTACTCCTCCAGGAGTTATAAATTACAAAATTTAAATCAAAGTTTTTATGTCCCTGCGCCAACCGAAATTCACATAACCTCAACTAATCGGTATCATAGGATATCGATATCACGTCGCTGGTTCTTAAAATCGCCTTCTTTAAAGGCTGCGGCAGGTGCGTCTTCAAGTTTTCCACCACGACGTGGTCGAAGTTGGCGTCGAACGCTTTTAGCTGCGCCGTCACCTCCGTGTTGTCGTACATCCGAATTTTGCACGTTTTCCCGGCTGAAAGTGGCTTTGTCAGCCAAAAGACCCGCAAAAAATTATACACCACCTGGCAATGTCGAAATAAAGTACAGGAATTTCTCTCGCAGAAAGGCGGCCGCCTCTTGTTCCTCGGTAACACCCGCGTTTCCCTCGGACATAATTAAAATTAAACACAACACTAAACGCAAAAATTTATTGGTTATGTTTTAAACACGTTTGCCAACGTTCGACGAACCTACTACGGAAATAAATTACATAATGTTAAATCTTGTATTTACAAACTTGATGCCGTTTATTATTTAGATGTTGAAGCCCGCTTTCCGCATGCATTCCTTGTGGGCTTCTATCAGCTCCGAGCAGTTTGATTCGCCCCTTTCGATGACGCTAAAACGCCGGGAAAATTAAATCATACCTCCGAACTGGATAGCAAATTCTTACCAAGTGTCTCTGGCCTTTTTCGTTTCCGGACAAGCACAGCACGGCTTTAACTTTTTGGGGGCCTCTGACGTTTCCGCACCGTGTTTGGCCTCGATGGCCGATGCCGCTGACACTTTTTCGGTAACGTTTCCCATTTTGATGATCGCACCAGGGCAAAGTGAACTTTCGTTAACGAGATATTCGACAGGATTTATCGAAACTATAAGTAAATTACGTCAATACGCAAAACACATAACCTCTTCGAATTCGGCAAGTCAGGGTAGCCACACGTCAATAATTAAAACCTTAAAGGTCTATTTATACATATCATACATACATACATGCATACATATCATACATACATTTTCGAGAACTTGCTTTTTCATCAAAACAGTTGTTATTGCACCCATACATCTCGTTCCAGGCACACCTAATTATTTTTTGATGTAACTTATCCCACTGAAAAAGGTAAAAGACATGTATTTCTTACCTTTACCTATATTATTATGTGTAATATTTTGAGCATACCTCCTAACTAATAACACCGCTAATAAGCAGCACGAACACAAAACTTTTTTAAGTCTTTGATTAAGGTTAAAAATACTGTTTTTCTCAGTTCCCGCCACTCAAGCACATACAATTTTAAAGGATTTCGTTTACGTCACAAGCGACCACGTGCGATCGATAATTTTGGCGAACGTATGTCTTATGGGATTGGGCAATCCTATTAGGCGTACCATTCTTAGTTGAACGCATAGATTATAAAAGAAGTTGGTTGAGTGCCGCACTGTTATTGGTTAAAAACGAAATTTTAAATATCGCGCATGCGCATGTTGAAGGGACTTTCTCAAAAGTTTATTCAAAATTATTTCATAAGTTCCTGTATTATCCGTTATTATGTGTAATATTTTGAGCTTACCTCCTAACTAATAACACCGCAAATAAGCAGCACCAACACAAAACTTTTAAGTCTTTGATTAAGGTTAAAAATACTGTTTTTCTCAGTTTTCGCCACTCAAGCACATACAATTTTAAAGTATTTGTTAAGCTTAAAAACACTGTTTTGTCTAAGTTTTTTTTTACAGAAATACAATTAACACAAACATAAGCGCACTACTCACTAGTTTAAATTATTTTAATTGTTCAAATAAACAAAAACAGAGGAGTTCGCTTACGTCACAAGCGGCCGCGTGTGATCGATAATTTTGGCGACCGTATGTGTTATGGGATAGGGCAATCCTATTAGGTTTACGATTGTTGACTTTTGCTTTAAAATCTTATGAGCCTTTTCACATAAGTCGATACAGGTCGATACAGAGTGGCACTGACATGTATAACTAGACCTTTAGTTTGATTATGTTTTTAACTAGTCGAATTTATTGTGTTCCACATTTCATGAGAAAGGCAAATTATTTTTTTACGTTTAATATATCCTTGGCATACAAATTACGACAATGAAAGAGCAACAAAAGAAACAAGAATTCTAGAACGAATTTAAACAAAGGCAATTACGTATCATGTACAATTGTATTTTAATGGAAGTCGGAAATGCGACAGAGGTTGTCCAAGGACTTGGCGATAAAATTCATATTCCCTTTGATTTTGGAGCCCTTTTTTTTCTTATCGTTTCTCTTAGCGTCACCGTCTTCTCCTTCTTGGTACCACTTTCTCTTCTCTGAACGTTTCTCTCCATCGCACATGGCAAGTTGATCCTCAGGTAGGATATCAAGCGACTGCAAAAATAAGCCCGTCGACGAGTTCAATCTGGCTTCGAGCTTTCTTCTCTTCTTCAGTTTCTTTCTTTCCGCCTTAGATAAATCGCTAAAGTGCAAACGAGCCTCCTCAAACGCTTTGTGGTTGTCCTGCTCTTGTTCGTTATTATTATTCCCCAAGTCTGGTTCGATGCCTTCGTCGGAACCGCTGTTGTTGTGCCCCGTATCGTTACTGTTATCATCCCTCGGAGATCCCTCCTCGCTATCAAAACTAGTGTCCAATTCCTGAGTATAAATCTTCGTTACAGTTTCATTAAATGATACACTCTTCTTTTTTGTGTTTTTCTTCTTTAGAGACTTATTCGAAACATGTTCCGAAGGAAGCATGCATCTGGTCCATTCTTCTTTGTGCTTTTTCAATTTTTTCATTTTCTTCCCGTGTTTCGGTTTATCATCCGAGATAGAAACATTTTTCAGCTTCTTCAGTAGCAACTTTTCCTGCTTCTCAATCCTGGAAAGTTTCCCCGACAGGCCCATGCCATGATAAGCGGCCTTATGGCCAGTCCTGTAACCGCACACGGCAAACAATTTTTCATCACTTAACCTCTCGTAGGCATGCGAGTCCGAACATGGAACCGCCTCCACTTCATAATTTTTCACACTACTGCCAGTCAATTTCGCTGTTTTTATGAAAGTGTTATATTCCAGCTTTTTTTTGGTTTTTTTAGGAGATATCTCTATGGCGTTTCTGACTTTAACCTTTACTTCGACTTCGTCGTCATGTACCTGCACATGGATATTTTGGGAAGCCTTGTTAAACAAACTCTCCCACCAGTTATTGGTAAACTGCTCTCCAGGATCATGTCCGAGGCCCGCATTGTCGAATTTTAACTTGGGTTTTAGCGCCGTCGACAAGCCTTTCTCGTCTTTGCCCAGGCCCTTACCTTCACTCCAGCCATATTTTTCCAGTTGCTTCTTTGCGAAGTCCATATTCTTAACCTTAATTTGAAATTGCTACGAGTATACAAAATATCTTAAAATTATGGAAATTTTTCGACTCTCATTTGTGGGTTTTTTTTTTTTTTTTTTATTTACGCTTTATTTAGCCACTGCTGCTAAGGCAATTCGGCCAGCTTCACGGTAGTGGTGTGCAATAAACTATTTCCATGAAGGATGCCTCCGTAAAGAGAGTCTGGGTGATACCATCATCCTACTGGACGGCTATACAGGGAAAAAAAATGGACGAAAGAATTAGAATATGTGAAAACAATATTCAAAGTTTTAATCCACATGCATCTAAAAATCGGCAAACAATTCTAGCAGCAAAATCCAACTGAGTGCGGTGAAATAAAATGGAATTAATATGCAGAGGCGAAGGAAAATTAGCACTAATGAGTGACTCATACAACTGTTGTGATTTTTCCCAATGAAGAGCACAATCAAACAGCACATGACTTAAATCGCCCAGTTCTCCACATTCACAGTCTCCGGAGAGTTTGACTTTGATTCTATTTAGGTGAGCCGGAGAACAGCAATGGTTGCTTCTCAGTCTACACATAGTTGTAATTTCTCTTCTATTCAGGTCGAGCTTATGAAACCAGGGTTTAGTTGGCGGAGTAGAATAATGTGAGGTGAAATTAACTCCTTTCCCTAATCCTATATGTTTCCATCTGTCGCTCCAAGCATTCCAGATGTTATGCTTTAATTTAGGGAAGAATTCCCTAAAGCTCAATTTTATATTTTCCTGTGGTTCGAGGCGTGCAGCATTGGCGATCTGATCCGCAATATCGTTTTCTTTTATACTGGTATGGCTTGGTATCCAGCATAATTGGATGTCCTTATTTTGCGTTTTTATTAAGGTAAATAGTTTATTCTTAACCTGCAAGGTTAGGTAGTTAGACTTTGCATCCATCCCAGTTTTATTGATATCTTCGAGGGCACTTTTGGAGTCTGAAAGGATGACTGCTTTGTTGATGTCCTTGAATTCAATCCAATCAAGAGCTTGACCAATAGCATAAATCTCGGCAGAGCAAATGGATAGTTCACTTGGTAGGCCTTGTCCCATTTTAAGGTTCGTATTGTAGTTGTAAACGCCAAAACCTACTCGGCCTTCTTTATCTTTTGAGGCGTCTGTAAAAATTAAATGAAAATCTGGGGTCCAAGTCTCGCTCTTCTTAATTTCAAATAATTTGGAGTTATTATTATCTTTCTTTAGTTTTAAGTCTTGGATTTGAACAGAGCTTAAAAGGTTCGGCAGTGGGCAAGAAAAACAGGGATAAACTGGGCTCCTGTAAAGTGTAACTAACAGTGAATCAACTCTTTCAAAAGCATCCACAAGTGCAGGAATACTCTTTTTCCGAAAAAAGTAATAGTTTTCATTATAGGTGATATATAACCATCTAACCGCAGCTAAGGTTTCACTGTCCACTAAACTGGCAGCTTTCAATAATGATTTAGTCGCTAGCATGTATCTTCTGTGTTCTAAATCCATTTCACTTGCTTCCCCTAGAAGTATGTTAGTAGGTGTGGACTTCATATATCCCAGAGCTATTCTCAGTGCCTCAAATTGAATTTTGTTAAGTTGAGCAATAGACTTTCTTGAGCTACCACCCAAAAAAGAGGCTCCATAATCCAAATGGGGTCTAACATAAGCTTTGTAAAAAGTTAGAAGGGTAGAGGGATGTGCCCCCCACCAGATTCTACTTATAAATCGCATCATATTCAACCCACCTGAAGCTTTCTGTATCATATTTCTAATTTGTGGCTCCCATGACAGTTTTGGATCAAAAATCACTCCTAGATATGTGATGGAATTTGTCCATGCAATGGTTCGAGTGTTGAGGTGAAGTCTGGGGAGATAATTAACCTTGTAATTCTTCCTGGAAAAAAATATAGCTGCAGATTTATTGGGGTTAATCTCAAGTCCTACATTCAAAGACCAAATATGTATATTTTGCAAAGTTCTATTCAAATTGTTCACTATTGTTTCGGCATCAGTCCCAGTACTCAGCAAGGCGGTATCGTCCGCAAACTGTAAAAGTCTTATGTTCTCAGGAATTGTTTCATTGATTGAATTGATGTAAATATTAAATAGTAATGGAGAAAGAGGGGAACCTTGGGGAACTCCCTTGCTAGTGGTTCTGCCTGACACGAATGTATTAGTAGATGGATCTTTAACTTGTATCTTCCTGTTCGTGAGAAAATCTTTAATGAGCAAAGTCAAATCTCTGGCGATTCCAATTTTGGCCAACACCGAGGTCAATAAGTCAACATTTATATTATCGTAGGCATTGGATATGTCCAAAGTCACCATTGCTGCTAGTTGATTGCGAGCCAAACGGCAGAGGACCTCTGAGGAGATAACTGCAAGATTGTCGAAAGTTCCCTTACCCTTTCTGAAACCGGTTTGGCGAACGTCTATTAAACCTTGGTTCTCTACGAACCATTCCAGTCGGTTTTTGATCATAATTTCAAAAGTTTTGCTTATGCAAGAAGCTAGGTTGATGGGCCTGTAGGACGATAACGCTGAGGGGTCTCTCCCCGGTTTAGGAATTGCGATCACCATTTGGGTTTTCCACGTCTCTGGAATGGTGGTTTCCCTCCGAAGTATTTTGTTGAAAAATTTGATAAGAAAGACTGCTCCTTCAACAGGGAGATGGCTGAGCACACTGAAAGGTACTTTATCCACACCGGGACTCTTGCTCTTCCGACCTTTAACGGCCGCGACAAATTCTGAGATATGGAAGTCTTCTGTATATTCTGATGAGAAGCGACATTCGGGGATATTAGGCAACCTAGAGGGAGGTTGCGTCAAAAGATCAAACATATCTTGTGGGATTGAGAAATTCAAGGGAAAATGATAATTTTGGTACCTGATACCTTTAGCAAACCTTCTAATACTGCTCCAAACTTCTTTTGCACTAGTATTTGGAGATAGATTCTCACAAAAGTTGACAAAGCCTTCCTTTTTCTTCTTACGTAGCAGCTGTCTTGTTTGTGCCCGGGTTCTTAATGATTCCAGGAAGTTGGTCTCAGAGGGGTTGTTTTTATAGTCTCTGAATGCTTGTCTTTTCCTTTTAATAGCGTTGGTGCACTCATTATCCCACCAAGGTAACCCGTAGTTTAATGAGTGTTTATGCATTGGAACAGATTCTGCAATAGATAGGAAAATTATATTCATAAAATCCTCATAATTTATAGGAGGTGAAGTTCTAAATTTCGTGGAGATTAAATCAGAAAATTTCTCCCAGTCTGCCTTGTTGAAATTATATTTGCTAGTGTAGTTTCTTGTCGAACCTGAGTTGCAACGGTTATTTCCGATGATACACAAAATAGGAAAATGATCGCTATTCACTCTATCCTGGAGAACCCTGCAGTCAGTAAGTCCAGACAGTCTCTGGGAGCAAAAAGCTACATCTGGAGCGCTGTGTACGCCTGGGCGTGTGAGCCGAGTAGCTGATCCATCGTTTAGTACCCACAAATCGTGATCCTTAATGAAATCATAAAGAATGTTCCCACTTCTAATTCCCCGTGAGTAACTGACCTGGGAACCCCATATTGGATTATGGGCATTAAAGTCTCCCATAACGAGGACGGGTTTATTACGGGTTAGATCGAAAATTGAATCGAGGCTTGCCCTGACCAAACAAATATCTGGAGGGTTGTAAACACAACAAATAAAAAAATCGACAAGCTCTACAAGAATAACCTGACACCTCTCTGGTATATTAATTCTGCTTAAGTCGATGATATTATATTTTATTTTGTTTTTCAAGAAAATTGCTATACCATCTGCACCATTAGGTTTATCTGCTCTTACAGAAGAGAACCCTGATATTTTAAAGTTAGTGTTGGGTTTGAGCAAGGTTTCATTGAGCAATAAGATCTGTAGCTTAAAATCCCTTATAACTCTAATGATAGCATCTTTATTTTTTTCAGCCCCGCAAATGTTCCAGTGAACGATATTCATTATAGCTCAACTATAAAACGCTTGTGACTAAAACTTAAACTTAGTTTTGTTACGTAAAAACTACTGTTAGATTAAAACTAGTGATAAGATTACCTTTGCTTTTTCTAACCCCTGTAGGTCAACCGCTGCCATCGCAGCCGCCCCCCCTCCGTAGGTCAAATGAACCAAAATATTGTTTGATATTGTTGACACAATTTTCATCCATACCCTTTATTGACATAACGTCTTTTTTGAAAGCTTCAAACTTGTTGCATACTTCTTCCCAGCCATTTCCTACAGGAGTTACTTCCATTTCCGACTCTGATGTCGAGTTTTCAACTACTTGTATAGATGAGACTTTTCTTCTTGCACTTGAGGGTAACAAAGTTAGTTCATGGGCTACTTTATCATACCCTTTGGTAAATTGGGTGTCAGGCCGTTTTCTTTTAAGTACTGATGTATATGAGGAACAGCCCTGAGGACTTGTTGGATGAGGAGGTTTATTCTGAGTTTTTTTATTTAAACTAGGAAAATCTTCTGGTTTTCGGGTAAAGCCTTGGTTTGCATTAATTAGCCGTGGATGCAGTTTAGCTGCTTCATAAAAAGAAAGGTTGTAGAAGCTCATGGTTTCGTTAATTTGTTTTTGCCGTTTGTATTCGGGACATCCCCAGTCAGTAGCAGTGTGGTGTCCCTTGCAATTTACGCAGCTTGGTTTTGGATTTACTTCACAATTTGGAATTTTACACGTTTTAGTCAGATTGTTAAGATGATCTGCAGGGCATTTCATTTTTTTCATTGCTTGCTCTCTTTTTTGACAAACAAACATAAGATGATCTTCTGTACAAAAACCGCAACGAGGCTTGCCTCTACAATTATTTTTGACATGTCCAAATCTGCAACAATTGACGCACATTATAACCGGGTTAACATATTTTTCCACTTCTCTTTCATTATTAAAAATATTTACAGTTTGGGGTAATGATTTGCCTTCAAATGTTACAATATAATCGTTTGTGGGGATGGTTTTCATTACTGTTTCACCAGAAATAGCAAGTATTTTCTTCCTTCTTAAGACTCTTTTTACATTTAATATCTTAATCAACCTGGCCCGGGATCCTTCTCCTGTATAAGCTACCGCTTCTGAGTAAAAATCCTCTTCCGTAATTTGGTCCCCTACATCCTTGATTAGTCCTCTACAAGTGACAAGACGTTGTGGAATGTACCTATTATAGCCTCTAGCAGAACTGAAACTTTCATTTGACAAAAACTGATTAGCATACTCTGATGTTCTGAATTCAATTCCAATTTTATTAGCCCCTTTTCTATTGATTTTTGTTATACCTTGTACTCCAGCTCTGTGCAAAATTTTTCCAATATTCATCGGGTGAATGTTTCCAACTTGAGAAGTTATTCCCTCCATTATGATAAGAAATGGTCCCTGGTCTGTAAGTTCATACTTATACTTTCGGTTAAGTGTTCTCCTTATGTTGACTGAAATTCTTGCAATTTCGTTTAGGGCATCCTGATCTTCCACGAAGACAGATTTAAGCTTTTGTAACTCTGTCTCCAATAAATCTATTTCCTCCTTAGTGGGTACTAAGAAGTATTGATGCTGAGCGATAGCATGTGCTGTTTTCTTAGCTAAAGGCGAAAGCGTCAAGGCTGATGAATAACCACTGCTAGAGGAGGTAGAAGCTTGGGACAAGTTTAGTTGAGCTTGAAAGGAATCAAAATCATTTGCAAACACTATCGGATTATTAACTACGATACGATCGTTTCTATCAGGGGGGTCTTTACCCCCCGAAGCACATGCCATGATATGAAAAGCGCTAAATTATTGCGAACTGCGACACCAAACCAAAGCAAATATTAACGGCTGACTAAATATAAAACTCACCCAGACCGAAAAATTCAGTTGAAGACTAGAATTACGTCAAAAAAATGAAAATTTTCTCGGACCGAGGTAAAATTGTGCACACCACTTCACCTGGTTGACCGAAAAAAAAAAACATTTGTGGGTTTATGTTTATCAAATTGGCACACGTCTTCTTCTTCTTTAAATTATGTGTCCGCTAACCTATTAAACAGCGGAAACGGTGGCCATTGTCACTGCTTCCCCTATGGAACAACCCTGCTAACAAATGAAGTACGGTTTTAAAATGTATCAGCAAAAATTGAGCGCGTAAAATTTTCTCCACGGAATATCAACAAAAAAAACGACATCGTGTGCCAAATAATCCAGACTGAAAAGATTTCTACTCGTTTGGAAGCAAAAATCTATTTCGCCTGGGAAGTTCCAAAAGCACAGACCAACGATATTTGGATGTTAGCACTAACCCAAATTTTTCGGTGCGATTTGAGGTTATGTAGTTTTTGCTTGGTTAATAGAATTTACGGAAATGATTTTGGGGTTCATCCTATTCATTCGGTTTTACATAGACCTTCTGATCGATAAGATTTTCGCTGTCTACTGGCGTCCGAAACAAATTGTCTCCAAACCGAAAAACCCAATCGTCATGGAAAGCGCCACTTCGCTGGCTAAAAAAATTCGAACGAGAAAATTAACGTCCGAACAAGTAGTACAAGCGTTCATCGATCGAATAAAAGAAGTGAATCCCATAATAAACTCGGTGGTCGATCACAGGTTCGAGGCCGCGTTGAAAGAAGCACGACAAATCGACGAAGATATCGCTTGCGGATCCATTTTGGATGTCGACTTCCGAGACAAACCCTTTTTAGGTTAGCTTTTGCGCCTGAAAGTCTTTAGGCACGAAATTTGACGTTGCAGGTGTTCCATTTACGACGAAAGAGTCGACCGCGTGCGCGGGCTTGTCTTTCACGTTCGGCTTGAAGAAGCGAGTGGGAAAAAAAGCCACGTTCGATGCGGACTGCGTGAGTTCGTTGAAAGAGGCCGGCGCTATCTGCCTGGGGGTCACCAACGTGCCTCAATTGAATTTGTGGCAAGAAACGAGCAACCCTGTGTACGGGATAACCCGTAATCCCTACGACACGACGAGAAATGTCGGGGGCTCGTCGGGCGGGGAATCTAGTATACTGGCTGCTTGCGGATCACCAATTGGGATTGGTAAGTCATAAAGGACACTCGGCCTTATCTCGAAAAGTAATTGGTTCAAAGACTTGGAGTGAAAAAAACCTTACAACTAATAGCTAAATCTTTTATTATATTTATTACACAAGTTGAGATAAATTTAATATTATTTCTCTCTCAAGAAACTGGTTTTAAATATCTAGTTACTAGAGACTGCTATGCGGATAATACAGGAACTTATGAAATAATTTTGAATAGGCTTTTGAGAAAGTCCCTTCCAACATGCGCATGCGCGATATTTAAAATTTCGTTTTTAACCAATAACAGTGCGGCACCCAACCAACTTCTTTTATAATCTATGCGTTCAACGAAGAATGGTACGCCTAATAGGATTGCCCAATCCCATAAGACATACGTTCGCCAAAATTATCGATCGCACGTGGTCGCTTGTGACGTAAGCGGAATCCTCTAACGGTTTTTGTGTATTCCGTCAATGCATTTGAAGGCGTATTAAACCGTTGTATTTTTTGTGTTCTTTGAACAATTAAAATCATTTAAATTGGTGAGTAGTGCGCTTATGTTTGTGTTAATTGTATTTCTGTAAACAAAAACTTGGACAAAACAGTGTTTTTAAGTTTTAAGAAATACTTTAAAATTGTATGTGCTTGAGTGGCGGGAATTGAGAAAAACAGTATTTTTAACCTTAAACAAGGACTTAAAAGTTTTGTGTTCGTGTTGCTTATGAGCGGTGTTATTAGTTAGGAGGTAAGCTCAAAATATTACACATAATACGTTTTTCAGTGCGATAAGTTGCATCAAAAAATAGTCAGGTAGGCCTGGAACGAGATGTGCTATGTATGGGTGCAATAACAACTATTTTGATGAAAAAGCAAGTTCTCGAAAATGTACTTTTCATCGCTTTCCCAAAGGGATAGATCTAGTATCCCGAACTGTTCGGAACGAGTGGATAGTTCGATGTAGAAGAGCGGACAAACTTAATTCAGATAAAAGCTATGTCTGCTCGGTTCATTTTACGAATGATTACGAAAGAGACTTACAAAATGAGTTATTAGGTATTTTTTTTTTGTCTTGAGTAACACAAATTTAAATTTTGGGTTTCCCTTTAAAAAAGATTAAAAAAAAAAGACTTCATTCCAAAAATGCCAAAAAAGAAGCTCAGCAGGTATTGCCTGAGCTTTTAGCAACAACATTGAATGCCACAAGTGAAATTCTAGAGAAAAATCCATCTGCAGAACCCCGGCCAGAACCCATCTCCGAACCCCAAATAATAAATTATGATGATACCCGCAGAAAAATAATTAGAAAGCATGGTAAAATTGTAAAATAAACATTGAAGTATATGTAGTAATATGTATTTTTTATATTATGTACATACGAGGGTACATATAAATACATATTATTTACCTACCACCTATAAATAGTTATGTATGCATAATATGTTTTTTGTTTTTTAGTATGTTCTTCAAAATATCCAAAAATAGTTTATCAGTATTTTTTGATTTTTGTATATTTAAAATGGTAGAATGCCGTAAAACACAAAGTTTTACAAGTAAATCGTTTTGTTCGCTAGTTTTATGTATTTATGTGTAACAATATTTAATTAATTTCAAGATAATGCATATACGCCAAACTTGATTGCAATAGTATTATTTTTACCCCACCTGAAACCCTACCCTACCCTACTTCCCAATAATTATTAAAAAAATGCTATATTAGCTACTCAAAATACTCAAAGTCCATCAAAACTCGAGTCAGTTTCAGATTATTTCCATGCATTTACATACAGGACTTCACCTACGTCATTGCACTTGCTGACAGATTTGGCGGATTAGGCAATCCTACTAGGTTTACGATTCTTGGCAATCAACAACCAACATGGCCGCTGACAGACTGTCAGTAAGTTTGGATGCGGCATTGTTAAGACAGTATTTCATCAAAATATGATGCCTCGATCTCGTTAAATGTACTGGAAAAAATTACTCAAGTGTGCGGAACTCGGCTGTTTAGGAGGAACATTGCGCAAAATGGGGGTTACTTGGTGAAATGCGGAGGAAAGTCATAACCTTCTCTACGGAAATAGCTACATTATTTTACAATTAGAGAATGTAAAAATACATAAATGAATAAGAACTAAAAGATTTTCACGAAATTATAAGTTGTGACATGACAATTGTTGGAACCGACAGACAATTGAATTATTTTTTAAATTACATTAACTCATTACATAACCGCATAAAATTCACTATCGAGATTGACCAGGATAACTATTAATTTTTTAGACTTAACTATTACGAAAACAAATTAAACTTTTCCATTTACCATAAACCTTCACACAAAATGGCTGCATTTAACTCTTTTATACACAGACTTCTTAATACGCCACTCTCAACAGAAAATTACAACAAAGAATTTCATCAAGTAAAAGTCACCATTTCCCTTTTTTCTCTTAGAAGATGAAAGTGGTAAATCGTCTTCTTCATCAAACGATGATGCTTTATCTCGACTTCAGTGAAAAATATTTAAGTACCCCCCGGAATCTCTTCATCGTTGTTATCACCTTCATCGGTCGAGTCATCAACTTTTGGAGGAATATAAATATTAATATTATATAAATTGCACCGAACATCGGCTACAATCCGTCCATTATAGATAAAATTATAAATAAAAAACAATTACAGACAACAGTAAACTCTATTTTTCCGAAACCTAACACAGAACACATACATACAATTACATACCTAGGAGAACCTAGTGAAAAAGTGGTTTAAAAATAGCTTTCAGAGCTAACAACACAATAGGAACATATTTGAAAAACAATAAAACGAAATGTCCAAAATCCCACTTAAACACAGAAAAACACACTTTTGACGACAATTTTGATATTTTACATACAGCCACAAAAGGTAGAAATTTATTGGAAGCCTGGGAGATTAACAAAATGACACATTCAAATGTATTGCTTAACGGTCAATTAGATTTAAATATCTCTCCTTTATTGAACTTAAATTCTCACAACATTAATTAAGGTTTTATGGTCATTTTTCGGTATACAGTGTGTCCAAGATAAGGATGCACAGCATGGGGATCTCGGAAACTATAAGAGATACAGTGTCGGTTAAATTAGACAAAAGTTGCGCATTTTGATACCGAACAAGATCCCGTTTTACAAATTTGAAAATTCCAAGCCGTTCCGGAAATATCCGAGAAAAACCGAAATATTGCGATTTCGTTTTTATTATTTTTTAAAGCTATTTGAAAAGATATGAAAAAACGGAAAACACTTTTCCATGGAACCACCATCAACTTTGATTTTTCTTATGGGACGGAAAAAAAGTACACACAGTATTAGGTTGTGCTTTTCATTGCGAATTCAACGATGTACTATACAATACGGTTACTTATGTTTTTATCCAGAAAAATGGCTTTTTAATACATTTCTAGTATTTTATTGTAGTAGGCCATGAGATCCGAACGATGAAAGGCAAAAGAAAATGGTTGACAAGTTCGAGTTAATGTGTTTATTTATTTACTAACTCTAACTGTTCATTTAACATAACAACTAAATCCAACAAGTTAATGAAAAACAAATTCTATAACAAATGTTCGAATAAATGACCTCCATTTTCTAGGCATAAGTACGCCCGTCTCACGGTAGACTCCAAAACACGACTTAATATTTCAGGAGTAATTTTATTAAACGCTGCTCGTACTGATTGACGTAATTGTTCCTCGTTGTCAAAACATTCTTTGAATACCTCATTTTTTATGTAGCCCCATAAGAAAAAGTCCAAGGGAGTTAAGTCCGGGGACCTTGGAGGCCAAGGTGTTTCACTGTAAGTCCCAATGTATTTTCCATCAAACCGTTCAGTTAAATATTGGCGAACTTCTCTGGAGTTATGGGCTGGGGCACCATCTTGTTGGAACCAGCAGCCTTGCACAGCGCCTAGCGGTAAATCATCTAAGGCATCTTCTAAATCGTGCCTCAAGATGTCAAGGTACCGCTCGGAAGTTAAGGAATTATTATAGAAAATAGGGCCTATAATCTTGCTACCAAAAATCCCACACCAAATATTAAACCCAAAGCGAACTTGATGTCTGGATAGTCTATTAACACGTGGATTTTGTTGCGACCAATAGTGTGTATTGCGCCTGTTATAAATACCGTTATTGGTCACCATACTTTCATCAGACCAAATCACTTTATATGGAAAATTAAAACTCTCATCACACATCCTGGTATACCACTCACAAAAATGTCTACGTCGTTCGTCGTCACCCGGTTTTAATCCTTGACATATTCTGAATTTGTAAGGCTTAAATTCATTTTTCCTTAAAATAAACTGAGCTGTAGATTTAGCTACCCCATTCTGGTCTTTAATTTCTCTGGTAGAAGTTTGTGGATTTTCGATAACAGATTGTAGAACAATGTATTGGTTTTCTTCATTGGAAGGTTTTTGTCGGGATAATGCAGGCTTCTTAAATGATCCATATTCTTTCAGATTAAATAACAAACGCCGAAAAATACTCTTGTCAGGTTGTCTCCGCTCTGGGTATTTGTTAGAATACATACGCTCGGCTTCCACACAATTTCTTTGGCATCAGATGTAGCAAGACAGCATATCACATTTTTCTTCCTTTGTAAAATTACTTCCCTCCATTGTAGAACAAAATAAATTAGAAAAAGACAACAACAATAAAAATACAAAAACAATAACTAAAGGAATAAACTTATGATCGACTGATAACAAAGACAAATAACATTAATGTGTCATTGAAATTGACTGGATGTCATTTTGTCATGGCCTACTCCATTTAAATGCTGAAATGTATTAAAAATCCATTTTTCTGGATAAAAACATAAGTAACCGTATTGTATCGTACATCGTTGAATTCGCAATGAAAAGCACAACCTAATACTGTGTGTACTTTTTTTCCGTCCCATAAGAAAAATCAAAGTTGATGGTGGTTCCATGGAATCGAAACGCTGTAATGAAAATTTGTTAACGTCAATTTGGAGAGATTAAAAAGTGCCAATGGAAAAGTGTTTTCCGTTTTTTCATATCTTTTCAAATAGCTTTAAAAAATAATAAAAACCAAATCGCAATATTTCGGTTTTTCTCGGATATTTCCGGAACGGCTTGGAATTTTCAAATTTGTAAAACGGGATCTTGTTCGGTATCAAAATGCGCAACTTTTGTCTAATTTAACCGACACTGTATCTCTTATAGTTTCCGAGATCCCCATGCTGTGCATCCTTATCTTGGACACACTGTATATAGTAGCAGGTAGTTTGTAAATATTACATTTGATAAAGACACGGTGTTGTCGAAACAATTATCATGTAAAAATATATAATTTCGTGAAAATCTGAACTTTTAGTTCTTATTTATTTTGATAAATGGATTTTCATCAAGTAAAAGCCACCTTAGTTCGATAACAATAATTCTCAGCATTTTCTCTCGGCTGGTTTAGTCATGAATTTTTTCACCACAAGCTCTTACGGTAATTACTTTTCGAGATGGAGCCACCCGGTACATAACCTGAAATATGTTTAGGTACCGACATAGGAGGTTCCGTGAGGATTCCCGCATTTATGTGCGGTGTTTTCGGCCACAAACCTACGTCCCACTTGATCTCAACCAGAGGTAAATGCGATTTTTGCCACGGATTTGCTCACAAGCTGTTCTAAATAGTATATGTTAGGGCTGACGTTTAGGACAGGAGACGAGGAACAAACTATAGTCGTTGTGGGATGCATGACGAAATTCGCGGAGGATTTGATACCTTTCTTGAAGGTATTGGTCGGAAAAAACGTAGACAAGTTGAAATTAGATCGTCCGGTGTTTGTAAATAAATTAAAAGTTTACTACGTGACCGATCCCCGCGATCCTCTCGTCAGTCCGTTTAGAGACGAAATGAAGAACGTCTTGAGTAGCGCCGTAGAGTACTTTTCGGAAATATCTGGCGAGAAACCCCAGCCTTTGTCGCCGGAGGGGCTCAAGCACACCGGCAAACTGTGGCGTTATTGGATGTCTCGAGAGTCGAACGTCAATTTTAAACGGGACATCAACAACCGGGAGGGAGAGGTAGAGTTCTCCCAACCATATACCGTTTTTACGACATAATCCGGTATTTAACTATGGCAAATTTTTATGAAGGTTTAGCCGCAGACCTACCTCGCTTGGGTAACCCTTAAAAATTGATTCGCAATTCCACAATGTCGTTCCAGAACCGTTCGGTACTTTGTGTATACAGATGTGGACGAATTTCTGTAGAGTTTCATCAGTGAGATTCCTCGATTGTTATTAGTCTATGCCGCGGAAAATTCATTTTTAGTTTGAAGTGGTTATTATAAATATAAATGAAAGAGTAAATTTAGCTATAACACAATGTTATTACCATCGTCGCTAGACTCCTCCCTCACGTTCTGGCACTAGTCGACTTCTGTAAACATTTTCTTCTTCGATGACATGTTCTACACATTTTTTCCGACCAGAAGTAGATATTTTTTCTACTTCACTTCTAATTAATTCTATTCTATTCTATCGGATTAAAATTGCAGTGGTATGGTGGTAGACGAATAACTTTCCACATCATCAAGTGTTACCGTCTTAAGAACTTAAGAATTTTCAAAATACATATCATTCTCAAACAAAAATTTTTGAATGACTCGATGATGAATTCGGTATTTTTTCCGCGTGTGCAGGATGATAGCTCGCGTTGTCCATCACAACACTGTTTGCTGGAATATTGGGAAGTAATTTTTCAGAAAACCATTTTTCAAAAGATGTCTGCTGACATGTTTCCGTGATAATCGACCTTTGCTTCTTTGACATCTTTTGCAGAAAGCAACAAGGCGTTATCTACCCAACCAGCTTCACAACCCGCATCTAATATGATAATTCTTGTGCCCCGCGAAACTGGCCCATCCAAGGAACATTTGCTGCTGTTACCATCCGTCTATCCTTTCTTGACGGTATCGTGGATGTCAAACCAGGTCGTATCTAAAATATATGATGTGGACGGTTTTAGCACGAATTTCTTTGATTTTGTAATAAAAACAAATTTTTGGTGCGAAAGTAAGCAAAGTGTTTGATCCATTCGAATTTGACGGATGTTCATCATTATTATGACTACCAAGTGACTAACAAAATTTAATACTGTTACTATTTGGTAAGAAATAATTGTAATTCTAATAAAATGTAAATTGAATAACAGTGAGTGGGTAATTACTAATAACAAAAACAAGACGGAATAGAAATAACTGTTTCATAAAACATAAATCAATTATCTACATAAGATTGTGTATTGCTTTCCTAGGAAAGTATTTTAGAGTCACTACGTTAAACCCAAAGAGTATAAGATAGAAGGGAAGGCTCCCATTAGTGGCAATGTCAAAAATCGTACGCGAGTTTCAAGGCCCTCTAGTGATTCTGTCCGGCCATGAAAACGGAAAACGCGCAGGAGGCACGGTATATTGTAAAAATCAGCTAAAAGCACGCTTTTTTTAGTGAATCATTTGATATACGATAAAATGTATTCTATTTAAGAACGTAATATAAAACTTGGCGTATATAAAGTTCTCTCATAATAATAAAATTTTTCGAAAAACCAATCACTGCTGAAACAGCTAAAAATCTATCATTGCACTTAGTAATATGAAAAAATATATTTTAATAAAATAAATGTAGATATGCTTTTTATACTCCCGTCTGTAAAATATCTAATTACCCACCTTTAATGGTACTTCAACCTCTATTTCTCCTCTTCAAAGAATTTGACGATGCATGTATTATTGATTCAACGTCTTGCTTCATTTTTTGTTTTACAACAAATTTCTTCTCCTGTTCATTTGACTTCGCAATCGACCTATCGTTCTAGCCCCTTTGTGCAGTCTTCAAGATTTAGACGTTAACATTTGATTTTTTCTTACTTTAGAAGTTACTAAATAAATAAAGTGCTGTTATCCGTTACAAGCTACTGTAGTATTTTCAGTGTGACGCATTACTTTAAACCTCCATGACAGTACTTTAGTACTTGGACACAAATAATAGGTGGCATTCGTAACAGTCTACGCGACCTTCTATCTTATACCCTTATATTGGAACTCAGTTTAAGTTTTCTAATGTGTTTTTAATATAGGCGATCAACCTATGTAATGGACAACTTCAACTTGAATTCAAGCCACCGCAAGTAGCGACACTAATATAAAATAATATAACAATTTAATCAAAGAAAATCGCGCTATTGTTAAAATACGACAATCCGTACGGTTTGTCTAACATCTTAAATACGGCCCTGGCTTGTGGTTCACGTGCCGAAAAGACTGGCCGGTCTTAAACTCTTTCCGAAGTCAAACCGATAAAAGGTAAAAACGGTACATCGGTTGGAGAACTATACCTAAAAAATTGTTATAAAAAAAAATATCCTCGCCGTCCGATTCCGCAGGTCAGTGCATGGGGGGAAATAATGAAATACTTCGCTCGGAGCGGCGACTTTACTTTGCCCGTGATTCTGAACCTAATTACGGGGATGTTTAAAAAAGTCGACGACGAATGGGCGCGGACTGAAACCAAGAAACTCAAGGAACAACTGTTGGTAAGTTCAAGTGGCGACGGAAAGCGCACACGCAGGATTCGCCAATACTTTCAGTCTAAGCTCGACGACAACGCGGTGCTTCTCTATCCGTCTGCTCCCTTCCCCGCCGGTTATCATCATACGCCCATCTTGCGGCCGTACAATTTTAATCTCTTAGCGATTTGGAACGTGTTAAAATTTCCGGCGACGCAGGTGCCGATGGGTCTCGGCAGAGAAGGGCTGCCGTTGGGTTTGCAAGTTGTGGCGGCCCCCTACCAGGATAGGTTATGTATCGCTGTCGCGAAGGAATTAGAACGCAAGTTTGGAGGTTATGTACCTCCGTTCCGTGACAGTATGTGATTAGATTTGTATTTGGGAGCGGGATCAACATTACACGATTTTATGTTTTCCTTGTGTTTTATTTTTACCAACCTAGTCGGGTTGAAAAATTTTGGCACCTTTCTGAATTTTATGGTAACACTCTATTATGAAGTCGTTTTTTTCTCTAATGGTCAAAAGTCATTCGGTCAGCTTTCATACCTATAATTCAAAATTCCTAAAGGATGCCTTCGTAAAGAAGGGTCTAGGCTATTCCATCATTCTCCTGGTTTGTTAACACATTCATACAGTAGAATAAACTTCTAAATAATCAGTCACCGGGTTAGCACTTCTGCGTTTTCTCATCAAGTTGGGTAAAACGCCCATTACCCCAAAGAATATGCAAGGATTACAAATTTTTAGAAGTTATCAAAGATCGAAATTAGCATCAAATTATAATCCTCGGACGAGTGTCCCTAGAAAACATTCTAAATGTTACGTAAGTTGCAAAGATGATTAACTGTCAGTGCGCAGCCTATGCAGTTAATACAGGAATTTAACGAAGCAACTATGCAAAAATAGGGATACGACATGTTTACGGTAGTATTTAACAAAAATATAGCTCGATCTTGTTATATATTGTGGGAAAACGAGTTCTGTGCGCGCCGTTGGGAAAGAAAATGGCGCAAAGTGCAGGTAAGTGGTAGAAATGCAGAGGTTTGCGCGGAAAATCATAACCTTCAACTGCGGCGCGTCAATTTTTACCAGTAATCACTGACTGAATTATAGGTATACGCAACTTACAATTCTCGGGATCTGTGATTAGGTATTTTTTGCACCTCTTTACTTTTCACATTATTGGTGGGGGTTATAACTTAACCTTTCTGACGTTATTCTTGAAAGCAACATTTTTAGTTTTGGTACGTTCTCTTTCGTTGACGTTTAAAAGTAAACAAAAATCTGGAATAAATTAAAACAACACCAAAATAAAAGGCCAAAAGTCCCCACTTACGTAATGCAAGCCGGGAGGTTATGTTCGTTTGTGGCTCTGCATAACTTTATTTAGCGAAAAATGGCAAAAATTTAACAACGCATAAAAATATTCGACAGGGTATTGCGAAACGTTAGTTTGTCGCATTAAAATATTGCGACGGTCGCAAAAACCCGTTAACGTATCACGTGAGCCCGTAGACATCGCCGCCTTTTCTGTGGTCCGCGTTCGCCACGATCTTCCCCGTTTCTCTCTTCAGTGCGCAGACCACAGACAACAGGTCGCGTTTCATCTTGTGCCCGAGCGCCTTCAACCCGTCGACCACTTGCTGTAACACACAATATGAAATATTTGATTTTATTTAATACGACCAAGACCAAAATGTAGCTAAGAATAATATTAGGATCTTTTTGCACCTCTTATGCACCTTCATGTTTTCACACAATAACGCGTTTTACCACAAACCGAAACTTAATTTTCACTTCGAAGACCTGAAGCCCCGAAGACTCTATCAAGTCTTCCTTTGTTGAAGAAAAATTAGTTATTATTTTTCAAAGTTCAATTTAATATCAAAACGTAATTTAAATTACATTTCAACATTTTGGGCTGCACTTTTTGACATCGTCAATGAAAAGTGGACTTGGGTCGCTTTCAAAATTAGGATTTTCAGTATTTATATTATTTTGAAAATATACGAGATATTAAATTCTCAAATGTAATAAGTATATTTCAATACCGATTTATTTTTTTGACAGTTCAGCATAAATTATAAATGTGTCAAGTGCCTACTTGATAAAAAATGGAAATGGACTTAAGCCACGGTCAAAATAAACGGCTCATTTAACATTATCTTTATTGCAATTATAAGTGAGGTAGCGAGAAGGGTCAAGGTTTAAACTACCCTCCAGATACCTCAAAAATATTGAATAATCTGTGACAATTAAGGCACAATTTGTAAATATTTTCTAAATTTAGTGTCTCAACATAACCCTTATAATTAATCCTCCTCCCCATATAGATCATTCTTTTTATTACTTATAGACATAATAGTACAACAAATTTTGTTCGTAATACAGAGTTTCGCTATAGGGAGTTTTCACTTAAGTTCTGAAGAAGCCTACAGTATATCGTTGGCGAAACATCCCGAATATTTGTAAATAGTCTTAGTGGCAGTTTCTTTGAAAAATCAATCATCTTTATCCGTTAACGAGGGAGAAGGTGACGTTTGACGTTAAACTGGATTTTTCCAGGAAAACGAAACACAAACCTGTAAAATCCCGTATTCGTACGAGACCTGCATCGGGAACAGCTGGTGATGGATCCTAGGCGCGTCGACTGCCTCTTTAATATTCTCGCCGAACCACAGCGACCTGACGATCGTCTGAGAAACGAAACCAAATGAGGTTAGGGTAGGGCGACGACGAACCTTCGGGCTACCCAAGCAACGGACGTGGTGATCTGGGTGCCCCCCGACGCACCCAGTACCATTTTCGCGTCGCCGTCCTTATCGACGATGACGGACGGGCTCATAGACGACGAGGGGCGTTTCCCGGGTTTCATCTCGTTGTTCGGCGAGCCGGGCAGTCCGAAGTAATTCTCGTAGTAGGGAAATGAGAAATCGTCCATCACGCTGTTGAAAACAATGCCGGTACGTTTCGACGTCATCCCCGCGCCGAAACTGAAGCCGAGAACTTATATAGCTTTATTTCCATAAGACTCGAGTTACAAGTGCTTGGATATTGCCAGCGTAATACGAATATAAAAATATAATTAAGTAATGAATTATAATAATAGTTAATCATTTCAGATAAATATCAAAATATATGAATGACAAACAACGAATACTCGTTAAAAGGTATCACGAGAAAAAAATCCTTAATATTGTCATAGGGGAGACGTAATCAAGATGGCGCCGTGTGCGGATGTGCTGGAAAGAAAGACATAATAGACGCGTTAGTTTCAAAAAAGTTTTCGGATGCAATAATTGGCAACCAAATTTTAAGTGAGTTCTTCGGGCCTTTGAGTTTAGTCAGTGAATCAAGTGACGAACGGAATAAAAGTTTTGAACACGAGTATGTTGACAGTCAAGAGGTCGTCCATATTGGGTGCGGAAAGACAATTTGCATCAGAACAAGAATGTTATGTGATTTGTATTAAATTTATTGCCAAGGCTTTCCCTTTGATTATAAACTGGTGACCAATCTATTTCGGATATTTGCATTTTAAACGATTCAACGTTTAACATTTAATTGTTCATTTCCTTTAGTGAAATATAGAGTGAATACCAAAATAAATAAGAACTAAAAGTCCAGTAATGGAAAGTTTCATTTACAATTTTTCTTATGATCACGTGACCCGGTAAATAGTATTTATGATGGTCACAGCCACATAGACACAATTTTGAAAAATTACATACATTTTGAAACAACAAATAAAAATGAGAAAAACCATCCTATCCTATATAGAATGATCTCCTGAATTCAAAAATGCAAAAAAAAAAATAAATTGTGCCGTTTAAAATTCGAAAGTTACATTTGTTTCCGCTCAAACCGGAAGTGCCAAAAAATTGTCAAGCTTTTTAAAAGTTTATTGTGTCACCCGGTATATAGGGTTCCTACGCTGACCATCCATTGGAAGATTGAACTGAGGTGGCTTTTAATTGATGGAAATCCATTTATCAAAATAAATGAGGACTGAAAGTTCAGATTTTCGCGAAATTATATATTATTTGTCCAATATAAATGTTAGGACAAGATCCGCATTTCAACCTGTAGACACCTGATTTTGGAGATTTTGGACACTTCGTTTTATTGTTTTTTAAAAATTTTCTTATTGTCTTGCTAGTTCTAAAAGCTATTTTTCAACCATATTCTGACAAATGTTTTGGTTAGTAGTTAACTTACATCGCACGTACATTAACAAGTGTTCGTCGAATCCTGCATGATCATTTAGGTATGCATAAGGTTAGTGCAAGATGGGCTCCTAAAAACCTTTCAGCTATTCAAAAACAACGCCGTGTCGAGTGTGCGCCTGTGATAGAAACTATTGTAACGGGAGATAAAACTATGGTTGTCTATTATGACCCCCTATCGAAAAAAGAAACAATGGAGTGGCGTCGTCAGGGTGAAGCACCTCCAAGAAAATTCAGAGCCTGCCAGTCAACAAAAAAAGTGATGGGATTGTGAAGGACTTCTTTTGATAGATTTTAAAGAAACTAATACCACTGTCAACGGTAAATATTACGCAACGTTATTACATAAATTGTGAGACTGCGTACGTGTAAAACGTCGAGGAAAACTGACCAGAGGCGTGCATAATTTGCACGATAATGCACCTGTCCATACTGCTGGTGTTGCACAAGCTGACATTTTAGAGTGTGGGTTCCGACAGATAGATCATCCTCCCTATAGTCCAGGTATGGCCCCCAGCGACTATTATTTGTTTGAATATTTGAAAAAGGACTTACGCGGACGGCGGTTTAACGACGAAATTTAGTTAAAAGAAGCTAAGGGGATTATATTGAAAAACAATAAAAAATTGTTACTCTACTGACATATATATCTATATATCTGACACTTACTACAAGTTTACCGAACTGGTAACGGATATGGCGTCCCCGTTCTGATCGATGACGGATATGTGGGCGGTACCGTGATCCCCTTTGTCGTAGAACACGGCCCCGTAATGCTTAGGGTCGTGGAATGTGGTATTGTCGACGATTTTTTGCCTCACGTTTTCCGCGTACCGCTTAGAGGTTAGGTTCGACAGTAATTCCTTCAGGTCGACGAAGTCGGTATCTCCGAGTTCGGTGCGTTTCGCGTAAGCGTATTTGAACGCCTCGATGATGCGATGGTAAGTCAGTACCGTCTCGTTGAGGCCGTTCGTGCTGCTCCTCGTCAAATTATAACCTTCGAGAATGTTCATGATGAGGGTGAGGATGGCGCCCGAGCCAGGGGGCGGGGCCGAATAGATAGTGTCCGAGTTAAGGAGCTTCACCGAAACCGGATCCATCCATTGGGGCCTGCCGAACAACAACCGACTCCAAAAATGCACTAACATATAACCGGTGACGTACAATGACGTCATTTAAATTTCATGTCACGTGACCGTGCTAGTAATCCGGTCAAAATAAACATTTGACCTAGCCAAAATTCGCATAGAGCTGGAAAGTGGCAGAAACGTGAAATACACAAAGATCAAAAATCTCCCTTCGATTCGACTTGTGCAAAAAAATTAATTCAAGGTCAAACGTACAACATTGAGGTTTTTCCGTTTCTCTCTTTCTCTACAAAAATTGTTCAGGCGCTTTTTTTCTCACGACTCGCCGTTCGTGAGATATCGCGGTTTCAACTATTTTACTTTACTACTTTACTACACGTCATCAGACTATCCATATAAATCAAAATAAGAAACCATGGGTTTGCAGAATAAAATTTGTATAAATTGAACGAGTATTTAAAAATAAACGATTATACTGTCGGTCCCCCATTCCCTTTGTCTGCAACCCTACGTCATTGTTCGAATGTGGAGGGTCGTATATGGTCTGTTCATGGATATAAGAAAGTGACCAATTGCTTTTGAATGGGAATATCCAAGGGTGGTCATTAACATACAATGCAACAAGATTATTACCTGAAGTTTCGAATTTTAAATTCTGGTAAAATTGTGGTCCGTAATAGAAAATACTTTTATACCTACTTGTGTTTAATATTCCTTTATTTGGTATACTACTTAGATTAAGATTAGATTTAAGAAAGTGATCAAGATAGAATACGGAGTAAAATTTAAAGTCAATAAAATCACGATGTCAATGTTAAGCTCATATTTTATTTGTGTGTGATACTAAGTCAGCATTTTTTAAAAGAGCTAAAACGGCAGTCTTTAAAACGTAATGATTTAATTGATTGCGCAGAAGCATTTACAAAGATTGACTCTTTTCCACACGACAACGTTACAAGTGGAATTCGGTTTGTTATTGCAATGTATGGTGCTCCAAAAATATAGACATTCGAAGTTTGTAAAATCTGCACGGCACAATGAAACAATACAGTTATCTTGTCTGCCTCCAACATCTGCTTCTGCCTGCCACCATTTGTATCGTGTGTATTATCAACTTTTAAGTGTGGCTAGGCAGAAAAACTGCTCAATACTATTTTCTCTAACTATAAGACAGGTTTTAGTAAGAATTGTGGTTGTCAAAAGGTCTGATTATTTTGTTCGTCAGTGTGCAATATCGAATCACGTACAACAGAAGAAATTATTTATGATTCTAATGAAGATGCATCTCAGCAAAAAGAAGAAAATGAAGATGAAGAAATAATTGTTGAAGTAGAAGTAGACAAATATGCATAGAAACAACGTTTAGAAGAAAAACACCTATTCCACTTTGAAAATTATCAATATTACCATACTTTCAATCAATAGGACACGATCTGATAAAATTTTCTTCAATACTTCATTTCATGTAGTGGCACAGTGAAAACTCCCTATAGCGAAATTCTATATAACGCAAAACTCTGTATTACGAACAAGATTTGTTGTACTATTAGGGCTCCATACAAAGCTATGTATTAATCCATACAGGCGAAGCTCGTGATGTCGACAGAAGCGTCATTAACGATTGGCTGGAGAAGACGTGGCCAAAACTAGCAAAAAAAGTACCCTGCTGACGACATTTTTAATGCTACGGAAATAGGATGCAGAATTAAAGGGGAGAAAAATATTACTTCTCTTAGATAACTGCCTGACACATCCTCATATTTGAAATCTACGGAATATTGAATTGGCATTTCTTCAGCCAAAACAATAAGTGTATTACAGCCGATGGACCAGAGCGTAATAATAAAAGTCTTAAGAGTCGATACGGGAAAAACATTTTAATGGAAATGATCGAGTCCGAAAACAATTTTTCCATTAATATGTTAGAATGCAGTCAACTTTATTAGTAAAGCTTGGAAAGAGATGACAGCAGAAACAATTCAACACTCCTATCTTCATGCAGGACTTATTACCGAGACAGAATGCGAACGGGACTTGGAAGATGATCAGCCGCTAAGCGATTACAACAATTACGTTTACAAGTGAGAAGTTGCAGGATTTTATGGTGATAGATCAGGATTTGGCTACAACAGCAGACCTGACAGGACAGAGGAAGCCATATTACAACAAGCAAGGAAGGGTGAGGAAGAGCACCAAGAGGAAGAAGAAGATGAAGAAGTTGATCTTTGACCACCACCAACCATTCAAAAAGCTTATATTCAGTTAAGCTGCTAGAGGAATGTTTTATGTATCATGGGGAAGATGTCCCTCTCGAAGAAATGGTGAAAATACAAGCCAAAGTACAAGATGCATACTAAAAAAATTCACTTCGACTTCTAATCTACTAAATTCGGATTACTATGCAAGATTAAACGGTCTAGGCTTTGGTTCCAGCCAGGTTTACGTCAGAGCAGACGCAAGCGCCTCCGTCGGTCACTCGCAAAAGCTTTAACCGCCCCAGAACTCCCAGTAAAATTTCACTAATTACCGAGGTGGAAACTGCCACTCGCATCGACGATTTCAGAGTCAGAATACCGATGGAACGATTCGCGAGGATCCTCTACGACCTGATTGCGAAAGAATGGTCGATATCGGGTAAAAAGAAACCGCCGTATGCGTATTGGCATATTAACTTTATAACGAAAAAAAAGCAGTTCCTTCAATTTCGCTATCTAGACTTTCGACTGTGTATTTAACGTCTTTGCCAATTTTCAGCTTTATTCGAATTTTGCCAAATTTTGACTTATTTTTGACTATTTTTACTGGATTATAGTCACATACATATTAACTTTATAACGAAAAAAAAGCAGTTCCTTCAATTTCGCTACATAGACTTTCGACTGTGTATTTAACGTCTTTGCCAATTTTCAGCTTTATTCGAATTTTGCCAAATTTTGACTTATTTTTGACTATTTTTACTGGATTATAGTCACATACAAAATAAAACATTTTTTATTTATAATTAATCAAATCAAATCAAATTTGCTTTTTACAAAACTTCTGATGGATTCCTCCTGCATCCGTTTTTGCTTAGTCGAAATTGCTGCTCAAATTGCTCAAATCAAATTTATTTCCGTACAAATATATAAAACTATAAAAGGCATGATGAATTATTTACCCCTATTTAAACTCAATACGCGTCTATTACAGCGAAGTGGGCAAGTGGTTATCGCCAAAACAACCGGACTATTGGCAACTATAGATAATTTATGCTTAGGATTTTTTTTTTATCAAAATTGGTCCTTAACCGTTGATTCAAATTAGGATTTTAAAGTGGCTCGTAGTTACTAGAATTAGATTTAGCATTTCACATACAATAATAAAGAAAAATAAAACTAACGATTTGCCTACGGTATATAAAAATGGTGAAGTGTTTTTTTTTAAGAGAACACCCTGCATATTGTGACGTATTCTACGAGCAAATTTAATTTTCTTTCCGAATTAAAAGCATGAAGCTGTGTTTTTGGTCAAAAAATTGCTAGTCTCCTCTAGAAAATACTTACCACGTATAAGCTCTTAATATTAAGCCAGTCTTATTGATTGATGAAAGCTCTACAAAAATGGTCCCTTATATGTTTTTGATATATGGAACCATTTATTGGTCAAACATTGAAAATTTAGAAAAAAATAACTTTTTGTTCTGAATTATGTTTTTTTTTTAATATGTGGTCTATTTGATTAGTTTAAGTTAAATGGGAATGAAAATAGACACCCAGAAATCTGACTTTTTTATGATGATAGAAGATATAAATAAAATAACACAGCACAACAAACTCTTATCTTATAACTGGCAGTAACAGCAAACTTAACCTTAAACTTTTGAAACTTCTGAAAAATAAACAGCCTCTTATTTCATTGAATGCCTCGACTGCGATAGTCATTTCAGCATCGTGCAGTTTAATTATCCACCTCTTGATGATTACCTAACATAAACGCATTGTTTTGGTACATTGAATAATTACCACTAAAATATTCCTCGAATTTTTGCCACATTGCCGACATTTTTGAAAAATTGTTGTTACGATTCAAAAGTTAAATAAAAAACGTGAGAGGATGTTAGTTTGGATGCATATTTTGAAATCATTGCGATCTTTTTGTTAGTTAATTGGAGTTTCTCATTACATATAAATATAAAAGGGACAGTTATTGTATTATTCCCTGGTTAAATCGAATAACATTACCCAGCTTGGATAATTTTAGTGCATAAAATCTCTAGGTCCAGGTGTGAATATAATTTTGAATCCGACGTTAACAAATAAATCAATTACTGGTACTGATCCATGTCTTCCGCGGTGATGATCCCTCCGGCCTCTTTCACGTCGTCTATGAAAAGTTTGGCAAGCGTCCCGTTGTAGAGGTCGTCGCCGCCATTTGCTGCGATCGCGGCCAACGTTTCGCATAGCTTTTTGGGAACAACCTTCGACCCCGGTTTCTTATAGGCGCCGTTCGCGTCTTTGAACCACTCGCTGCAAAAGTGACATTATGAGTGCAACAAGCAGCGGCTCCATCTACCGGGCCGCCAGGCGACTACGAGTTTCGTGGCGTCCGTTAGTAGATGGAGCCACTAACTGAAGTTTGTGACTTTTCCAAAGAAAAAAAAACATGGAGTATATTCTTGAATGTCATTTAAAACTATCGCATATCAAATGTCGTCTAATTTTGAGAAACCGTATTCCCAAACAGCTTGCGAGAAATAACCATGCCGCGTAAAATTTTGTCGCACTAACAATTTGGCAACAACGCCTTTTTTTGTTCCTGTGTGATTGAAACGGTGTTTAACCTATGAAAAGGTGACCAGTTAATGACAGTAACATTACGAAGTAAATTTATTCTGGTTTAGGTCAGTGAATTACACAGTCCTTGGCAGTAAGATGCAAAGAGAAGAACTGGTAACTGGTAAGAAAATAGAATTCATGTCCCCTATGTTGAAATTTACATCGCAAATCAGCTGATCTACACATCCAATTACACCTGGCAGCCATATTGCAGAATAATAACCTAAATAAAAAGGTCGATTACAGTCACTTTTGTCTGACTTGATTCAGTTGATCAATATTTTGTGCAAGTGATATGTATTGATTAAATACTAGTGCTACTTTAAAGCTATACCTAAGCACCTAAAGGTTCACAAAATTCATTGTTTCATAAGAGTTTCGAACACCTTAATTTACTTTCTTAACCCATTACTAGATTTTTTGTGAGCTGTTTATTTGCAATTTATCGGACATGTCGAACGCGTTTTTAATTTGCCTTAATTGGTTTAATTCTTGATTTTGGATGGCAAATCAAATCTCAATTTCATCATCTTCAGACATGTTTTAAAGCGGTAAAAAGAATTCTCAACTCCGCCTGTGGTAGTGATGGGTGGATCGAGTAGCCCATCACTGCCATTGCCGGTCCCAAGCCCGGATAAAGGAGGAGAGTTGTGGCGTTAGGACTTAGCACCCTATCACACGTAAAACCCCAAATGGGAAAAGCTAGGACAAAAGGCAGAATGAAAATACAGAAACGGAAAAATGGTCCCCGGGTGGAAATCCACACCTTCGATGAAGGGAGCCCCATAGGATACGGGGGGGGGGGGGGGGGCAATTCTGCTTTTGGTCAAACAGCAAACCCAAGCTTACATTTCAACCAAACCAAAACAAAAAACAGTAAAAACAGGAAACTAGTATGTGCCACCTGGAACATACAGGGTTGGCGAACAAAAGAAACAGAAGTCAGAGAGGAATTTAACAAAGGACAAATAGACATACTGGTAATGAGCGAAACAAAAAAGAAAGGACATGGCACAGAAGACATAGATGGGCACCTACACATGTGGAGCGGTATTAATAAAGAAAACAGAGCTAAAGCTGGGGTTTCGGTACTTATCAACAAGAAATGGAAGAAAACCATTACATCATGGGAACCCATTAATGAACATATAATCACAGTACACCTGAAAATGTGCGGCAGATCAATAGTTTTATTAGGAGTATATGGACCAACAAACGACAGCCCCGCTACAGAAAAAATTTCATTCTTTGAAACTCTAAAGGAAGAAATTGAAAAAGTGAAAACTAAACAAGAAATAATAATAGCTGGGGACTTTAACGGAAGGACGGGAAATAAAGCACATAACAAAACAGTAGGCCAATTCGGGGAGGACACAATTAATGACAATGGTGAAAGATTAATTGAAATTTGCGAATTAAACGACTTAAAAATTACCAACGGCTTCTATAAACATAAAGACATCCACAAATACACCTGGATACAAGAAACTAGGAATCTAAGATCCATAATAGATTACATAGTTGTTAGGATAACTACAACAATTAAGATACAGGATGTAAGAGTTAAAAGAAGCGCTGAATGTGGAACCGATCATCGACTAGTAGTTGCGTACATGCACTTTCCTTGGTATGGAGTAGCAAAGAAAAACAAAGAAGAGATAGCAAAACAAGAACAACAAAAAGACAACCAAAACAACCAGGAAATAAAAGAGAAAAGATTTAAAATTCACCTCCTAGAGGAAGAAACAATAAGAGATTTGTACAAACGTAGACTTGATGAAAAACTAATAGAGTTCAATTTTAATAATTTAACAGACACTTACGAACACGTGAAGAAGAGCATTAAAGAGGCAGCTTATGAAGCATTAGGAGAGGAAGACGGAAAGAACAAAAAATATACAGAAGAACTCAGTGAGGAAGCTATTGCAGCTATTCAGGAAAAAAAGCGCTTACACCAAAAATGGCTCTGTACAAATTCGGGAGAAGACCTACAGAAATATAAGAACAAAAACAGAGAAACAAAAAAACTAATTAGTAAAGAAAAAAATGAAAAATGGGATAGACTCTGCCAAAACATACAACAGTATACAGGAGGTACAAGATGCTCGGAATCATGGAGAACAATAAGATCTGTCAGATCAAATACCAAAGAGAAAGTCAATATACAGTTTATCAAAGAAACCGAATGGGAAAATTATTATCAACAACTACTAACGGAGACACGACCACAATTCTGGCAACAACTAACATACCAAATACAACCTACCAACAATCTAAAGCATGTAACAATAGAAGAAAAAGAAATAATAAAAGCCATTAAAGAATTAAAAAACAAAAAATCACCAGGGCCAGGGGGGATAGTAAATGAACTTATTAAGTATGGGTCGGACAAATTATTCAGAATATTGAAAAACATGTTTGAAAGAGCAATAAATGGAGAAACGTTACCAAGGGAGTGGAATACGGCATATATAAGCTCTATTTTCAAGAAGGGGGATCGTAGGAAGTGTACCAACTACAGAGGAATTAGCATTATATCAAGCATGGGAAGACTATATGGAAAGATAATCAAAAACAAAATAGAAGACCAGATAATAGGGAAAATAGGTGAAGATCAAGCCGGTTTCACGGCAGGGAAGTCCTGCGTTGATCAGATATATACGGTAAGGCAGACTATCGAAAAGAAAAAAGCTAAAAACAGAGACATCCATTTAGCATTCATAGATATAAGAAAAGCTTATGACTCTATACCCAGACAACAACTTTGGAAAGCAATGGAAGATATTGGGATAGAAAGAGAACTAATAAAAGCCGTAGATACAATGTACAAGAACAACGAGTTGTCGGTTAAAATAGGTAACACAATTTAAATACTTAGGGTGTATAATAACAAAAGATGGATCAACAGAAGAAGAAATCAAATCTAGACTAGGTCAGGGTAGAACATGTATAAAACAACTGAACTCCATTATATGGAACAAGAAATTAACAAAGAAAACAAAAACAACAATATTTAAGACAATAGTAGAAAGTATAATTACATACGGAGCAGAAACCTGGCTATTGAACAAAAAGAACAAATCTAAAGTAACCGCCGTTGAAATGGAATATTGGAGAAGGTGTTGCCAACGAACACGCATGGATAGAATACGTAACGCAGAAATCAAGAGGCAAATGAATGTAGAAAAAGACTTATTAACTACAATAGCAGAAAAACAGCTTAAATGGTATGGTCATGTCAGACGAAGTGACGATAGACGGTGGATAAAGAAAATCACAGAGTGGAGCCCTATGGGACGTAGAAAGAGAGGAAGACCCAGAAGATCGTGGAGGGATGAAATAGATGAAGCCATGGAGGAAAGGGGGTTGGAAGACGGAGATTGGAATGACAAAGATGAATGGAGAGTCTGGTTGAGAGAGGGAAAACGGCGCGAGCTGTAACAAACTCCATATATATATATAAAAAGCATTCTCGCTCGGTTTCACTCAGGCGTGATTTTTTTCCCATAAGAAAAATCGTATACGGAATTCTGTATGCAGGTGGCAACGCCGGTTGGTACGCTGGCTTACTTAAAGTTTACGTCCTCTCGAAGTGTTTTCTTAAACAGCGACTGATACTGGTGATTCGACATAACGTAGCCGTTGTGGCACAAGTCGACAGTCGGCTGGGTAAGATCTTTCCATGGTAGTTTTCCAAATTTCCTATGCAACGCCCAGTAGCCCCTCAGTTCACCGGGCACGCCTATGGCGAGCGGACCTACGCAGACAAATGACTTTGTTGACTTTTGTTTTTTTTTTTTCGGTCAGCTGATAAGTTATCGCCAGTACCGTATTGTTTGGATATCCTAGGTGCCTACGTGTCAAAACGTTACCAATTTCGATTAGGATTAATCAGTTCACTTGAAATTAAAGTGTTTATATTACCTTATCGATGACATATGAATTAACGCGCAGTTAGGCAGTTTTGCGTAATATTAACGTTTTTTGTTAACATCACAATCAACCATGCAAAACAAACGTCCCAGGTAGCAAAGGATCGTCAAAATGGGTCATCAATTAGTCACCAAATGACGTTATATATGACGTCGGCAGGACGTGAATTTGACATACTCGGACGAATGATGCCATTTAACTGACGCCTTTTTCACGTCAATTTTTGTCCTTTTTACGTCATATTTTGGTCTTTACTGCTGAAACATATGACGATTTTTAAATCGTTTTTTTCTGTTTTAAAAAATTAATAACGGCGGTATATACAGGGTGTTCCTATTGTTTTTTTCACGAAAATTAATATTCATTTTGACTCACCCCGTATAAACGATTCGAAATCGGAATACACTCAATATAGACCATAACAATCCTATATTGGGTTATTGAGTAAAAAAGGGAGTATCTATTAATCCCATAATATAGAGAGTAATCCATTTTACAATATAAGTTTTATTTCCGAGGTATTTAAACATAATTTTTAATTGTTTTTAGTCTCGTCTATAACTTTTGTATTAAACATTTTTTTCTAAAACAAATAAAAAACGAAATTAATTACTTTGACACAGTCCATCCATCCTCTAGATATATTCTCCTACATAGAAGAAAGAAGAATTTGATAATTTTAATTTAAATTAATTATTAAGCTTAAAGTTCATATCTTAAATTAATCAAGTCATTTTATGACAAATTGGGAGGTCATTTTTGTGACGTTAATAAGACATCCTTTTTTTACGTCAATTTGACTTATGATTCGAAAATGATGTCACTTTGACGAGCCTCTGCTACTTGGGCGTGATATACTGACCATTCCGCGGTTTCATATGGTCGCCCTGATATATTTCTTTGCTGGCGTTTAGGGGTGCCTTTTCGCGAGCATTCAGAAAGTACGCCCGTTTCTCGTCCTTTTTGTACACCGTCATCAAAAATCCGCCCCCCAAGCCCATACTCTGCATCGTCACCATGCCGTTGCAGAACAACGTGGCTATAGCCGCATCCGCTGCGCTCCCATTCTTTTCTAGAACGTTCCTTCGCGACAAACATATCGTTAATTTACAAAACAAAAACCCACATTCGCTTTAATTTTAATGGGTTGCCCGTTTACGTTATTTTTTAAAAATATATTCAAGAAAACTCTCGGGACGCCACTGGTACACCGTGAACTCGAAATAACGCTGCCATTTTTACAAAATGGGGAATGCCGAAAATTAACTCCATTTCGAAATCTTCGTCTTAAAGGATTCACCATCGTAAACCCCGTCCAAATAATGAACGTTTTTATTTACATCGCTCACATTAACCTTGAAATACCCGTTTTCTTTATCTCGCCGCAATGCCGCTTTTTTTTGTAAATCTATTTTTAAACACCCGCAACCTCGACACCGATAAATAAAACTTCGTAATACAAAAAAAAAATATTTTATTATCACACAGTGTTTGAAACACAATGCGCGTAGCATCACTAATCAACCATACAAAAAGCACTTAAACGCTGGAAATAATTTATTATTAATAACGTATTTCTCATTTATGCGTTAGCGACCTCAATCAAGTATTAAAAAAAAAATACGGAGACCTCGCGAATCGATGACAGTTGGCCTTGAAAGTTCGAGGTAAAATCGCTCTTTTGAACATAATCAGTCCGTTTTCGAGTAATCACAGTAGAGACGAATTATCGGGCCGGCTTTGCACTCCCACGGATCACACCTTCGTCTTCTTGTTCTGCTCCGTGTTCATCAGCTTCGTTAGGATTTTTCTAGAATGTCCGCTCGGATCGAAATGGTTGGTGTTCAGCGCGGCTTCCTTCTTCGTGCGCTGCTTTCCGCCGTGGCTGCTGTAAATATGCTTGTCGAACGCGAAATTGTAATGCTCGTATTCGTCGAAATGACTCTCGGCTTCCGGAGAAATTTTCGTTTCCTTCTGCTGCATTATTATCAACAAAAACACTTTAATTTCACTGCGTACCGATTTCTTTCGTGTCACTTTACGAAACTGTCTAACAACCGCGCAAGGCTGCTGCGATATTTATAACGACACCCGTGTTGCTAGGCGAGCGCCGAACGTTCGCGACGTCGACGTTGCCACGTTTACCGGCATCCTCGCCGTTCGATGTGCCGATTGTTGTTTTTGCGGGAAAAGGTCGCCGAAAAGGCATCCGCGCTGCATTTTCATAACCGGACGCGTCTTCGATTGCGTTAATGCGCGCGTAATGGATTGGCGACGACCGAAAATTTACCTCGGCCAAAAATACACGGCCGCATCGGCAACGCCGCGAGCGTTTGCAACGGATTAATGCCGAGCCGGTGGAACTTGTGTTTTTGTTTTGGTCGTCCGCGATAAGGGAAATAATAATAATTAAACGATCGAGCTAATAAGCTGACGATGTCTGTATCGGCAATATTGTAAACGTGTGGGTATTTTTTTGTCGCCGCGTACAATGTTGGCATCATTGGCGTCGGGTTCGAAACCTCGCTTAGTTTGAACATCAAAAATATTATCGAGATCGACTTCCACGTGTTATGCAAACAAGCTACCAGCACGTTAAGGTTAGTTTTATTATAAACACATATTAAATAGAAGAAAGTGTGGAACTTACTTTCCTATTTCTGCGCACGGCGGTGAATCTGCGCATACAGCCGATCTTTTGAATACGTGCATGACCGAGGCCGACGGGGGTAGCGGTGCGGTAGGGTTCGGGGGCATGAGATTCGACTCGTCATCCTCTTGCTTTTTTTCGGCGAAAACGCCCGTGTAATAGGCCGCCAAAATCACGGCCAATATGACTAGTATGGCGATCGTTCCCAGTACGTAGCGCTTTTTGATCGACGGTCTGTGAACAGAAATTATGATTTGTGACCTAATTTTTTTCTCTAAGCTGCCGTTGCTCGCAGTGGATGTATATAGACGTAAGAGTCGCGATTTTAGCAGTGACGGGGCGAATTTTATGAACAATGTGGTACGTGAATATCAGATATCGAGGAACTGGTCGGACCTGATTTTGAATAATCATGGACCCACGATATGCCCCCAAAACGGTCTAACGCTGTTACGGAGTGGGCAGTGGCGTGCGTGCATTTCGCGATGCGAGGGACGACATTATCTATCCAACTCGAAAATATGTCGACGATAAGGATTTTCAAATACAACTCGAGAGGGAAAAACACGAGAGCTTCGCGGCAGGTCATTTACATTTGAGGTTATTTACGGAAACACGGTTATGTAATATACAAGCCCACATCTCTCGTAAACACAGGAGCGCCGATATTGTGCAGCCATAAACTGTTCGTTATTCCTACGCAATTCGAAATGGAAAATTTCATTACATTCTGTCTGTTTAGGTCTTCAACTTGTTCTCGTATTTTGTTTTGAATATCCAAAATTGTTGCCGGTTTTCTATATAAAAAAGTGTCAGCGGGAGTAAGATCTGGTCTGTTAGGAGGCCACTACACTACAGACATTATTACGATTTTTTCAAAAAACAAAATGCATTTGTGATTCTCAATTTGGTTTTAAGACCGGCTGCTCCACTGGGCAGGCGGTTCGCAGGGTTGTGGGAGGCGTGGTGGAAGGCCTGGACTCAGGCTTTCGACTGCGTCTCTCATGAGAAGTTTGGCAGGTATGGTGTCCGTGGTCACCCTCAGGAACTTATCCGGCCGTATTTAACTGACAGAAGACAGTGTGTCGTCCTTAACAATAACATGTCGGAGTTGAAGGTTGTGAGTAGTGGCGTGCCTCAGGGCTCCGTCTTGGGCCCGCTACTATTTACTATTTACACCAATGACTTGTACCATTTTCTGTTCCCCAATAAGTGTACACTTTATGCGGACGGTACATCGTTTGTAACTTAGGCAATGACTCTAATAAACTTATGCACAATGTTGACAATTTTGAGCGGATAGCGGAACTTTGGTTCAGCAACAATAACCCTATACTAAACACAGATAAGACGCAACGTCTTGTTTTCTCAACTAATAATAATCTACTGGAGGGCTCTTGGGAGTAACGCTTCGTGATGGTTTAAATTGGGCCCCTCATATTAACATCTTGTGTAAAAAACTTGCCTCTAATATTTTTATAATCCGTAATCTTAAAGGACTGGTTACCGTGAGCACATTGCGAGTTACCTATTTTTCTCTTTTTCACTCTCATCTAACTTACGGCCTAGTTCTCTGGGGTAAATTTGGCACCTGTAACAAAGTTGCGAGAGTGGATGCACATTCCCTCCATTTTCATTTACTTCTACCTAAACGCATCCCTGTACTTAGAAACCGATATAAACTAAATAAAGCGCGGCGAGCGCCATCTGTCGAGGACGGCGTCAGTCGCCGCGTCTAATTCCCGACAGGTGGCGCGGCCGCCGCCGAATTTGGTTCCGAAAATAAACGCGCGTACGTATTTGACAGCGAAATTCAAACGTGTACGAACTTTTCGCGATCTTCGTCGCACAAAAGTTGCGGGTCGGCGTTCCGCCGGCGGCACCCGCACAAATTGGCCATCCCTTCGTTATCCAGGATACCGATCGATGCGTGGACGATTTTCCGGCATCTTCTACGTAACACGTCGGAACGTTTCACTACCGGCGGATTAAGCGGCAATTTGAAATCGACCATGCTATTAAAATGTGGCCCCCCAGGGTGAGAACACTACGGATTTTGTACCGCCGACATTACGCGCACGTCAAATGTGATTTTGAGGTTAGGATGCGTCACGTTGGGGTCGATAAAGAATTGCTCCCGTACTCCAACGTGGCAATTCTATCCTCTTCTGGCAGGGACTAACCCCGAAATGCTCTAGAATCTAGGTTTTTCTTAATCAAATAAAAAAATCTTGTTCCCTGTTGTTAAATGACGCGTAAAACCACACACAGGAAGAAAGGAATACTTTATTATGTTATTGGTGGAACATGGAAGAGCATATCCTTTTTTTCCAAAATATAGGAGGTGAGTAGTAAACAACTGAAACTTTCATCAAAATATTTATTACGTATTAATAAAATATGTTTATAACTCAATTTTAGAAGCTTTGCCAATGTAATGGATCAGGTATGGGTAGCGAAATTAGATTTGGACCAGTGTAAAAACGTTTCTTTTAGGGATATATGAAGCATTTGGTCAAACCGGAAGAAGGGCTATCGAGAGTCAATGTTCTTGTACAATTGGAAGTAATTGTACTAGTCAAAGTCGCATTTATTCTATAAAAAAAGACAAACTTATACCCGAAATATTTACAGAAATAAACAAAAGTGTGGTACGAGTATTACACTTTCAAAAGATATTCAACTAGAAAATCCAAAGCATTTGTAAAAATAGTTATAAATGAATACACACTATGCTTGGTATTAAAGAATTTGAAATAAAACACTTTTAAGCAATAAATAGCGTTTTGGATTTTGTTTTAATAATGGAGAGATATGTGTCAACTGCTATAGAAATAAATTACTAATACAAACATGGTTATGGATTCTTAAAATTTGAAGTTACCAACAGTATATTTTGCTTTTTTAACAACATTACAATTTTTTTTACCTACATAATAATATAGAATAACAGTTACATTTTTATTTTTTATTAAACTTTTTGTTTGATTGTACTGTTGGTGGTATAATAGCTATATGAATTTTTTTTTAAATAAAATGGATTTTAAGCCCTTGAGGGCATGCACAAAATTATGACAACTCCTACTTTGATGGCAAAATTGCCCACTGGCTTGCAAATAAAAAGAAAAAAATATGTCAACATACCATATCCATGCCACCAGGAAAATAAAAAAATACTGTGAACAATTGTCGGACACAAAAAACATATTATTTAAAAAACTATTGGCTAAATAAACTCCTTTATCTACAACCATTTAATAATAGACGCATAATACTTCTGACAGTGAGAGTATTATGCTACGCATAATACAACAAGTGTAATTATATCATAAAAAAACAAGTGTAATTATATCATAAAACAACAAGTGTAATAAAATATTCTGGAATTCTTAATAATCCGGGCTTCAATTAATCGGCGCAGAATTCACACATTTCATTTATTATTTTTATGAAAATTTACTATAAAGTTACCCATATTAAAGTCATACACACGTTACCAATTCAATTCTATTATTCAAAAACAGTTCAAAAAATACAAACCAATATGACAATAATTAAAAAGAATTAGTAGGCCGTGCAGGCTAAATCTGACAGCGCGCAGCGGGTATCCATAGCGACAGCTTACCCGACGCGACGCTCATCGTGAATACAAACATTTTCTTTCATGAAATAATAATTGTAAAGTAAATAATATTCATATAGAGAAGCTTTAAAATTTCGCCTTGCAATTAAAACATAAGATTTAATAAAAATGGATTCTGAAAACGAAGTACTAACACCCCCGGAAATTCGAGCGGCAGCGGAAGCTGCGTCTCTGGATTTACTTCCCAAGAAATCAAGAAACAATTATGAAATTGCCTACAACAATTTCATGGATTGGCGATCAAGAAACAAGGCCACCTCCTTCTCTGAAGATACATTATTAGTGTATTTCAAAGAATTGGCTAAAAAGTATAAGTCGTCCTCCTTGTGGACGTTTTATTCCATGCTGAAAAGCACACTTTATATTAAACACAATGTCAAGATCGACCACTACGCGAAGCTACATGCTTTATTAAAAAGACAATCAGAAGGCTATCAACCCAAAAAATCTAAGGCATTTACCGGACAGGAAATAAATAAATTTATTTATGAAGCTCCTGATACAAAATATTTGGCTACAAAGGTAAGGAATGATAAGACGTTACATACCTACGGTATTTACCAAGAGGTGTTAATTTTTTAGGTTGCATTAATTATGGGAGTGATGGGTGCATGCCGCTCAAATGAACTACATGCAATGAAAATACAACACGTTACATTTTATGAAGGTTGCACTAGAGTAATAGTTCCCGTTACGAAGACCAAGATCCCTAGGAATTTTACTATTACTGAGAAGTTCCATGATATTGTTAAAAAATATGCAAATCTGAGACTGCCAAATGCATCAGATTCTTTTTTTATGAATTTTCAAAATGGAAAATGCACAAAACAAGTTATCGGCATTAACAAGTTTGCCAAAATGGGCAGAGAAATAAACGTGTTTTTTTTTGCATGCTTTTAATAAACATTTCAAACCCTAAACTAGTTTTTAATTTTTATTTTATTGTGCGATCAATTTATCATTTTAATTGGCTGTAACTTTTTTGTTTTTAGAGATATCAAGGTAAACAAAAAAACAAATGTAGGGTTAGTGACGTATAAAACAAAACACCATCAATTTTCTGACATATAAGCCTACAGTATATTTTTTGTGTAGGCTTACATGTCAGAAAATTAATAGTGTTTTGTTTTATAGGTCACTTGAAAAAAAAACTTGGCTATTAACTCTATATTTCGTTTTTTTGTTTACCTTGATATCTGGAAAAACAAAAATGTTGAAGTCAATCAAAATGTTACCAAGATAAATTGAACTCACGGTACTTTCGTGTCAGCTTGTTACTTTCGAAAAATCGATGAAATCGACAATAACTTCCGAACGGTTTGAGCTACACGCTTCAAATTTTACTCCCTTTTAACCGTTCAAATTTCGGCGTCCATCTTTTTCTTTCGATTTTCGACTGTTTGTTGGACGTTGCCATGGAACACGATAAGTGTCTGAAATTTGAAGCTATCGACTTTAAACTGCGTTTCTAAGGGTCTAAGGCAAAGATCATTTCTCGAAACCTGTTTATGGAACCCAAAAAGTTCTTGAACGAAAACACGTCCAGATTTGGCTGCATAAACCTTTATTCTTGAAAATTTTTCAAAAATGTGCAGGGTGTGTCATAAATTAAAAAAAAAATGGGTCCTCCTATTATTGAAAATTGGGGATAACTAAGGGACCGTTTTTCAGATATCAGTTTCTTTTACATGGCAATAAAGCTCGCATACACAGCTAAAACTTTTGTATTTAAGGTTTTCACCTATTGTACAGAGTGTTCGCGATATTCCGTGGAATATTAGAAAACCCAATAGGTGCACTAAATTTGCAGCTACCGCCTTCAGATTTGGCAGAGAAGTAGAAGTTCGGACCCACATCCCACCGTTCATCAGATTGGCAAAATTCTTTAACTGGCAGACGCAGAAGATCCAGTGCTATAACATTTATTTCGGGCATTTTTTCAATTATACACAGGGTTTTCAAATTATAGGCAAAAATCTAAAACACCTAGAAAATTGTTCTTTTCCAGAGTAAATTATTAGCCGCAAATCAAAAATCGTAAAAAAATGGCTAATGTGTTTAAACGATTTTTGTATTTGCGGTTTTCGTCTATCACACACACTCGATAAATTTGAAAAAATCCATATGAAAGTCACTATTCCGGCGGCTGTCAAGGCGCGATGACGTCATTCGTTATTACGGAGCACTGCATGGTTTCAGTAAAATTTCACCATTCACCATTTTAGAAAAATTCTTCTTAATATCATTTTTTTTATTGTGTCACCCTGCATGTTTTCGCCGAATTTTCACAATACGCATATTACTTATTGACAAAATTCAGTTCGGCGGGCCTGCGGGTTTAAATTTCCCGCTCAAGAACTATGCCACGCATGTGGCAACGTTGTACGGTACGGGTGTGATTCCTTAGCCGCTCTTACAAGACAAGACACTTACCGCCAGCGGTGACGCCGTTTTTGGGGTCCGGGCAATTCTTCGAAGTAAAAATCGTCGAATTCCAAGCGGTCGGAGACGCTGCCGCTACGCATCGCGATTGGGTTCGTCGTCGAAGGGTAAGACGCGATCACATGTTCCTCACCGCCGGATTACACGCTTTTATTTTTGTCCGTTCGCTCGCGACGCTTAATTATAACGTCCGTTCTAATAAGCACCCGATGGTCACGACAATTACGCGCAAAATGGTGTAAATTACACGTACGTACATACCTTGGAGCACGGACCGGCAACGAAACTGAATCTCGACTTGGGTAACCTTACTTAGACTTGCCTCGACGGGCAAGCCGGGTGTACAGGGTGGGTCGGCAAAAACACCGACGCCGAATGTTTTGTTAGCGGTTAATTGTGCACATTGCATGTTTTTTTTTACTTCTAATGTCCAAGCTACATAAGAGCGTTGGGCCAGCTTACAAAAATTAGTATACTTCAACCAGAAATATAGTGCTTTTACAACCGACCCCGTGATTAACTTTGCATACTGTTCATTACGCCAACACCGGATGACACTTCCAACTACTTATCTAATTCCTATGTTCTACATTTTTTACAAAAGGTGATTAATTTCTTAACGGACAATTTTGTTAAAAATTATTAACAGTAGCTAGTGTTTTCTTTTTAAATAAGGATCGTGTATTATTTACCTTGTTGTTAGGTTATGTTATTTCATTAAAATTGTAAAAATAAAAAAGAACAGTCTACGCGGCCTTTCGAGTTTCGACGGTAGTTTTTCAAAAACGCGACGCATTTTTGCAATGGAAACCACTGTAATTGGTTCTGTCCAGTATAGGATACCGGGGCGTAATAGATAAAGGTAGAACACTGGCGGACAGATGGGTGGAGGGTTTTGATATTCTTAGTATGCTTCGACCAGAAATATAGTGCTTTTACAACCGACCCCGTGATTAACTTTGCCTACTGTTTACTACTCCAATTTTGTTAAAAATTATTATTATTATTTTCAAACCAGTGCTCAAATATTTCCGCGGTCATGTTTTCATGGTTATCCACACTTGAATCGTTTTTGGCAGACAAAAATAAGGCATCTGGCATGAAGAATGATTATGATTCGTGAAAATAAATGTCGTTATTATACATGTAGTTTTGGATTGTTGCTTTTGTGTCACACGAGGAAGGAGTTTTTAGTCAACTGTCTACTGTGATAACTTGCATTGTCCATTACAATGACGCTATTAGGAGGAATGTTTGGAACTAATTTGTTTTTAAACCAATTTTCAAATAAATCAGCGGTGGTGTCTTCATGGTTATCCAGAGAAGAATCTTTAATATTTTTCGCAGACAGAGAAAGTCCATTTGGAATCCAACCATTTTTAGAGCCGGCACGCAAAATAGTTATTCTTTAACTCTTTTTGATGGCGCGTTTGTTTTGCACTTATCAGTTGAGTCAACCCAACCCATTTCCGGGGTATCATAAGTGTCGAACCAGGTTTTATCCAAGTAAATAATTGTCCTTTGTTGTTCTCTGTTAAACCTTATTTTTTTCTAGATATTCCAGTCGCCATTTTCGAATTCTAAAAGATTCCATTAAAACTTGCCTTTTGCCAACTTTGTTAAATCTAAAACCCAAGTATTGAATACACTTCCATAAGGTAGTTCTGCCACATTTAACACCGGTTTCATCTTTTTCAAGCTTCCTAATTAATATATCTAATGTAAGCGCGCTTTGTTTTTTATTTATTTATTTATTTATTACAAAGGTGCCCTAACATGAAGAACTAACTTCACAATTTACAAGGACACATTATTAAATTAACAAAGTAAAACTTATAAGTAGGTACCTACCTATATCTACGATAAGCAGAAAATAATAACAATCAAACTTACCAAACTAAGCCAAAACTAACACTCTATATTAAGTGCGTGAATTACAAAAAACAAATGTGAAATAATAAGGAAAACAAATCAAAAATTAAAATAAATTTATAGAAAAACCCTAATTGCTTGATTTCGAAACGAATTAAGTGATAACGCAAAGATGTCAACGTGCGAAAAATAATTATTGTAATGTCTATGTAAAAGAGATATTGGGGAATTGTTACCTAAGTTTGTATTAAATCTAGGCACGTAAAATAATGAAGGAGTTCTTGTTATAACGACTCTGGCATTGAAGGATAGTTTTTCCAACAGTAAAGGACAGTCAATCCTACTATTAATAATATTATGCAAAAATATAGCACTGGAGATAATTCTTCTAACAGATAACTTCAGTATATGGTAGAAATTAAGACTAGCTTCATACGAATGAGTTAGTAAGTTACGGTTAAATATAAAATTTAAATGGAAAACAAACTTTTTTTGTATTCTCTCGATTCTGTCTATATATTTATGATACTGAGGACTCCATATCACACCGCCATAGTCAAGGTGAGATCGAACGTAGGAATTGTATAGAATAATAAGCGATTTGTGATCCTGAAATTCCTTGCTAACTCTTAATATAAAACCTAAATTTTTATAAGCTTTTTTTACTATATTCTCAATGTGGATATCAAAACTTAATTTTACATCTATAGTTATTCCAAGATCCCTAATCTGCTCTACTTTTTTTATTTTTACACCATTGAATGTGTAGTCAAAGTTTATATCATTTATCCGCCTGCTGAACTTAAGACAGTAACATTTATCAATATTTAAAAATAGACGATTTTTCACACAGTATTCATAAAAACGATCAAGATCTTCTTGAAACTTATGACAGTCGTTAAGGCTTTTCACGGGCGCCTATGATTTCTGATCATTAGCAATTAGTCACTTTCTTATATCTATGAACAGACCATACTTGCCCTTACCCTTTGAACTAGCTAGTGAAAATAACCTCTCAGAGTCAGGTACATAAATACGTACTTACTCGAAGGATCACAGTCAAATACATCCGTAATATATACGAACATATTGTAGTTTAGATTAAACTCTTAAGAATGATAGTTATCACCTGATGTTAAAGTAAACGCTTCTACTTATTCATAGCATCAATGGTCAATCAAATTTAAAACGGTACATTTACGTTTCAAATAAAAATATTCAAGTTTCTACAAATATTCGTTACGGTCCATCTCAGGCAAGACCTATTTAACGCAGAATAAACATCTGTTGGGATGGGTTAAGGTACCGTAAAATACTAAAAACGTCAAAGCAATAAATGCACTATATTTTTGGTCGTGTTATATACGAGTAGAAGCATCCTTCTCTCTTGGTTTTACGACCGACTATGCCATCACAAATCGTAGCGACTATATGTATTAACTTATGTATTATTTTAGTTTGCTTATTTTATATTTTTAATGGGGGTTTCCGTGACTAAATAAATAAACAGTATCAGTATATACACTAATGACGTCGTAGTACATTACTATTTTACTCGGTTAAATTTTTGGTTGGATCGCCCCGTAAGCCAGAAAGCGCACGTCTATATACCACTTCTACCTTAAAAGGACCACGATCCGAACCACGGCGAACTTTTCGTGATCGCGGTCGGCTTGGCCCGCTTTAACGCCACGTTGCGATCGATTGAAAAGGAAGACAGAAAGAGGCGCGAAGTAGGCGCGGGTTAATCAGCTGTCAAAGCGCACTTACATCATACGCCTCTTGACGGATCCGTCGACGATGTTCAGCGAGGTAATCGTCATTATTGTCTCGGTCACATGTTATATCTGCCCTCTGAAAAACGAAACACACAGGAGCGACGTATACGTAACACGGTACGCGAGGAAACCGTCGACTAACTTCACTCGCTCGTTCGAGAAAGGTACGCGGTTAGATCTGCGGGAAATCACAGCTCGCGATTTTTCCCGATGACTAAGAAAACGCAACACGTAATTTATAGTCGCGCGAACCACAGCCAATTGAAGCCTCGACATTACCAATTCGAGGGTCATCGAAGACAAACGATAATCGCACGCCAAGGACGTCACGATGCCGACGCGTAATCGAATTTGGTTAGTTTGTCAAACATCACGTAAAGGTCGACGACGTTCGACGCTAGAGGGCGGCTATAGCTTTTCTAAAATCGTTGTCATTATGCAATGCACTTTCTACATGTATAGTCTGTCTCAATTTTCATATTTAACGATGTTATTACATATCGTTATTGGGTAAAGCCATCAACACAAAAATTTATTCTCGCTTGAATGACAACGCGATATAACATTTACTGCAGTGTTGTGAAAAATGTGTATAAAACTTTAATCCAGTAGAGTACTTTAAAAGAAACCTGTCTACTTACAAAATTCCAATTTTCTCAACTCACCGTATAGACTATAGTCACCAGGATCTAATAAGAATGAAAATATATTGTCTTCATCAAAGCAAAATTGTTCCTACCTTAGATAAACTAAAAAAGAAGTTAGAAGAAGATAATAATAATAATAAATTGCCTTTATTGTTGTATATTGTTATATACAAATATACAGTAGAGAAGAGGCGAAGCCCAGCAAAAGCTACTAAACTTATCTAAGCACACTACATTTTACCATGAAGTACTGATCTCTTGGTCAATAAACATTGGCGTCCGAATATTTATTTGTCAGCAAATTTGGTATGTTTCCGTTATTTTGCTATGTAATTCATGCGAAATAAAAAATAATTTATTACGATAGCACAGAAAGTGCTAAATTGAATATTCCATCGACAAAGCAAAAAAAAAAAAATTAAATAGATATAAAAATGTCTTTTTCATCATTTTTTACATCGTCCGAACATTTAGTTGACATGGGTGACAAGACATGGGTTATAGAGGACTAAACCATAGTTCATAATCGAAAGGACAAGTGATTGAGCTAAAAGTTTCCGTAAACTGAAATTCAGGACAGTTCTGTCTGTATAAATGGCGTAAAACCAAATAAGACTCTTTCACCAACAAACATCATGGTCCACGCATGACCATGATGTTTGTTGACGTGACAAATATAATATTTTATTTAAAAAGTGTTCAAAGGCGCCCCCCTCACCCCTAGTCTGGAAGGTATACGGAAGAAGGGAACAAAACAATCAATTTCACCCTAAAGAAAAAAAATTCGAACAATCAGAACGCCCTGTATAGTATCAAACGCGCTGTTGCCTCGGGCGGGCAAATTTTAAGACGCAGTGAATCACTATCGAAACTTTCACATTTTTAAGCACATAGTTTGTTACACTTTCCGCGTAGTTTCTATCGAGTACGCGTCCACTGTTATCCGCCGAAATCGAGTTTAGGCTGAATGGGTTCGTTAGACGGCGGTTCGAAGATACTTAAAGGTAAACTTAAAGCTCGTCCTGTAAATTACCTGTAATGGCTAGGCGGAGGCCATTCGACACCCACGAAGCCGGGCGATTTTATTCGTCCTTTCCCCGCATTGTCAATAGCTTAACGATAACGTCGCACAACCCGCAAGGCAACGAACAAACTAACGGACATGGTCGCACGAGGTGGCCTTGCTTACGAGCGATCATTTCGATTTCGAGGTTAGGTGGGTCTACCCACCGTGTCTGTAAATTTGTTGTTTTTACCATAGAAACATTGAAGTGCTGATTGGAACGTATATTATATTGATAAAAGTATATTATATTGATAAAAGTCTATGAACAAATATTATTTGTTCATAGACGGTCAGCGGCACGCCACTGATTTACATTTGCGTCCCACTGTTTTCATTTAAAAATTGAAACTAATTGCTCTTTCACACGTGTCGGGCCGCCTTATTTCGTAATCGTGGAATTATTACGTACATCTTGCTGCATCTTAGATATTCCGTGTTAGCGAAACATGTGTCACATTTCTTTAAAAATGTGTGGAGATTGTACGAATAATTTTTAGTTTAGATTTAGAAGAAATACATATCAGAAACATATCAACATTTTCTACATTTGTAAATTGATTATTTTTTTAAGGCAGCTTATTTTTGGTGTCAAAATGTCGCAAAAAAAGTACCGGATTTAAAAAGTCTTTGTTCCCAATAGGGTGCTATTTGAAAAAACTAGGTTGTCCTAAACAATCAATAGTTCATTACATTAATTTTTTTTTAATTATTATTATTTATTATTTACAATTTTTCCCATGATCTTGGTTACCACCTTAAATAATATTTATATTAACCCTTCCAAATTTCAAATCACTATTCCAAAGTAAAAATAATACTAAATAAATAATAATAAAACGCCTAAGTGGGCCTTGCGCCACCCTCCCTTAACCTCAAAAGCCACCGGCATTTATCCTCCCTTTTGGTTTGCTTAATTCACGAACCACAGACCATAAGTCGATTTCGGTTCTTCTCATTTTTTTTCTTTTTCTAGTCGCAGCAAAAATGGACGATCCCGTTCCCGACACCAATGACGGTAAGTGTGACGAAAACGTGTATTATTTTTTTTAAACATTTATTAACAAAATTACAATTTGACACGTCATTTGAACGCACATAGAATTTTCTATACAACGAGGACACTAACCGTTCCTATTATAACGTTTTCGGAGTAAAATCGTTTTGTCGAAAAATATTTCTGAACGTTTTGTTTTGCTCGTCGTCAGACAACGTCCGTTATCCATAATAATACTGCGTGGTTATATTTCTTGTAATTAAGGGAAGCCTGGGCAAAATGAACATTTCCCCGAATTTGTAGAATATTCAACGAAGTCTGGCAACTCTGCTCTCTCGCTACGTGAAAAGTTTTTCGGAGCGACGTCATGGGTATATGGTTATGACATCGAAACCCAGTGTCGTTCCAATGGAAGAACCCAGAATCGCCAAGACCGAAAAAAACACGTCAAGTGCGATCAAATATCAAGATTTTGCTTACTGTTTTCATCAATTATCGTGGGATAGTGCTTCAAGAGTTCTTACCACAAGGTCGTACAGTCATTAAAGATTATTACCTTTAAGTTATGCACCGTTGCTCACTCATCGTTGCTAGTTCAACTGACCAAAACTTAAATGTCGTACTTTTTGAACACACCTCGTAAATATAGATGTGAACAGTGCCAGAATTGAATGAAACGTCTTTCAAAGACTACGTTCATTATGTCGTGATCATTTTACCCCGTGAGTGTTACCTCATTTTCTTAGGGCGCTCATGATGCCCCGGCTTCCCCTATTATTTGTTAACGAGGGATATGTGAATGCCTTTGCTCGAACCTAGGTGTAGTACGATTGTTTTATATGGCTACCCTGTAACAAGTTGGGTAATATGCACGAAAAGAGAGCGGGAGAACACGTACGTGTTCTAATCTACAAAACCGACCATCACTCCCACGCGTCATGGTTTGCGTTCCGTTTTGTAAGCTGAAACGAACAAAAAAATTGACGCGACTTTGAAATTGTCGTTGTCACTTATCGAATGTTTCCATACGTGACCCATAATGGAATGTTTCTTTGAGTACAGTATATATGATCGTCAACCTTGCATTTTTATCTAATTTTAAACATACGCCGTGGAAATGCCCTAAGCGGCCGTTGATTCGAAAAAACAAATAACTCTCTACCAGCACATATTCTTGGGTCCTTATCACAATAAAAATCACATCGAAGCTGCCGCGTCCCGTGGATGAACGACGGCGCGTTAGAGCGCCATCTCGCGCGAGCCGACCAAAGTTTGTTTGAAAGGTCGTCTAGCGTCCTCGGGTCTCGCGAATTTCTTTCGTGCGATCCACGCGAGCAATGCCCTGTCTTCGTTGGAGTCGTCGCAGTTCTCCACCTGAAACTGTGAAAACAGCGAAGTCACACAGTGATAATATTGTCACTGTGTAAACTAACCTAAGTCACAGAGTATATATTTTGTCAAACATACACATGGTCACAGACCAGTGGTTATTTTTCATCTCACCTAAGTCACAGAGTATATAATCTGTCAAACATATACGTGGTCACAGACCAGTGGTTATTTTTCATATGCATATACTATGAACAACGTTACCTACCGTCGATGGCGTATTATTGTCGTCGATTGATATCAGCACGTGTCCGCTAGACGTGTCCGATATTTCGGACGATTCGGACGAACGATTGCTCGTAGTCCCGCTATCCAGCAGCGGTTTGGCGGCGCCGCAGGACTTGGGACCGTCGCCGTCAGTGTCTTCGTCGCCGTAACGGATCCGTTTCCACTTTTTCTCCAGCAGAGAAGCGCTGGATCCCGAGCGCGTCTTCGTGACGTCACGCGAAATCGCGTCTTTGTCACTTTCCTCAGAAAACGCGCGAGTGATGAGTATCCTGGGCGATCTGAAAACCGCCCGACGGTCGACAGTGAAGTCTATCTTACATATTTACTTATTTATAAACAAGTATTTCCGATGGACAGACGCAGCTGTCCATTAAAACCAAAGCACAAAATGCCGCAAAAAAGAGATACTTTGTCAGTGGACTGGTTTGAATTATTTTTTACAGCGTTCCATATTTAAACCATTACTGAACTCTACTGGTCTACTCACCAATGAAACGGACTACACTTCATTTACCTCTCGGGTGTTCCTTCCGATACGTGCTGGACCGCCTTCCTCGACAGCTTCTCCTGCTCCAATCGGAAGAGCTTTTGGAGCAACAGGCCCGCCCCACTTTGCTCTCGTCGGTAGCGCTCCTTAAAGCACGCCTCTTCTTCGACTGGCCCGCCCTCTGGCACCTGCAGCGTGTTGCAACTCGTCGTCTGTTTAAGCGTTTTGCCTTCCTCCTTCGGCGACAAATTCAGGCTGTTTGCTGCAATAAACACAATTATAACACGGCCAAAAATATAGTGCTTTTATTGGTTTCAAAACCCATCCCGACAGATGTTTATTCAGCATTAAGTAGGTCTTGCCTGAGATGGACCGTAACGAATATTTGTAGAATGAAATTTTTATTTGAAACGTAAATTTGATTAAGCATTGATGCTGCTGGATATTTTCGAAAAAGGTGATATGTATCGTTTTTAACAAGAACGAAAATCAATTGAAGCACGTTCACCTTAGTCGAGGAATTCAGAGAAGATAAAAATGAATACATCAAAAAGATATGCGAAGAGATTGAAGAGCACAAGAATACCAACCAAACGAGTGATCATTTCCAGATAGCGAATTTACTGTAAGGAATATTTAAACCTGAAACACTGACCGTAGAAAATAAAAGCGGAACTATATTGTGCGACACCGAAAATTTCTGAATAGATGCGAAGAACTTTACGGTGACAATCGAGATCTAGGAGGAGAATATTCAGAACAATACAGAATTAATGCCCGAGGTGATAGAAGCCATACAACATCTGAACACAAATGGATTTTTTTTTACATTCTCGGTTAAGTATAACTCATTATTTCCTGTAAAATTTGCCTCATGGTAAGTTGATTTATGGATTATTTTTTGCATTCTCGAGCGAAAAACGAAGCCCCTTTATTTATTTACCATAACCGCCGGGACTTACCCGACGAAGAAGGCCACGTCAACTCCGACGCTATCCTTTTGATTTTGGTTCGGTGCGGGCTCTTCAGCGATTTGCTGGCGTCGAACAGGGTCTCGGAAAGCCTCCGCTGGAGCACGGGTTTCGCGAAGAACCCCAGCGGGGTGAGGGACGGCCTCCTGGAGCCGCAGGTGCTGGGCGTCCTCGCCTGGATCTCGTGGTTCACCTCGTTCTTCGTCTGTTTCTTCCGCCAATAGTTCTGGAACGTTTTCCTCAGCGCTTTACTCCTCAGACCGTACAGGAAACCTACGGTGGAAGGCGTGAGGCGAAAGTGGACGTCGTCTCCGACGAGGTTACCGTTCACTGGCAGCGTGCACGCGAGCAAAGCCGTCACCAGGTTGTAAAAGTGGCTCAGGGTGTTTTCTTGGACGAGGGCGGCCGTTCTGCTACCGTCCAGGGAGTTAATGGCCGCCTCCAACAGAAGCGCCACGTAGTACGGTACGTAGAGGACCAAGAACGAGCCGACCAGTTCGAAAACCGAGCAAATGGCGCTTCGACCTTTGAAACGTGGCCCACCAGACGACGGTGCCGTTACAGTGGGTACGAAGAACGGGTTCCTCTGGTGCGTGATGGTCACCTGTGCCGAGAGGGTCACCTCGTAGATGGCGGACGCGATCCGGTGACGGTGGTACCTCGCTATCATGAGTATCTGCAACCAGGGGCGTGCGGCAGTGTGGCCGGTTTCACTATTTCACTACGCCAAAAACACAGAAAGAAACACCGCCACTTTTGAAAATTCGATTCTGTATACGCTAGCTATGTCATGAAGTCTAGGAACGCTGACGCAATTAATAAACAATATAAACGGCGTTGTCTATTCGTTCGCGCATTGTTGTTTGACGTTTGAGTTTACCTCAAAGGTTGTACAGGGTGGCCCCGAAACGGGGGTTAGAAAAAAAATTAAACACAAAAGTTGTTTCTATTAAAATGACGTTTATTTTTTTTTTATTTTCCTAATCGTCACTTTTTTATATACGGGGTGGTACAAAAAATTTGCATTGTTTTAAATTCAACCATGGGTCTGTCATGCACTTATTTGCCATCACCTTCAATTACCTTCAAAAACGTAATTTATTCTTAATGTATGGGAATTAGAGGAAGTCATTAGGTGCTAAATCAGGACTATATGGTGGATGGCTCATCAAATCAACGTTTTTAATGGTCAAAAAGTTCTTTGTTCGCAGTCATCGGTAAGAGCTAGCATTGTCGTCGTGGAATTGGTCGTAGGCGGTTGCTTTTTCTAATTTCTTCGAAGAATTTCGGCAAGCAAATGGATGCGTACCATTCAGAATTGACTCTTTTACTTTTCACCAGTTTTCCTGAAAATACAGGCTACCATTTGTTTCGAACAACGTTTGTGGCCTTTGTCTTATTCTGAAAGACAAATACAGTCGACTGCTGCTTACTCTCAGGTTCATATGCATAGATCCATGATTCATCACCTGTCACTATATCATAGACGTGTTATCACGCACAACACTCTTTTGCTAAAAACTAACTGAGTGAACCTAACCTCAAAATGTCAAACTTCCCTAGCTTAAGAAAATCTCGAAATGTAAAAGGCAGCTCTCACACAAACAATGCGCAATTTTGTCCAAAAACCATTGACAAAACTTAACCCGCAAGGTAAATATCTCTAGAAAAACACGCTTGGACTCGCTGAATATGATACGGACACAATAAAAAATCGTTTTTCTAGTACTAAGTTCAGAATTTTCAATTTCAATTTCAAAATTTTCAAAAATACTTCCCAGAGTTTACATACTTCGTATTTGTATTTTGACTTTTTGCAGTATTTTAATAAAACAGATAGACATGCCGTCATATTAATTATATTATTGTCGGCATGCAGAGAAGAGGAAAAAAATCAAGGAAATAAATTTCGTGACAAATGACATTGTAAGAATAATTTTTATTTTAAGCCAAATCAATGACGCACCATTAATGTCTGTCAAAATAGACCGCTAAAATTTGAAGAAAAAAAAGTACTACATATGGGCATATGGGCAAAATTTCATGGAAATATCTAAAATGGTGTTGCGGATATTAAAAAGAAATATTTTATTTTGGGAAACCTTACCGCTCTCTATCTCGAAAGTTTAGGACATCATTATTGACATTAAATCGGTTAAATTAAAACTAAATTGCTCGACAGTTCAGGATTAGGTGGTCAATAGTCGTTAACAGCTTCTTGATTAATAGTCAGCATTTCGTTTGGTTTTTACGAAATTTTATTTGCAAGTAAATTTTTTGTTTCGGTGGTTGATTTCCTAACCTTTGTGGCGATTTTATATTATCTGTTATCCGTGGCGGATATTTGTGTTGCTACCTTCAGGTTACAGCACACGATGACGGTCGCTGGCAGCAGTAGACTGAGCGCTGTGAAGGCAGCGGCGTACCACACGGTGCCGTCGCCCACGGAAAAATCAGGGGCGCACGCGCCCAATCCCGGAATGTAACTGTACGGAGCGACCGTAAAAAGGGGAGGAATGCAGAGAACGAGAGAAATCGTCCAGCCAATTGCCAAACCGATGATCACCTGAAACCCAAGTCTATTCTCTGTCTGTTTCTCTATATATACCGGGTGATACACGAAAGTGGGAACACTATAACTTTTAAACGGCTCGAGATGGCGATTTGAAATTTGGAAGGGTTAATATAGGCTGAACATCCAATTTTTTGTCAATGTCAAGGCGATCATTTTACGCAGGATAGGACGATTTTTCACATTTTTTCTTGTTTTTTTTTATTATTTTTTTATTTTTGGAAATTGTGTCTAGGAGGCTGTGACGTGGCCATGGGAAAACTTGTAAATGAAACTTTTCTTAATTTGCCTAATGGCCCATAGCATTTAATGTAATGAACTGTTAATTTAAAAAATAAATAAATAAATAAGAACTAAAAGGTCAGATTTTTAGGAAATTATATATTTTCATATTAAAACCTTAATTAATGTGAGAATTTAAGTTTAATAATGGAGAGGTATTTAAATCTAATTGATCGTTAAGCAATACATTTGAATGTTTCATTTTGTTAATCTCCATGGTTTCCAATAAATTTAATTTTCTACTTTTTGTGGCTGTATGTAAAATATCAAAATTGTCGTCAAATATGTGTTTTTTTGTGTTTAAGTGTGTAGCATAATTACAATCTAGACTATTGTTTTTAAACGCTTTTTTATGTTCGTTGATGCGTTTCTTGAGGGATCTACCTGATATTGGTATTGGTATTAAAGGGGGGCGTCCGAGCACTTAGGCCACCAGATGGGCCCGTTGTGCCCCCAGGCCGCTCTAGAGGGCGTCCAGAATGCCGCCCTTCCTATAGAAGATCAGCAACTCCTTTAGCCCGATACCGTGTATTGAGTCCGGATCGATCAGGGCCGTTCCGAAGACTCCCAATCTTGCCCATGTCAAGGCAGGGCACCCGGTGAGCAGATGATACGGGGTCTCCTCCCCTTCCATGCACCACCTACACTCCGCGTCGTGTCCAATGCCTAGCAAGCAAAGGTGCCTCCTGTGTAGGCCCCTGTTAGTGCTCTTTTGGTCAGTCCCTGGTCCGCGGGAGGGCGGGCCCATCCATCATAAGCCTCGCCTGCCTCATTCCCGGAGCAACTCTCCAGCCCCCCGCGGCCCGGTCTCTCGCCCAGGCTTCGAGAGCTCCCCGCCTCACACACGGGGCGATCCCCAAGCGGGGCTCTGGCCCTATATGCCTATGCGAGGAGCCCTCTCTGGCTAAGGCGTCCGCTGCCTCATTGCCCGGATACCGGTGTGACCCGGGACCCAGACCAACGTGACCTTCCTCTCCTCAGTCACTCTCCTCAGTACCCCTTTGCACTCCTTTATCAACAAGGAGAGCGTACGCACAGGGGGATCTATCTGTTCGCCCAATATAAATTTTAGGACAAGATCCGTATTTCAACCTGTAGACACCTGATTTTTGAAATTTTGGACATTTGGTTTTCAAACTTTTTCACTGGGTTCTCCTATGAATGTAATTGTTTTAAATTATTCGTGTTGTGTATTAGGTTTCGGATTAGAGTTTACCGTTGTCTGGATTTGTTTTTTATTTATAATTTTATCGACAATGGACGGATTGTAGCCGTTGTTCAGTGCAATTTGTTTAATGATATTAAGTTCTTTGTTGTAATTTTTTGTTGAGAGTGGCGTATTAAGAAGTCTGTGTCTAAAAGAGTGAAATGCAGCCATTTTGCGTATATAAGGGAGCTGTTATGTATGACCGTGTCCGTGTGTGAATGTTTATGGTAAATAGAAATTCCATTTAGTTCTTTTAGTTCTCATTTATTTTGTTAAAGCACTTTTTACCGAAGAGTTAGAAAAACAAGAGAATAGAATTTTCAACAAAATATTTTGAAAATCTGTTGGAAAATAAAACCTCAACATTGTCGGTAGAGTCGATTTGAAAGTAAGACCAGTTTTACATTGACACAAAACATGACATTCATTTATTTTGGAACTGTAGTTTTGTATTTATTTATATTAAATAAGTGCGATAGATATTTACTTAATAACCAATTTATTTTAAGATGAAACTTTCATAGAATGTTGTATGTTGTATCCCACAACATTGATTTCCATTTCTTCACTTATAATAAATGTCGATTATTTTGCGGATTTCTCATGCACGGGCATGTCGACAGTTTTTTCTGCATTCCCCGTATATCAGAAACATCTCGGCTTTTTCTCCATTGGTAAATTAATTATTGTTTTCCATGATAATCCAAGTAGATAACACGATAATCAGATAAAAATGCACATACTGTCAGAATTTTCAATCATGCCGACTTGATGATGAATAGAAGCAAAGCCACCTAAGTAATATTTTGTTTTTATAAAAATGTATTTACTTATCTGGTTTTTCCTCTCTGTGAGCTTATTTTTTAAAGGATTGTTAAAATGTTGGTACCAAAAAAAAAGATTATGCCAAAAATTCATCGTTCATTACATTAAATGCTATTTGCCATTAGACAAGTAAAGAAAAATTGATCAGGTGACCCGGTAAATAGTATTTATTATTAAAAAAAGAGAAAACCGGTACTATCCTACGTAGACTGATGTCCTGAATCCAAAAATGCAAAAAAATATGGGTTGTGCCATTTAAAATTCGAGAGTTACTGTGGTTTCCGCTCAAACCGGAAGTGCTGTCAAAAAAATTGGACATTCAGCCTATATTAACCCTTCCAAATTTTAAATCGCCGTCTCAAGACGCTTAAGAAAGTGTTCCCACTTTCTTATGTCACCCCGTATATCCGGAAAAGGGTGTTTTCCAATTGTCTAGGTTACGAAGCTTTTCTATAAAGTTTTAATGAGAAAACACCCCTTCGTCTGTGACTCGCACTTTACCTTCTTAGAGCTGACGATATGTGAGTAATGAAGCGGCGCGGCTATGACGTAATACCTATCGCAGTTGAGTCCGCAGACTGTCCAAAGGGCCAGCGGGTGAAATAAGGTGAAAAAGAACCCGTAGAGGGTGCAAGCGGCCCCGCTCGTCGGCCATTCTATGCCCTTTATCCCCGGCACCGAGAACGATAGGGACAGGACTCCTAGCAGAATGTTGACCGAGCCCAGATGGAGGAGGAGGATGTTGCTGGCATTGGCGAACTGGAAAAAAAAAATAGCGCTCATTAACTAGGAATTGGAGAACACGCCCGTGCCTACGGACTCGCTTAATTTTAGAAAATTAAACAAAAATAAATGGCGTTCGTCGAGAATCGAACTCGGGTTTCGCGTGTGGGAGCCAATCGAATTACTTCTGCGCCAGTTTCCCTGTTAATTAAAAGTGATTTTAATTGATTTTACTTCAACGTCGTCTGAACGGCGTGTGCGAAGCGATATATCTCGTTTATTATTCGTTTTAGAGAAAAGTGTTGAATACAAAAGTTGTAGATGACACCAAAAGAAAAAAAATATTTTTAAATATAGGATATATAGGATATATTTTATACTCAATCAGTTTACAAAGTGGTCCTTTGTCCTGTACTTGTCTTGAAGTTAGGAAGTTAGTTCGAATCATTTCTACAAGGTGAGTAAAAAAAAAATCAATCGGAACCCGTGTATATAACCAAACTCCGAAAATAAATAAGTAAATTTTTTACTTTCTGAAAATTGCCATTGAAATATGTATAAATTTGGTTTAACACATATTTATGAACCATCCTGTATAATTTAAAATAATTTGAAATTGTTTCTTTTAGTCTTTCCTATAACTTTTGTAAGTATTAAATGAGATCTATTATTTTGACACATCATTTGAACACCCTGTATATTAAACTACGGCATTCAATCGTCCTAGTATGGTCACTAGAAAATGGTCTGCATTTGCCTTCTCCTTCTTGCCCTTGTCCGCTTTTTCTCTTTCGTCGTATTCGTCGCCCTTTTTATTCTCTTCTTCATTGCAGATCATCTATTGTCGATCCTTCCAGTTGTAGCGGAACTTATAATATCTAACATTGGCGTCCTGCGAGGGGCAAGGGAGAAGTTAAGTCCTTTTTCTGAGTATTTGTTTTTCAGAATTAGATTACGAGGGCTGCCTTTTACATTTCGGGATTTTCTTATACTAGTCCCGCCATCTGGCGACTAACGTTTGTATAGGGAAGTTTGACATTTTGAGGTTAGGTTTACTCCGTTAGGTATGTTGATTAGCTTTGACGTTGAAAGTCTATATACCAACGCGCCCTTGGAGGAATCGTTAAGTATTGTCGAGGCTAGACTAAGGAACGATACAACCCTATCAGAGAGAACTTCGCAGCCACTTGAGGGAGTGTTGGGCCTTCTGAGGTGCTGTCTGCATAATTCTTACTTTCAAGTCAAAGATAAGTTTTACGCACAAGATGATGGCCTGCCGATGGGTTCGTCTCTCTCTCCAGTGATAGCGAACATATACATGGACTGGTTCGAAACTCATGCCATGATCACTGCAAATATTAAACCTAAGATCTGGCTTCGATATGTTGACGATACCTTCATTATCTGGAGTGGAACCGATAGACAGCTATCGGTTGAGAAATAAAAGAACGGCTGTCTACTGTTTCTAGACGTCCTAGTAAGTAGAAATAATGGTTCTGTTAACACGTCTGTATATAGGAAACCTACCCACACAGGACAGTATCTAAATTTTGAGTCTAACCATTTTGAAGCAACCAAACTAGGAATAATTAAAACACAATATGTAGCGACCAAGCATCTCTCGATGCCGAATTGAATAATATTAAAAAGGATTTGCTTCAGAACGGTTACTCCGAAAAATCTATAAACAAAATAATAACAAACTGTACGCGGGAAACAACAACGGAACCATGTGACGTTCCCATACGTGAAAGGAATATCAGAAGGATTAGGCGAATATCAAGTGAAAACTGTATTTAAATCAGGATCAACATTAAGAAGTGTACTCACAAAAACAAAGCCTGAAACGTCGACTCAAGAGAAAGAGTGTGAGTGTGTGCGGAGAGTCATATATTGGCGAAACCAAACGACCTCTAAAAATAAGAGTTGAAGAACGTAAGAAACATACAATGAAGGGTGAAGCGCAAAAATCAGGTATCGCAGAACATGTATGGACCAAACAACACAACATCCAATGGTCCAGAGCGCGGGTTGTTCATAGAGAGGAGCATTGGAGAAAGTCCAAATTTAAAGAAGCAGTTTTCATTAGAAACAACAGCAATCCAGCGTGGTACCAACTATTTGGCAACCTCTAATAACAAGGCGCACCAATGCTGGCGTTCTTGTTGAATAACTTCACGCTTGACTACACCCGACTCCGTCGTGGATGAGCGCCGTCGCCTAGTATATAAACCTTGTAGCCTTTGAATGAAAATTTTGTTTACACTTGATAACGGGTAGCGATACAACTGTCCGAAACGTTGTGTAAGTTAAAAATAAAGACAATGGAAGTTCGACATCCTTTTAGTATTTTTACTGAATCAGTTTCTACCACCCTCAAGCAAGCATAAAAGCGGTCCCGTACGAGACGGTTTCCTCGCTCTTTAATCCACCTTCGGTTGACGTTCGAGAAACAATTTCCTGCATCTCCGCGGATTAGTAGCAGGAAATACGTCGCGATTAGTTTCTCGCGGGACTAATGCGGTCTAATCGAAAAACCATCTAACGGAAAACCATCCGGGCGTTTCGTTTTCGACGCGAATCGCGATGTTTGTTCGACCGAATCGAATTTAACGGACGCTCTCGCACCGACAAACATCATTATATTGCCCGGCAACGAAAAGCCCTTTGAACGTCGACCGACGAATCCGATTATAGCAAATTGGCGCGACCTTGCGATGCCCACGGCCGTTCGGCGTTTTAACCACACGCGGCAACTCCGAAATCAAATAGACGAGCGGGAAATTTGCAAGTTTAAGTGGCCCACGCGGCCGTCTTGAAATTAATTTAAAGTGTTAATTTAATTGAGTGTGAGATCGTGCAAAATAAATAAGAAATAAGTGATTGATTTGCCATAGATCAAGTGCGTTAGTTTGTTATTACAATTTACGTTTGTAATAAGTGTAACGTGCATTTACATACTTCATGCTTTGTAAAATATAGCTTTTTTTTGTATACTTATGTATAAATTATATGTTACATCTTATTTGCCTCAAAACGTTATTCAATGTTTTTTCTCAGTGGCTCGTTTACGTAGCAGTATTTTTTTGTATGTTTCGAGTTTTTTTTTTTGACACGTAATGTATTCTTAAGTGCATTTTTTTAATGCTTGGAATAATATGGGTTAATGTGTTTCTTGAAGGATCCACCTGTGTGTCCAATATAAATTTTAGGTGAAGATCCGCATTTCGTTTTATTGTTTTTTAAAAATTTTCCTATTGTGTTGTTAGTTATGAAAACTATTTTTAAACCACATTTCGTTTGTTTTGAAACTTTTTCATTGGGTTCTCCTATGTATGTAATTGTTTGAAATTGTTTGTGTTCTGTATTACGCTTCGGATAAATAGAGTTTACTTTTGTCTGGATTTGTTTTTTATTTATAATTTTATCGATAAAAGACGGATTGTTTGTATTAAGTTCTTTGTCTTAATTTTCTGTTGAGAATGGCGTATTAAGAAATCTGTGTAAAAAAATATTAAATTCAGCCATTTTATGTGTACAAGGGTGACTTGAGCTGTTATGTATAAGGTTGTTCGGAAAGTCATTTCGTTTTTTCCCGTCAGAGGACCTAATTACCTTTTTTCGAAACCAACTTCACACTTAAGCCGCATAACCATTATATTGCAAGGCTTGTGTGTGAAAAAGTTCTATTAATTCTACGCAGTAGTTTTGGGTTGGTGCCCTTTTAAATATGGAGAGCAATAAGCAGCATTTTCGTCATATTTTACTTTTTTACTTCAGAAAAGGTAAAAATGCTGTCCAAGCGAGAAAAAAATTGACGGATGTGTATGGAGAAGGCGTGTTAACAGTACGCCAGTGCCAGAACTGGTTTGCAAAATTTCGATCCGGCAATTTTGATGTCGAAGATGCACCACGGTCTGGAAGGCCGGTCGAAGCTGACAAAGATGCGATAAAGGCATTAGTTGGTGCAAATCGGCGAATAACCACACGAGAGATCGGTGAGAGATTAAATTTGTCGAATTCGACTGTTTATGGCCATTTGAAAGGCATGGGCTTAAACTCGAAGCTCGATGTATGGGTGCCCCGTGTCCTTACGGAGCGAAATTTGTGTCGTCGCGTTGACGTGTGTGATTCGCTCCTCAAACGTCAAGAAAATGATCCATTTTTGAAGCGGATTATTACTGGGGACGAAAAATGGCTTGTATACAACAATATTAAACGCAAGAGGTCATGGAGCAGAAAAGATGAACCGGCTCAAAGCGTGTCAAAAGCCAACATTCACCAAAAAAAGGTGATGCTCTCTGTTTGGTGGGATGTCAAAGGAATCGTTTTTTTTTGAGCTTTTGCCGGACAATACAACGATTAATTCAGAAGTCTATTGTCATCAACTGGACAAATTGAATGATTCACTTAAAGAGAAGAGGCCCGAATTAATCAACAGGAAGGGTGTAGTGTTCCACCAGGATAATGCGAGACCTCACACAAGTTTGGTCACTCGCCAAAAACTTTTACAGCTTGAATGGGACGTACTGCAACATCCACCATATTCTCCAGATCTGGCGCCTTCCGACTACTATTTGTTCCGGTCCCTGCAAAATTTTTTGGATGGCAAAACCTTTACCTCAAATGAAGATGTCAAAAACCACCTGAACCAGTTTTTTGCCGGCAAGGACCAAAACTTTTATGAGAGGGGAATTATGTTATTGCCAGAAAGATGGCAAAAGGTGTTGGACCAGAATGGCCAATATATAATTTAATAAAATATTTATTCATTATACGAAAACTGTCTTTCATGTTCCCCAAAAAAAACGAAATGACTTTTCGAACAACCCAATATGACTGTGTTCGTGTGTGGAGGTTTATGGAAAATGGAAAAATCTAAATTGTTTTGCGTTTTCGTAATAGTTAAGTCTAAAAAATTAATAGAGTTATCCTGTTGATGTCAATCAAGAGTGGAACCTTTTTATGAATCTTTTCTCTACACTGTTTGATCAATGTTCTCCTAAAAAAACAATAAGAAACGCTAGTGGTGTAAAATCATATAAAGATAATGATGAGATTAGAGAATGTAAACAAAAACTAGATATCTTGTTAGTTTTGGCTAGACAAAGTGCTCGATATAAACAGGAATACAGATTTGTTAAGCGAAAATGTGATAATCTTTTGAAAACTGAACGATCTCAGGCATATGACATTAAGCTAAAGCTTTCTGATAATAAAACCAAATGCATGCGGTCAATATGCAATGAGATTTTGGGTGGAAACAGTTTAGGGGCTGACATTGGTATGAGTGAGGATCCTAATCAAATGATTTTAATGAATATCTGTTGAACGTTGTACCTGAATTATTGGAAAACCTAGAAAAAAGGCCATTTTCCAATAAAATACCCGTAAATTCACAGTCCATGTTTTTAACACCGGTAACACCAGATGAAATCTGTCATTTACAACAAATTAAAAATAAACATAGTAGTGGAATAGACGAGATTCCAACCAGTATAATAAAAATTTCTGTTAAATTGGTTAAGGCTTTCGCGGCCCGTTGATAAGCTATTATCTTCATTCGGGTTTAAAGGCCGTCGTCGATTGGAATTACTTCCTAACGTTTCGCTAGCACGAGTGGCGAGCTTCTTCAGAGGTCCTTCCATCTCCGATGTTGGACGTAGACTGACGATTTCTCCTGCGCAGGTTGTATTTATGCCGATTGGTGGAGGGCGGGGCTTGTTCCGCTTCGGTTGGTCTCGGGATATCGATCGGTACTGCTCGGGCGTTCCTAAGGATCGGGTTCCAGATTTGGTTGAGTCTAAGGGTCTCCTCCTTTCGGTTGAAATTGTGTGGGTGTTTTTGAATCTCAATGGCTTCCCTGACTAGTCTGTTGTGATAGCCGTTGACCGATGCTAGTAACCTACAGCTCTCAAAGTGTATCCTGTGTTCCCCGCTGCCCAGTGCGTGTTCAGCCACTGCAGACTTCTCTGTATGTCCTAGCCTGCAGCTTGCTTTATGCTCCTTAAGTCCCGTTCCCATTGGTCTCTTGGTAGTTCCGATGTAGACCTTTCCGCATGAACACGGAATGCGGTAGACTCCCGCAGCTGAAAGTGAGCCCCTCTTGTCCTTCGCTGACCTGATGGTCTGCTGGATCTTCTTTGTAGGCTTAAAGATTGTTTTGATGTCGTGTCTTTTCAATACTCTGCCAATCCTGTCGGTGACACTCGGAATATACGGCAGATATGCGTGGGAGGTGGAGGGTCGTTGTTCGGTATCCCGTGATCTTGATGATCTTGAGTTCATTGATCTCTCGATCTCCCTCTTACTGTAGCCATTTGCCTCGAACGCAGTTTTTAGGTGTTCAAGTTCCATCTGGAGGTTCTCCGGTTCGCAAATCCTTCGGGCTCGTTCTGTCAGGGTTCTGATAACCCCATACTTTTGACTTGGGTGATGGTTGGATAGAGCATGCAGGTATCTGTCCGTATGGGTTGGTTTTCTGTAAACTGTGTGGCCAGAAAGGAGGAGACCCTTAGACTCAACCAAATCTGGAACCCGATCCTTAGGAACGCCCGAGCAGTACGGATCGATATCCCGAGACCAACCGAAGCGGAACAAGCCCCGCCCTCCACCAATCGGCATAAATACAACCTGCGCAGGAGAAATCGTCAGTCTACGTCCAACATCGGAGATGGAAGGACCTCTGAAGAAGCTCGCCACTCGTGCTAGCGAAACGTTAGGAAGTAATTCCAATCGACGACGGCCTTTAAACCCGAATGAAGATAATAGCTTAAAAATTTCTGTCCCGTATGCAAGTAAAGTGTTGTGTCTTTTGATTAATGAATCATTTGAAAATGGCGTTTTCCCAGACCAACTTAAAACAGCATTAATAAAACCGATCTATAAAAAGGGAGATCCGGAAATAATTACCAATTATAGACCAATTAGCCTTTAGCCCGGGTTTTCTAAAATATTTGAGATGGCTATTTGCAAAAGACTCCTAGACTTTTTTAATAAATATAAAATGTTCAACAATCATCAGCATGGTTATGAAGCTAATAAATCACCAGAAACCGCTATATTTCAGTTTATAAAAACAATTTTAAAACACTTGGAGGGCGAAAGAATAGCCTTAGGTACGTGCTTAGATCTTTCTAGAGCATACGACTGTATAGACAGGGACTTATTGCTCAAAAAATTGGATTTATACGGTGTAAGAGGTAATGTTCTAAAATTGTTTGAATCATACTTAATAGGAAGGAAGCAACAAGTAAGAATAACCCAAAATGGCACTAGTTATTTTTCGGATATTAAGGAAAATAGTCTGGGCATAGCACAAGGTAGTATTCTTGGTCCAATTTTATTTATTATTTTTGTGAATGACTTGTATTTAGTAACACAGTCAGAAGAAGAGAGCATAATATGCTATGCGGATGATACCAACCTGCTTGTAGGTGGAAATAATCTCACTGACGTTAGTGATAAAGGCAACGATATTTTTACAAGGGCATATGACTGGTTTCTAGGAAATAAATTGATATTAAACAAAGAGAAAACGAAGTTAATTATGTTTAGAAGTAAATTATGTAGAGTTGAAGTACCATTAAGAATACGGATAGGTAAAGAAAATATTACTATTGTAAATAACACTAAATTCTTAGGTTTACAAATTGACGAATTTCTTGATTGGTCCGAACATATTGGTTATCTGCCAAATAAATTAAATTCAATTTGTTATGGAATTCGAGTTGTTGCAAATTATATGAATAAGGAAACTTTAAAAATTATGTACTTTGCAAACTTTCAGTCGCGCATGAGGTACGGAATTATCTTTTGGGGGGGTAGTGGTCAACTACAGAAAATTTTCGTGGTTCAAAAGAGAACTCTTCGGACTGTCAAAAAAATGCAATTTAGAGAGAGCTGTAGAGGGGTGTTCAAGACTGAAGGGATTTTTACTGTATATGCTTTATATATTTATGAAGCATTGATATTCTTCTTTAAAAATCGAAAGGACTTCGAACCACAGATTTTTCATAGATATAATACCAGAACCCTAAATGTAAATTACCCTATTCACCGTTTAACCTTAACTGAAAGGAGTCCTTATTATATGTGCCTGAGATTGTATAATAAATTACCAAATCAGGTAAAAACAATTGCAACTCTAAAAATCTTTAAATATACAATGAAAAATTTATTGATAGAGTTAGAACCTTACTCCATAGAAGATTTTTTCTGTAAAATTTAAATAATTGTAAATACGATGTAATTGTTCAATCTCGATAGTGAATTTTATGCGATAATGTAATGTGTTAATATAACGTAAAAAAGAATTCAATTGTATGTCCGTTCCAACAGAGCAAGCAAGGGCACCATCCACGTATCTATAACACCATAGAAAACTTTTACTTAAAGGATGTTCTAGTGTGATATTTTCCAAATTATCCATAAAAATCTCGGCTAAGAGAGGACTAAGTGTGTTTCCCATAATCAAACCTTCCTCAGATGTGTTTCACCAATGGGTTAACCTGTTTCCGAGCGATGGTGAAATCCACTAAATCTATCACATCCGTAGGTGAAATACTGGGAAATAAGTTTTGTTCATACTTTTGACAGCGGTAAATAAAGTATTGATAGCCAACATGATTGGGTTTGTTTCGATCACCAATTTTCACTTTGTAGCATTATTTTTTAACTATGTACCAAAACGTATCTGAAATATTTTTACAGTCCTGGCATCAAAAGCAGAAATGTAACTACCGGTTCAAACCTAAACATTCTGTCACTCGATCACTCGATCATTTGTTAGCATCTCCGAAAACATCCGATCGCACCCGAACCCGTGAGGTAAAATCCCGGAAATGTCTGAAGTGGCTCGCATCCGTGGAAAACGAAACTGAAGCGGTAAATTGACGCTTGACGAAAAACGTTTTTGTATTAGTTTAGTCCTTAAATACGAAAAATACTAAATCACAAAATCTTTGAGAGCGCGCACCGACAAAACCTAAGATCAAAGAGGTTTGCGGTAGCAGGAAATATTGTTCCCGATTTTTGTTAAACCGTCTTGAGTGCCCCGCTGGTTTATTTCGGGATCGGGACTATTTATTTGTTGATAATCAAAATACTTATTTGCCCTGCGACGCTATCGAGTTCAATATCCGTCTCTGGCGCGGCGCCAATGGCGTACGCGTACATTAAAAGTTTCAATAATTGATTAATTGATAGGGCCGCCTATACCTCGGCTGCAATTTCGAGCGGGAAATTGAAAGCTCTTCGGTTCCGCGCGAGGCCATTTTTTCTTACGTTCTGACGCGGGAAATTCAATTTCCCCCGGGAATCCCCCCCCGCCCCTGCGCCCCCTTCACCAATCGTCAAGGAAAAATATTAAAATACGGGAGCCTACGTGTGAATAGAACACTATTTTTGCGGTGTTGCCAAACGTTGCTATTTATCCTGAAATCTTATACCATAACATAAAACTTTAAATAGAATACAGTTATTCTGATTTTTTATAACACGGTAAACGCACTAAATGGCGGTTTTTAAAATGATTTTTGCGGCGTTGCCAAACGTTGCTATATTTCCTGAAACTTTATACTATAACATAAAACATCAAATAGTATTCAGTTATTCTACTTATATCCCGCTTGTTAGTGTAGGTATTAATAAACAGTAGGCGAAGTTAATCACGGGGTCGGTCGTAAAAGCACTATATTTCTGGTCGAAGTACATGATTCAACATCAGATTATCGTCTCGTTACATTGTTAATAGCCTATTTAAAACCCCGTTCACTTAGTGTATTTACATAAGCTTGCAAGTAACTATCTGATTTCAGAATATTTATATTTATGTTCCCTATCAGAATATGGTCGATCATACATTATAAAGACTCACCTGCTTGGTTATCAACACAACCACGAAGATGTAACCGTTCACCGCTAGCCCTAGCACGGAGATAAGCGTCAAGGATAAGCTCAAGAATAGCGATATCATGCCGCCTGTTGCTTCAGACCGTCCATCGTCTACCTCGCGTCTTCGTGTTGGTCTACAGTGTAGCTCGTCATAATTCCGAAGTCTTGCATGCGCCTGAAAGAAGAGAACAACTAAAACTAAAAATAAATCATTAATAAATAATCACGGGTAATTCCAAAGAAATCCCGATGAATTCCTACATAAAATTCCAACGGATTTCAATAATAATGTGTTTTAGAAAAGCTAATAAGCTAGACTAAAAGTAAGGAGCTAGCAATCGACGTTTACAAAACCAAAAAGGCACGCTTTTGTGCAGTAATTTTGTCTTATCACGATTTTATTATGACTCTTATAGCTAGACTGACACAGTTTTATAAAAATTGTTTTATTATCTCGGATGTAGCTTTTTTTTTTGTTTTGACTAACACTATATAAGCAATCCACTGAGTTTTTAATAGTTTTAAGATAATAAAAAGACAAGCGTATTGCGTCTTTTCTAACAAATAAAACGCTTGAGCCATATTACATTTGGTTACGAGGTAAATATAATACAAACCTGATGGTTGATATTTAACTTAAGGATTTTTTCTTACAATGTATTGTAATATGTATTGTATTGTATGTAGTGTAATATATACATAATTGCTACATGGATTGTAATAAAAATGGCCGTAATCAAATAAAACTAACACAAAATATGGCTTGCATGTTACAAAATTATTTTACCACGTTGGTAGTTCTTATAAAATGTTTTTTTTCAAAAAAAAAATCGCAAATAAAACCGACAGAGGTTATATAGTGCGACTAGGAAATAGAATGATTTTTAACTAATATGTTTTTCAAAACAAGTAACTATTGAGTTTTTTTTTTAAATTGAACACACCGAAGGACCAAATTTTCAAACTGCATCGACAAGATTAGTTAAGTTATGGATATTACTACTCATATACTCTGCTCTAAAAAAATTATGAAAAATAATTACGTAAAAATTAAATTAAAGATTAAAAAGAATGGACCAAAACACAAATTTGTTGTTTGTGTAAATTGGTAAACTTTTGTAGTTGTAACTATTTAATACTTCTTAAGTCCTAGAATCCCGAGGGTATTGGGAAGATAAAATGATAAAAAAATTGTTTTATATTAGATTTATACTGCCGCTATCCTGTACTGAGTTTTTCGTTTATGAACCTGTATAAATTTGTTTTTTAAGTGTTATGTGAAACATTTATAAAATTAATTTTCTTAATATTTTCTTCGCGAATTATGATGCAATTATAATGAACACTGTCATAGTAAAACCTATATATAATAATTGCAAAAAAATGTTTGTAAGGATACAAAAGCATTTATACGACTAATTAACAAATGGCAAATAAGTAAATGGAAAACAAGTAAAGAAAGTGGTGAATTTTACACAAAAGTTAAAAAGTTACGAAGTAAAATAGTCGTTCAAACGTTTATAAGATAGTATCATAACTTGTCGTAAAATTGTTTTTTATTTTTTCTCTAAAAGCGATCTTTTAATTTCTTTAAAAAAACCGACTGATCTATTTTTTTGAATGCTCTTAGAAAACAGGCTCAAAGTATATTAAATTAAAGCACTGAGTCTAAAGTATACGATTTGGTGTGCCTCAAGGCTCAGTTTTGGGGCCATTAATATTTGTTATACATATCAATGACCTTGGTCTTCGATTCTTACATTTTAATGCGTATTATACTGCAATGTTGCCAACTGTATAAAATTTTTGAAAAAATTTCGAGAATTAAGCGTGAATAGGGCCACTCTTGAATATTGAACTAACAATTTGTTCTAAAAGAACGCCTTAAAACTGAACCTTGAGAAGACCGGACAACTAACCAAAATAGACGACTAAGGCTAAGACTTTTGCGTTCTCATTTAAGTTATGGAGCTGTGCTGTGTGTTAATTTTGAATACCTGGTCGCCCATTAATATACGACGCAGAAGCCGCTAAAAATATTCCAAATTAACCTATATCTAATTTAGTTTTAACGTAATCTACTCTAGATAAGGAAACTTTTTCATTTGAACTATTTTTTTTTCTCTCGTCAAATTGAGGGTGGGGTGAGGATCAAATTTTATTTTACAAAAAAATTTTTTTTGGCTAATCCGATTTCGACGAACTTGGTTCAGTTTGAAAGAGTACTTATAGGAGCTTCACTGGCATGTCAAATCGCGATATTAATTCTTCTTCTTCGTGTCAAAAACAGATATTTGATTTTCTCGAAAATTTTGAAATATAATGGTATAAATATTTTTAGCTAAGACGAAAGAGCTTAAAATAACACAGAAAGTAATGGAGATATAAATAAAAATGTGTTTATTAAACACGTTTTTCAACCTTAGGATAGTAATAGTACCAGAGACGACAAACGTGACGTGGGATGCTTATATTTTCTACTGGAGATAAATTTGGTTTTGTTCTAATTTGTCCATAAAAATCGCTAATAATCAGTTGTAGTAAAAAAAGAGAAAAGGGTAAAATAACTAAGTAGGCCTAGCGGTTGGCATAGTAACGGATAAAACTGCTTCCATTATACCTACGTAAAAATTATTTTTTATTTATATCTTTCGATCTGTTCATAGATACAAGAAAGTGACGAATTGCTTTTGAATGGGATTATCCAAGGGTGGTCATACGATTATTACCTAAAGTTTCGGAATTTAAATTCAGGTAATAGAAAACAATTTTATACCTACCTGTGTGCGTGTGCGAATTATGCAAAATATGTGCGAGTCTAGTGTATTATAGTTATAAACAATGTTTATTTGACTCTCATTGAACGTGGCGTCAGCAAGCAAGCAAACATCAACTGTATGGAAACTTGTGAATAATCCCATTTCAGCTAGGAAAAAAAGAAGCGATGCTGACATTTTCTCGAGTGTAGATGAAATTGGTCAAGATGTAATACGGCGTAAAATTTACCAGTTATACGAGGATCAAAGCGTGCCTACATTAGATATTTTAATTAGGAGGCTTGAAAAAGATGAAACCGGTGTTAAATGTGGCAGAAATACCTTATGGAAGTGTATTCAACACATGGGTTTTGGATTTAAAAAAATTGACAAAAGGCAAGTTTTAATTAAATCTTTTAGAATTCGGAGAACAGAGAACAGCAAAGGCCAATTATTTGCTTGGATGAAACCTGGTTCCGACCCTTACGATACCCCCACTCAACTGACAAGTCTAAAACAAACGCGCCACCAAAAAGAGGTAAAAGAATAACTATTTTGCATGCTGGCTCAAAAGATGGTTGGATTCCAAATGGACTTTTTCTGTCTGCGAAAAATATTAAAGATTCTTCTCTGGATTACCATGAAAATACCACCGCTGATTTATTTGAAAGTTGGTTTACTTAGTTCCAAACATTCCTCATAATAGCGTCATTGTAATGGACAATGCAAGTTACCACAGTAGACAGTTGACTAAAACCCCTTCCTCATGTGACACAAAAACAACAATCCAAAACTACATGTATAATAACGACATTTATTTTCACGAAGATCATACCAAAAAGCGATTAATTGAGGTTCTACAAAGCTTGAACCTACAAAAGGAATACGTCGGTGATAATTATGCAAAAAACAGTTTTAAGGCTTCCACCTTACCACTGAATATTTAATCCCATTGAACATGTTTGGCACCAACTGAAATCTGCCATCCGTCGTAACAGTGTTTTTCCCCGTGTTAATTTAAATGTCCTCAAACTTGTAGAAACCGAAGTTTTTAACGTCCCTCCACAAAGTTGGGCAAATTCGGTTAAACATATAGAAAAAGCAGAACATTCGTATATCCATATTGCAAATAATATAGAACAAATAATAATTATAACAGGTGATGATAGCGATAGTGATACTGATATATTATGTGAATAATTTTAAGTAGTTTAAGTAGGTAATAAAAATAATAATAATAAAAAAAATCCCGCCATAAAATCAGGAACAGTCTTCGTTTTGAATATCCTTAGATGACATATCTTTAAAAAAAAGAGTTAAAGACTACCCACCCACTAGTTCAATGTTTCTACTCCATCGTTCAATTTAAAGGTAAAGTAAAAAATAACACAGATCTTTTCGTAGTTCCATGCTTGGTTTAGTTAAATAATTGTGCAGTTTTGATGTTCCATAATTACCCTTTGCGAAACATGGTCAATAGAAAACTAAACCAAACTAACTCAAAGCGTCGAGAGCGAGCTAGAGCACCATACACTTCTCCTGCATTGAATGCAAGCCGGTTTTGATACAATCGCACTGACAGAATGCTGACGTTGTATTTTACGCGATTTAGTCTAATTGAGTCTCGTTTCAGGCGCCATTCGCTCCGGTAATTCGTCTTTTGATGTGATTATAAGGCGCCATAATTAGAAAGTTTGCTTCAATTTGACTTTGGGGGCGGCTCGAAACACTCGCGAAACACTAGGTTTCCTCCTCCGTAGCCAGGTTTCATTTTAACCCATATTATTAGCGATTTCTACGGTTTTATGTGCTTTAGTAGTGATGATAATAAAATTTCTAAATGAATGTGCAAAAATATTTTATGGATGTGACAAAAAAAATCATAGAACATAGCATTAACGCACCACTGGGACAAAATGGGTTAATGAAGAATAAACATCTGTTGAGATGGATTTTACCACGGTCCTGCGAACGTCAGGACCATGGTTAAATACTTGAAACGTCAAAACAATAAATGCACTATATTTTTGGTCGTACAATACAAACTAATGCTACAAATCATATAATTAAATCCTGAAAGACTTAACCTATATACGGAGAGCGTTTTTTTTTTTAAAAAAAAAACATTGAATCCAGTAGCAAACATTGTCGACAACTCTTTCTGTCCGCTTTTGACAGTTTTAAAAAAATAAGTGCTGGTTTATGCCGCGCCAGAGTTAACGAGAAAACAAACAAGCAAAAAAAAATCGCGAATACATAAATCGAACCCGGTTTGTATGTACTAAGCGCGATAAAACTAACGGGTGGATATCCAAATGCACATTAGCGTCTAGCTGCGCAATAAGATTCGTCTTGAGTGATTTTATTTCTCATCGCGTATTGTATTTATTTACGTTACCGTAAGAAATGGTTAAATTCTGTTAGAAATGTAACTTACATTGATTAATAGGGACGTTCTTTTTTGTATCTGAATGCAACTCGCTTAATTCAAATGGACCCTTAAAAAGCGATAAAACAATTACTAAAAGAAACCTTGCACCTGCCACAGATGAAGTGCGTTATGATAATCAAAGTCACCTCATGATTGTTCTTGCTAATAAAGCCGAAGGAGATGTAGAATCTGTCACATCCACACAATTTATGTTTGTAATAAGTGTAACGTGCATTTACATACTTCATGCTTTGTAAAATATAACCAAAAATGAAACCGGTAGTTACCGGTGGTGCGCTCACGCACCATAAAATATTATGCGTTTTTTTGTATCAAATCAGGTTCTATTTGGAAAATAATTTACTTTTAGTTGTCTTCTGTCGAATTTGAACTTTCTTTTGTATATTTATGTATTTTTTTTGTATGTTTCGAGTTTTTTTTTGACACGTGTAACGTGGAACGTTAAGTGGAACAAAATAATTTTATAGCAAAAAAGTATTTTTTTATTTTTTTTTATGCTTGGGATAATATGGGTTAATTAGGTCTCGCCCGCGATGGGCCGCAACGAATACTTGTAGACACTTGAGATGTTTATTTGAAACGTAAATGGACCGTTTTAAGTTTGATTTTTATTTTAACATCAGATGACACGTATCGAACTTAAGAGTTTAATCTAAATCGCAAAATGTTGCGATGCTGTTTTCACTGGATAGTTCAAAAGGTAAGGGTAAGTACCTGTGCTCTATTTATCTGACAGGTAAGTTTGAAAATAATCATTTTTGTCTTGTGTGCCTGTCGATTAATAACATTCTTCTTCTTGTATTTTTGTGTATTTTACATAGTTCTGCCATTTGTAAACAACAACAGACTATAAACTATAGATTATATTCGGGGTAGACAGAAGTACGTCATCAGAATGCAGACAAATATTTATTAGAATCTTACAATTAAACATTTTTTGAAGGTTCCTGTTTTTAACATTTTAAAATACGGAAACCGTGGAACGAAGCAGAAGTTATCCTTTTAGAAGAAGACATGGAAAACAACGCAAAATTTGAAGACATGGAGATGGTAGTCGAACCTAATGATAATATAGATGACGAACTACTTCAGCAATTAAAAAAAACGAACCCTTTGGTCTTGGGATGCTGAACAAACTGAAAAACGAGTAATAAAAGAAGAAAATATTTATCGAGAACGATTAGTGGCGAAGTTGAACCTCGAACTATGTAACGACAGTAAGTGACTGATACTTTATTATTATATCTAATATTTTGTATATTAATAGTGACACTATGTAGAAATTGTAATGAAATTGAACGTAATAAATTGTCACTTTCTTCTAATTTTTTTATGTACACGTTGAAAACATACTTATATCCCGCTTATTGGTGTAGGTAGATAAATTCCTAGGACGGTCCGGGAATGGTCACGGGTAAGGGTCTGCTCGGTGTTCTATAAGGGGCTGCGGTTTTTTACTAATAAACAGTAGGCGAAGCTAATCACGGGGTAGATTGTAAAAGCACTATATTTTTGGTGGAAGTATACCTCATGGTCAAGAATTCCTCAGTGTTTTCATTATCAACTTTGCATTATAATCCTGGTCCTAACGTGGAATATATTTTTCAATGAAATTTCGAAAATTGTGTTACCAGAAATGACACTTTACTGAAAAAAAAAACAGTCAGTGAATTTCAGTGAAGCTCAACTTAAAATGAGTTTCATATAAGTGTAAGATGTGTTGTTAACAGTTTGTAACTCAAAATTTTAACAGGTCTTGCAAGGGAAAAAAGAGTTGAATTAAATTTATTTATTTTAAAATTAAGACATTCCATCAGGGCTAACAATTAAAAATATATATATAGAACTTACACAAAGTGCTTCTTTCAACCTCTACAAGCAGTGGGAGGACTTTGTTTGTTTGTTATGAGTGTAAACATGACTTTCGACGGGTTAACACATTGCCAGTGTACGTCTAATAGCACAATTGACAGCAATGTGACAACCCAATCAAACTAGCACATATTAAAAACATTACAGTGTACAGATAGGAAAGATATTCAAAGGCAAAAACAATTAGTTACAAACGTCAAACGAATTGTCAGATGTCAGTCACTTATTGGTCATTGCAGCCAATTACAAAGCCAACCTGAAATATTAAACACACCAATAGGAGTTGTCCTCTAGAAGAGAATTCAAATACGCAACCAATAAGAAAAGCAAAAACATCGGTAAAATTACAATGCATTTAATGCAATGCAATACATTAAACGTATTTAAATGTAGCAGCAGGCAAGCAGCAAGAATTGCAGGACGATGATCACATTGCTGGATCAACTAATCTGTTGCTCCTTATATTTTTAGTCACATGTTTCCATTACATTACAACAATGCAGAATTAGTCAATTCAAATCAAACTTTGGACTTATTTGTAAGGATAATCAAATAAAACAACGTAATGAAGCAGAATCGAATTTAATTCTCTCGGTTCGACAACTACGTCTTAACTAAACTTATCGTAAACCCAAAAAAACATCGCACAATAGGACCCTAATTATATCTCCTCACCCCGACTTGCCCTCTCTGTCTTTTATTGAAGATACATTTTACATTCGGCAAAAGATATGACGGATATGACGCAATACCATAAATATTCTAACATATTGAACTGTCAAAATATCAAAAATACTTTGATCAACCTTCAACAGCCATACGCCTCCAGGCCTTCTAGATCAGAACGACATCTACTTGTATATTTATTATGCGACCCAGCCGACGATCGAATGATAACCTTTTGTACGTATAAAAATTCGCGCATTGCGTCGAAAATTCAGTCCCGATCGAAATGGCGGTTAGATTTTCGGTAATGTTTTCTTTGGCGGTTTTCTTTTCAGTTACCGTCAGCGGAGGTACGTAAAAACTCCTATCCAAACATTTTCCGATGCGAGTTTGCTTTACTATTTATTTTATAATGAAGAAGTGCCACGTGCCGTTCGAACTGTGGCGGTATTTGCTCGCAGTAACACGCGAAAAGTTTGGCAAATTCTCTCTGCATCCTCGCAACATTCCTGCGGGCGTTCATACGACGAACTTGGCAAATTTGCAGCGCGCAGCATAGATCCGGGCCTTCAAAGCACAAAAACCGCGAAATAGTTGTTAGATTTTATGAAACGGCGAATTTCTCTGCTATTTTCTTGCGGCTTTTACCAAAATTCTAAGCGAACGCTGTGCAAGGACTGTCAACTGTCATTTTGCGATTTTGATCTGTGATATATCACGGTGATGAAAAAAATATATATCATACCGTATAAAATGGAATTTTCCAAGAGTAATTACAGGGTGTCCCTAAATTAAACATCAAGTTCATATAAAGTAGGGTCCAAAACGTCTTAGATTTTAGAATTAGAATTTTAAAGTCTGAAGTTTTCTACCTAAATAAGTTACCCTTGTCGCACCTCGTTAGAATACAACTTATATATATTCACATGACAATTGTTTCGTCAACACCGTGTCTTTATCAAATGTAATAATTACAAATTACCTGCTACTATATATACCGAAAAATGACCGTAAAACCTTAATTAATGTTGTTGTGAGAATATGACGCGTTTTTCTTTATTTCGGTTAACAGTTTTGAGTGGAATCAAGCCATCCTTTGGATTCACTGTTCCCTGATCTATATCTTCTATCTTCTTCTATAAGTTTCTTGTTTAATAAATTCTTATTAAGTTTCTATACACATTTTTCACAACCTACTTTGCATCAAGTGACATTGTTATATTCTCGTAAATTAACTTTTCGAAACGTACAGTAAAAGTGATTATTCAAGACCATCACATATATACCTGGCCCGCCCCTGTCTTGTCACTCAAGTAAGAATAATATTTTTGTTAATGGCTTTGCCCAATAACAATAGCTAATAAGAAATAGAAAACACCCCGTACATCATTATTTATTATATGTAAGAATGCAAATAAGTAAATGATTCCACAAGTTTTTGTGTTGTTTATCCAGAGCTCTCGGCAACACCGTGCGTTGTTGGTTGGCTAGCCATTGTTTCGCGTCTCGGTTTATTTTGAATATCGTTTCGTCGATATTTCTCAATTTTCGCGACGGCATAAGCGTCGACCATGAAAACGACTTCTAATCGTTATCTGTTTATTAGTGGTACGCGTCGTTATCGACGAATAATACCGACAACGTCACGTCTTACGCGAACAAGTGCGCGCGTTTTGAGGTTATGATGTCTGTTGCAGATCTGACCGCCGACTACAGACGCAAGTTGCAAGAACTGACCCCGACGTTTCAGGAAAACCTGATCCGGGTAACTTTATGCGATCGGTGTCGATGTCGGCACGAAAAAGAACTGTTTTCCAGGCCTTTAGGAACGAAGCCGTGAGGACGCAGAGGCGGAAACATTTGGTCAAGTCGGTCCACAAGCTCGATCCCGTACTGCTGTCGCTTGACAACAATAAGATGTGAGTTTTTCGGTGCGAGGGCTCTCTCGCTTTCGTCGTTTTATTTTGGTTTCGGCCGCGGCGGTGCCAAATCGTCGTAGATATCCTTAAAGGGTAGGAAAGGAAGTAGATGTTCGTTTATATTTATATTATGGAGGAAATAACAAATATTGACTGGACGGCTTGACTATTTTGGTACGTTTCCAAAAAGCTTTAAAGTACCCCGGATAGTCGCTATTTTAAAGTCCGGTGATTCTACAGACGCCGCTAATGATCGTCTTGTCTCTGCTTACGTCACTTTGAAAAGGTTTTTGAGGGTGCAATTTATTGACAGTCATTTTTTCTGTTAAGAAATGGCATAGATCCACATCAACATGGTTTACACAGAAAAAAGGTTCAGTTGTTACAAATTGCATTGCATTGCATTGCATTGAAATCCCTTTGTATAATAATACTATCTTTATTATCCCACAGATTTAGAACACAATCAGTGTATTCTGGATTTCGTCCAATAGATCATGCAAATGAGGCAGAAAATTACATTAAAAAATTACAAAAAATAATAAAAATATATGACAAAGCCCAACAATACAGTGATGATAAACATAAATAGGTTTGTTCATAGATATAAGAAAGTGACTAACTGATACGAATTCCAGGGTTTCATCATCTGATGAGTTACATTCAGGTTCAGTAGTTGATGAATTTATGTTATCGTTCATATCTTCTTCGTCAGTCAAGGTAAAGTCTGTTCATAGATATAAGAAAGTGACTAACTGATACGAATTAAGGAAAGACCCGGGCAAGCTGTAAGAATGAAATATGGCCGAACAGGTCCGTACTTTGCTTAGAATTTAACTATTTGAGATTTTGTTAGGAAAAATACTAAACAATGTATTTATTTATGTATATATTTATGTTTAAATATAAAATAAAATTGCAAATTATTTTTATTATATTTATAATATATCAGTATCACTATCGCTATCATCGCCTGTTGTAATTATTATTTGTTTTGTATACGATTGTTCTGCTGTTTCTATATGTTTAACAGAATTGGCCCAACTTTATGGAGGGATGTTAAAAACTTCGGTTTCTATAATTTTTAAATAATTTTTAATATCTTTAGCCATTTTAAAGCGGTTAAGCTGTCTTTTTAGCCACACATTTTTTTTGCCCAAATTTCATGATTCTTTGATCCATTTTTTTCGACAGCAGAAAAACGCCTAGCACACAAAACAAGTGTAACGTTTCTGCCTCCCAAAAAATAAATGCGTTTCTAACATCGAGACCTTACTTGGCGGTGCTGCCAATAAGTCAATTTCAGCCGAGGACAACAAAACTTTTGCGTTGTAGAGAACTGAGCGACCTGAAGTTACTATGGCTGCCCGATTTTCGTATTGCCAACCTAACGGTGGACCTGCCAAACCTTTGCCTCGATATGGATCTCAAGTTGGGCAACTTGAGGATCGAGGGGGTGTACGATGTCAACAACTTGATGCTGCAGAAGTTCCTTCCGGTCTCACATAACGGAAAAGTGGTGTAAGTCAAACCGGCAGCTGGTTCGACGACCTCAGATTTTTGTCACCCTAACCTCAAACTGTCGGAAACTAAGTAACCATTTTTTTTTTATTATTATCACCCAACTAATAGTTTCTGTTTTATAAATGGCTTAACGACGTTTACAGAAGCATTTTTACAACTAACTAACAGTTTATAAATAACTATAAATCTTCTAACAACGCTGATAAACTATCCGAAAAGGCTCACTTTTGTGCACTTTAATTACTTTTATGATGGCTTTTTATAGCTATTACGGGTTATTTGTTTAAAGGTTTACAAACTTATTAATATTAAAATAAAAGTTATAACTAACAGTTTATAATTAACAACTATAAATGTTCTAACAACGCTGGTAAACTAACCAAAAAGGCTCACTTTTGTGCACTTTAATTACTTTTATGATGGCTTTTTATAGCTATTACGGGTTATTTGTTTAAAGGTTTACAAACTTATTAATATTAAAATAAAAGTTATAACTAACAGTTTATAATTAACAACTATAAATGTTCTAACAACGCAGGTAAACTAACCAAAAAGGCTCACTTTTGTGCACTTTAATTACTTTTATGATGGCTTTTTATAGCTATTACGGGTTATTTGTTTAAAGGTTTACAAACTTATTAATATTAAAATAAAAGTTATAACTAACAGTTTATAATTAACAACTATAAATGTTCTAACAACGCTGGTAAACTAACCAAAAAGGCTCACTTTTGTGCACTTTAATTACTTTTATGATGGCTTTTTATAGCTATTACGGGATATTTGTTTAAAGGTTTACAAACTTATTAATATTAAAATAACAGTTATAACTAACAGTTTATAATTAACAACTATAAATGTTCTAACAACGCTTATAAACTATCCAAAAAGGCTCACTTTTGTGCACTTTAATTACTTTTATGATGGATTTTTATAGCTATTACGGGATATTTGTTTAAAGGTTTACAAACTTATTAATATTAAAATAACATTTATAACTAACAGTTTATAAATAACAATTATAAATGTTCTGACAATGCTTATAAAATATCCAAAAAGGCTCACTTTTGTGCACTTTAATTGGTTTTATTATGGCTTTTTATAGCTTTTACAGAATATTTGTTTAAACGTTTATAAACTTATTAATTTTATTGACAACAGTTATGGAGTATTATTTTATTATTATGATAATTATACAATAATTATCAACCTAAAAAAAACAGTTTTGAAAAAGTAGTTTTTATTATCTCAGAATTAGCTTTTTTGTTTTGACTAACACTATAAAGTTTTGGTTAGATTTGATGAAATTTTGGTATTTATCCCTTATTGGTAAATATTGAATTTTAGAAGAAAAGATCAAAAATTTCGTACTTTTCCTTCATCTTATATCATTTATTTTATTTATTTATTATATCATTATATCAATATTAAAGTAATTAATTAATGCATTTTATATGCATTAATTAATTACATATTATATGCATTATATGCATGTTATAAAATACTTTTACCACCTTGGTGGTTCTTATAAAATGTTGTTTTTATTTAATTTATGAGCATATTGTAGTTAAATAGGGACGCACTGCAGAAAAACACATGTAGAGATGTTATACATTTAGTTTTTCTAAAAAAAATTGCAAATAAAAATGCCCGAGGTTGTATAGTATGACGGAGTAAATAGAGCGATTTGTAAAAAAACATTGATTTATTATGTATTGTGTATTTTTATAGTTGGTAATGATGATATTTAAAGAAAAAGTGACTAATGAGTTCTTAAACTCTAGATATATTATCTAAGCATATTAGTCTATGTGGTTTATTTTCAGTAGTTCCAATTTTATATAAAATATAGTAAAAGAATAAATTTCCCTGTATATCGGTTATAATTTACTGAAAGTTTGCTATTTACACTATCTACCTTGAGTCAAAACCATTTTGTTTATCTAGATGATGCCTAAGGTATTCTGATTGTACTTCTTAACTTTTGTGCAAAATACACAATTTTTTTTACCCTTTTTTCAATTTGCTTATTAATTTTACAAACATTTTTTTGTTTTATAATTGTTTGTTTATAATTATAATTGTTTTATAATAGCTCTTATTATGACAATGTTCATGATAATTATATAATAATTTTTTTAATGTGCTATCTGAGTGCAATGTTATAAATTTTATACAGTTTTATAACACCAGTATAAAATGCAGTATTAAATTTTTGTATATACGTTTATAAAACAGTATTATAATTTGTCGTAAAATTGTTTTCTATTTGTGCTCTAATTACGTTCTACCTAATAACGCAAAATAATTCTTAAAGGCTTGATTATCTCACTGGCAATTTTAATAAAACGAAATTGCGAGCAGAAATAAAGCAATTATACAATAAAATGGCGCGGAAAGTGAATAATTATAAAATATATTTGCTAGTCGGGCAGTATTTTAGAAAATCTTCTTTCAATTTTCTATATAGGGTAACTTTCTCTGACGTCACGACGAAGGGGCGGGTCGGTTTGCATATACAGGGCGACTCGTTCGTACCCGCCAACTATGACCTCGCGTACCAATGGACCGCGACCGAAGTAAGCGTGAGTTTCTTTTCCGATGACGTCATCGTTGAGCGCCGCTGACGGGGATGGGCGGGGGCTTTCAGGTGAACTATTACGTGAGCAACGAGACCCAGATCGAGAACGCGATCACCTCCAGTGGCGGAGGTTAGTATATAAAAATAAATAAAAGTATAAAAAAAATGCAAGATATAAATAGTGTAAATAGTATAAATTAAGTATATATCGTGTAAACAAATAATTAAATTCCGTAGAAACTAATTTTGAATAACTCGTTTGTGTAAAATTTGAAATAAATGTGGGAAGAAGCTCGGGAAAATTAAAAAATGTGGATTTTGTCGGGATCGTTACTATCAAGTACCAATAAATGGCAGTTTGTCAAATTGGCATGGGTTGCTTAGTTGTGTTCCGCAGGGATAAGTTCTTGGGCCGTTGCAATATCAAAACTTCAATCACACTGTTTGCAGAGAAAATTGGTCCAAAATATAGAAAATGAAACTAAACTAAGAGAATATTGAAACAAACAGAACTGAGTACAACATGTAGAAGAACAGAAAGACCTTGGAATCATGATAACTTCCAGCTTGAAATGGGAGACACATATTTCAAAAGTAGTTAAACAGGTTAATTCTTTGGTGTTTTGTATGAAGAATGCCTTTCTTAACAGATCATCTCGGGCCATAGTAAAACTTTACAAGTCTTTAATTCGTCCAAAATTAGAATATAGACATTGAAATGCTGGAGCACGTTGAAAGAAGAATAACAAAACTTCAATTCCATTTATCTAATGATTCCTATGAGGAAAGCTGAATTTGACAACTTTGAAAGAAAGAACATTGCGTGAGACTTTCAAGATGATACAAAACTATTACTCATGTGAACTGAACATCTTTCAAAATGACCCGAATATCCATCTACGAGGTCACACCAAAAAATTAACCAAAGAAACGAATGCCAAACTGCAGAGAAAAAACTTCCTCTGCAATATACCTGGAACTCCCTGTCAGAAGACGCAGTGTCACCAACAAACACTAATTCTTTCAAAAACAAATTGGATAGAGAATTGCACCGTTTAATGAGATTACAATCAATAACTTTTTTTTCTTCCTTTTTTCCTTTTGTAAAAATCTTTTTCTTTTTTGTGATATCATTGGAGTTACGCTATATACATACATATATTATATGATTTGTTTTACAAGGATTATTTTTTCTTATAATATAATTTGTATACACAGTACATAAGACATTGTAAATTTTATTTATCAGCCTCATCGGGTTGTTGTTTTAAATAAATTAATAAAATAAATAAATATATAAAATAAATAAAAGTCCTCTTTATTTATTTATTTATTTATTTCCACGGCTGAGCCAATTTACAAAGAAAAAGTAACAATATAAATATAATATAAATAGCAACATGACAAAACAACAACTTAGATAAAAAGCTTTTTAAATAACCATATAAAAACACAAAACAGTAAGAAACAGTAAACAAACAGTATCACACTAGTTACAACTACAATCAGCCACCTGTTTCAATTTTGTCTTAAATAGTCGAAGACCGCCAGCAAAGGGATCAAGAGAGCAACTGTTAAATAACCTCAAGGCTCCAGTTAAAGGGGAAAAATAGCCCTAGTTGGCGTGATGAAATGGAATTCAAAACATTGGGGAGCTCTGACGTCTTTGATAGATGTTAAAATCAATGGATTGGAGGAGAGCCGGACGGTTATATACACCGTTCAAAATTTTATAAAACGTCAAGATATCGGAGTGGGTTCTTCTAATTTCCAGGCTATCTATCCCAAAAGAAATGCCCTCTGAGCAGTCTCCAATCTATCAATGTGACATCTGTAATGTGGAGACCACGCTACTGATGCATACTCCAGATCTAACTAAGGAGCAATAAAGGGGTTTAAAACAGTCGGATGAGAGCAGTGTAGTATTACGGGTAATAAAACCCAGACCTCTCATGCCCTTATCAACAATATCTTCCAGCTGATCCGAAAAGTTTACTGTCAAAGATGACTCCAAGGTCCCTAACTTTGGTGACACACTCTATCGTTGTATAGTTAATAATATATCTGTTTTGAAGGGTGTTGGTTAAGCTAGAAAAAGAAATACTAAAACACTTTCCAACATTTAGATCCAGACCATTTTCTCTGCACCACGAACTAACATTATTAAGGTCGCTCTGAAGAAGCCGAGCGTCCATAAATGATTCAATTGTTTTGTAAAATTTAAAATCATCTGCAAAGGCAAGTTGTTCAGAATAAAGAACCGCATCACTCAGATCTCTTATAAACAAATTAAAGAAAACTGGACCTATGTGCGAACCCTGAGGCACACCCGAGTGCACCACAATTTCGCTAGAAATATAATTATTGACTCGATAACTAACTCTGTCAAACGCCTTCGAAAAGTCCGTGTAGACACTGTCCACTTGCTTCTCAAAAGCACCCAACAGATCCAGTTGATAAGTCAGCAGGTTTGTCACAGTGGACCTACCACGAGAAAACCCGTGCTGGTTGTCGCACATAATTTTTTTACAATACCAGGAAAAATGCTGACAGGATAGTTTATCAAAAAGTTTGGGAATGACAGATTGTAAGCATATAGTCCCAATATTGCCTCTGGCAGCATTTTTGTGAATTGGCGTTAAATAAATTAATTTCCAGTAAAAATTCCTCTTGACACATAGTGCACTCGCGCCAAATTTCATTAAAATATCCAAAGTGCTATTTTGATATATAAAAAATATATGTTAATTTTGAAAATTTTACAACCTTGTATCTCAAAAGTTGAGACGTAGGGAACATATGTTCATATGAAGTTTCCTTTTTAAAATGGACATTCGACATTCGATTTCTGTTTTGTGATTCATACTAAACGATAAACACAAAAATCGTAGAACATAGATCTGGCAGATAGGCAGGACTATCCCCCAGATAAATTATACTGTTTTTCAACGCTTAAATCGTGATTAGGTCGATAAGTATGTCGGATTCTTAACCGTATAGTAAGTCTTTAATCTTTATGTCTCTCATATCTTTATATGTTTATTTGAACATGCTCTCCCGTTATTTACCTTCGCGAATCGATTTGATTATCCTCGGAAAGTATTCGGAAACGGGTACATATACAAGTGGCATGTGGCAATTCCGCATTTTACGATCGCGTTTCGGTTTTCCCCGCAGAGCAGACTTTGGGTGACACGATATGGCTCCAACTTAACGACCTGCTCACCAGCTTGCTCGACGAGCAATTGGCCGGGGTAGTCGTCGGATTTTCAGTCACCGAGTCATTGGCAGACGAGGACCAAGACCTTAGGTAGGTTAATAAAAAAAAATTACAGTTTAATAGTCGTATTGTGTGCCTGGTAAACTGTTGAGTATCAAAAAGCAGCTATTCAAAAAGGAGGTTAGGTTATCTTCTGCTGTCGTTTATAATGTATCCATGGAAGCGCTTAACGTTATATATTATATATTTTTTGATGGTCTGACGACCCTGTATAATTGTTTTTCTAATTAAAAGATTTCATTTTTAGTACTTTTATTGTGTTTAAGGTTTACGCTAAAGCTACATAATATATGTAACTACAAAATATTTTCTACATAACCTCAATTTTTGACAATATGTCCATTTTTATGCCGTCCCATGAGAAAAAGCCCATGGGTGCCAAGTCAGGTCTCCCGCTGGCCAATGGTTCCATTGTCTTGTTGAAGGACAATCCCTCGGTTAATATCGTCCGGCAGATTATCACTTAATTTAAATATCTCTCACCATTCAGAACGAAATCATAAAATATTAGACCTATTAAAAAATGTCCAATTAAAATGCGTATTTCTGTCCAAGCAATAAGTTTTGTTGTAACTAAAAAAAAAGTAACTAAAACTACGGGGGTCAGAAAGCATTTTGTAGTTTTATATTAAATTTAAGCAATTAATGTCTAGAAAAAGACTTAGATTAGAATATTGTATGGGGTTTAGTTAGATTTAAAATAAAATACACAAAAGTTATTTATTCTTATTTAATAATAATAATTAATAATTTAATATCAGTAACCGGAAGCAATCAGTTAAAGTTAAAAATTACATTTCGTTAGAGACTGTTGTGACGTCTGGTGTCCCAGATGGGGGACATCTTTCCACATTCCTTTTTAATGTCTTCATTAATACTTGCTTGGGTTTGTTTTTCGGACTTTGAAGGGTTTTGAGAACATCTTTACGTATAGGGAGCTGTACTGTGCGCTTGTGCGTTCAATTTTAGAGTATGCTAGCTGTGTCTGGCAACCATACTATGCAATTCACAAGGAAAGAATAGAGCGTGTGCAGCGTAAGTTCCTTAGAGGGATAGGTTTTATGTTGGGAATGTCATTTCAGGATATAAACTACGAGGAGATTATGAAGCTTTTGAATCTGACATCTTTGGAGAGTAGACTCATATTTTTTGACATCTCCTTAATAACTTGATGGATGCGCCAGATCTTTTGGCATCCGTTGGTTTCATATTTCTCCTATTAATGCAAGAAATAAGGCTCTTTTTAATATTGATTTTCATAGGACCAACTATGGCATTAACTCGCCTATGAATCGAACGTGCAAACTGACAAATATTTTACTCACAAATAACGAGCATATTGATTTATTTTCTGACTCTCTCGGTAGTTTTAATTGCAAAGTAAAGATGATGAGAGATGTTTTTAATCAAAACTTGGTTGTTTAGTAACTGTAAGTGTTGGTGTCACTATTTTTCTTAGGTTAAACTATATTGTAATGATAATGTAAATGCTATATGCGTAAATAAAATTTTTAATTTTAATTTAATCAAACCCAATGTAAGTTCTAAATACAGGGCGTTCCATTGAAAAAATTGGTTTTTTATATTATAAAAAACGTGTTTAGATGGCCATTTGTATCGAAACCATATCGAACCACTTCCAAAAAACAAATTTCTCAAAAACTTCTCAAAATTATTAAGCATTCCATTTATAAAAAAGTTGGATACTGTCCTGCAACACCCAGTATATATAAAAATACTATAAATAAAATATATATTTACATAAGGTCAAAGAAATTTTGTTGTTTTCATCAGTGTCACGCTTATGGATACAAGGTGTAGGGGCATTTTAAATAGACAACCCTGTACATAAATGTCGTGATTTAGTTACCTAGAAATTCTTTAAATCTGTTTCAGGAAATGGGCACAGCAAGCCGCCTCAAAAGCAAACCGCGTTTTTGACACCCTACTGTGTTCCGCGAAAGACTACTTAGTGGCAAAAAACTATTGGGCGATCGAGACACCCCCATTCGACGTCGTTTACAGGGGCAAACCGGCCAGTTTGGATCAGGGCATATTCCAGACCGGCAAGGGCTACCTGCAGGTATAGTTCGGTTCGAATTAGGGGCGGGTGGAGCAAGACGGCAGACTTAAGCTTTTTATTATTTTTTGTGGATTTATTTTTGACTAACTTTAACTAAATTTACCCGAATTTTGAAGCTTCTGACCTATTTATAATATTATATATAATAATTATAAAGATTTATTAAAAAATATTTATTAAAAAATGTTATTGGTATTTCATAAGATTGTCGAAAGCTCTGGATTTACGCTAAATCCATAGAATTATCCGAAAAATAACACTGTCAATAAATTAATTATGATTTTGGCGAAGCTTCTGACCTTTGTGGAATATTATATATAATTATAATTATTATTCATTAAAAAATATTTATTAAAAAAAAAGAAATTGTTATTGGTATTTATAAGATTTTCGAAAGCTTTAGCTATAGGCTAAATCCATATAATTATCCAAAAAATAACATTTCCAATATATTATGATTTTGGCGAAGCTTCTGACCGATTTATTATATTATATATAATAATTTTAATTATTTACTGAAAAATATTTAATAACAAAAAATTGTTATTGGTATTTATAAGATTTTCGAAAGCTTTAGCTTTAGGCTAAATCCATAGAATTATCCAAAAAATAACACTTTAAATAAATTAATTATGATTTTGGCGAAGCTTCTGACCTATTTATAATATTATATATAATAATTACAATTATTGTTTAAAAATATTTAATAAAAAAATAAATTGTTGGTATTTATAAGTTTTTCGAAAGCTCTGAATTTAGGCCATATCCATAGAATTGTCCAAAAAATAACACTTTCAATAAATTAATTATGATTTTGGGGAAGCTTTTGACCTATTTATAATATTATATATAACAATTATAATTATTTATTAAAAAATATTTATTAAAAAAAGAAATTGTTATTGGTATTTATAAGAGTTTCGAAAGCTCTGGCTTTAGGCTAAATCCATATAATTATCCAAAAAATTACATTTCCAATATATTAATTATGATTTTGGCGAAGCTTCTGACCTATTTATAATATTATATATAATAGTTATAATTATTTCTTAAAAAGTATTTAATAAAAAAAGAAATTATTATTGGTATTTATAAGAGTTTCGAAAGCTCTGGCTTTAGGCTAAAACCATAGAATTATCCAAGAAATAATACTTATAAATTAATTATGAACGGGTTATAATAACATGGAATAGCTATAATATATATAAATAGAAACAAAATTGGGAACGACCGACATACGGTACGCCAGGATGACCCAAAAAGTTTGAAAATTTTCAAATTTAACTTTTCATTTTTTCCAAGATATTTTCTGCAATATTAATCAAGCAAGCTTTGAACTATCTAAATACAATTAAATCGCAGGGTGAACATCTCCATCGTAACCGTAAACAGCTTCCGAATACGTGCAATCGTATCACGCCTCCATTTTCTTCCAGAAATATTTAACAAACTGTCCAAGTTCTGCTTCCTGTTAAGTTTAGGCTACTTATATCAATAAGGACATATCAATTTTTTTTTTAATTCCACACAACTGCTATTTAACACAGATTCAGTTCTTCTTCTGTTATCTAAAGTAAATTCTTTAATTTTGCTCAAGAATCGAGAAAAACGATCTCACAGTTTTTTTATATGAATGCTCATTGTCTCATAATCCTTCCAAAAAAAATAAAATTCTGCCCATCACTGCCTTCATATTGTTATTGGAAGTTTGTGGTGAAGTGTATTTTTTGATGGAATGTTTAATATCTTCAATGTAAACATTATTAGAGAGAAGAGCAGAGGTAAGGTGTTTTAATTCTGGGCTCGATGACTTGGGCTGAGATAGTTTTATGGCTCTGTAAACAAGAGAGTTGATAACCGATGATTTTTGGCCAGCATCGGTCTGTGTGCGTAGGTTTTCTGTAAATACAATGGCCCAATGTTATGTTTGATTTTATATTGATAAGAATATCTAAGAACTCAATGGTAAAACTTATGTTAAGGTGTATAGAGTTTAAATGTTTAGGAAATTCTACTAGGGTTTCTTAACCATGAGGCCGAATAACAAAAGTATCATCGACGTAGGGTTCCCATAATTTTGGTTTTAGATGGATGGATGGATGGAAGGTGACTGGTGATTGTGGAGAACTCATAGCTGTGCCTGACGTTTGTTTAAAAATTTGACCGTTATAAGAGAAATATATTCCAGATAAGCATTTTCCAATTAAGGCGAGAAGGTTTGGTTCTAGATTCTCGTATTTTAATATTTCTGAAATGATGACGAGAGTTTCAGGAATAGGAACTTTAATAATAATTTTTAATTGTTTAATGAATTGAAAGGAATTAAGTACGAAACTATCAGTTTTCCCTGTAAGGGATTTTAATAAGGAAGCTGGATATTTTGCTAGAGAATATGTTAGGGTCGGATAGACAAGAAGCCTTAATAACAGATTTAAGGTTGCGATCCATAGATGACGTACATCTATGTCAGGCCGGGAAATTGTGGCGCTAACCTCGTAGTATTTTCTCATTAGTTTGGCCTTTATCATATGATTTCCGACAAAAAGCAGCCTTTAAATTATTTTTCAAACTTTTTCGGTCATCCTTCCACGGTCGGAATTTGAACGAAACTTTTCGCAGGACCTTTCGAGCCTTAGCCGCCTGCAGGATTTGAGTTTATACGAAACCGAGCAACAGGCCGTGGTTTACGGCAGCTTGAAGCTGCGCGACTTCAAAGTAAGTAAATATTAATCCCCTAGCCAAAGACGTTATTGATTCGGAAGGGGGGGGAGGGCTAAAGGGAAATGCGTTTCTCAATATTAACGAAGAAACATTTTTCCCTTTTGCCTTTGAGTCGGTTAAAGATTTTTTCCCACATATAATGGAACGTTTAATGAACGACCCCTTTTTTATTTATTTATTTTATTTATGTCATTTCTTGTGAATACACAGGTGAAATAAATATAATAAATAAATATAATAACTTACACATCTTGGATATTATTGAGTTTAATAATAAAACTGAGGTATACTTGTACTACCTATTGCAAAATGGTTATAAATCTATGATGAATATCTCATTAGGGATTGAGATGATGGATCCTGCATTGATCATATCTTCATGAGGGGAACTAGCATAGTAAAGTCAGGCAAAAAAATTGATTCAATCTCCGGCCACTACCCCGTGTTGGTTTCGGTTTGTGGGAATAATACAAATTGCAAACTTCAAGAAAAATCGGAAATAAATAAGAACAAATTCTGAAAATTATGTGCCTCTGGAAATTGGCAACAAATTTTAATAAAGAAAATTAAAAATGTCTGTAAGCTATCACTTAAAAATAGGCCTAAAACTCAAAAATCTCTCTAATTAAGAAAATAAACTACATAGAACTTGGAAAAACAATCAAGAGGAGGAGCAATACTTACAATACGAAAAAAAACCTAAGTCCCAGCTGAGGGCTGCTAAAAATACGCATGAAGTTAGACAATTGCATAATGCTGACTCCAAAAAAATGTGGTAATATATAAATAGTAAATTAGATCGTAGCATGAAAAACAGGCAAATAAATGAAACATTAATAAATAAAAAACCGAATGGCAATGATCTTTTAACGCACAGTCATACAGTCGATCACGTTATACAAGTTTATCCTTGATAGCAAGTTATCTGAAAGATAGACGCCAAGTTGTAAGGGTACATGGTACTAAAAGTCAGCAAGTTAAAACAAATGTTGGAGTGCCTCAGGGCTCAATACTTGGACCAATATTGTTCGTCTTATATATAAATGATTTGTTGGTTTTGCAAGATACTTTAATGGCATATGCTGGTGATACTGCAGTACCAATGAAAGCAAAATCATGGCCCGAACTTTCAACAGCCATGCCATCAACTCTGGATATTATATACTCCTGGCTCTATCAGAATAAACTGGTAATCAACACAGACAAATCTGTTTTTGCCTCTTTTGCAAACTATAGAGACTCTGTTCCACAGGATATTGAAATCAAGATTAATGTGGTGAGTCTGAAAAGAGCTACCAGTAGTAAATATCTAGCAATTACTTAGGACTATACTATACTTCACGTGGCTAACGCAGTAAAAAAATAACAAATACTTAGTGTATGTTTTTTATAGACTCAAAGTTCGAAAGTTCGTGACAGTAATAATATTTTTATTTGTGATTGTTATACGTTATTAAAGGCGCTTTAATTAAATTCAAGAGAGGAAGTTTGAAGAACGACGCCTTCGTTTATTTTATTTTTATAATTTTTTGTGAATTCACAGAGAAGCATACATAAATACACCTCTGCGAAATATATTTTAACACATACGGGGTGTTTTAATCACTTTTTGTGGCGGACGTTTTACCAATATCCATTTTCTTCTTCGAGTGACGTCACCGCGCCAACGGTTGTTCGATGACGCTTTAAATCGCGATGATGGCCCGGGTCAAGGGTACGAAGATAGACCTCGGGGATTTTTCATTTCGCTAATGCGTAGCTCTCCCCGTTAGTGTTCATCTCCCGTCGGGAGGGTTTCGTTTTCACCGCCTTCGCGTGAAAAATGCAGTCCGGACTGTTTACCCATTCCGGCTGCACAGTATAAAATCCAATTACACAGTCGGGCACTCGCGAGAGTTCGAAACTTGCAAGGAATTTAAAAGTCTCCGCGGCATTATTAAATTCGACGACAAAAGTTGCGAATGGAAATTAAGTGCAAAAAGGTTCATATACAGGGTGTTGCGCAAATGGCGTCGTATAGTTTAACGGTAGAATATCGCAGTCGATTGACGAGTGGTCAAAGTATTTTGTAACTTTCGTGACGTAGTATTTGTCTACAGCGTTGCCGTCATTTACGTATTTTCCTTTTCTCCAAATGTTTTATATAGTATGTTGTTTTTCTGGTGTTTCTTTTGGGTTTTGGGTGAAGAGACAAAAACTTTAAAAACACAAATTTTAATTAGATGCATACATGTTATGATAAAGACGACGAAGTTAGAGATTGATACAAAGATTAAAAAGGGTTATCTTCAAAAACACCACAGACCACAAAATCGTCAATCTCGTTTCAAATTATTTACAACATTTTAAACATGTGCATGCATTTGTTGGTTACATTATAAAAAATGTTTAAAAGCTATATTTAATATGTATTTAATTTATTTGCTCATTTATCAGTCATAATTAAAACCATAAAAATAAAGTTCAGCATATCTAATTATTAATAATCAGATGTTACTAATATTTGGATATGCAGAATATCGTCATTTACTATTCTAAGTCATTGAATACACTTGAATCACTAAAGTCACATCATATACAAAGTGGTCAATACAAAAAGTGTTTGACCTTACGTCATATTTTATTTATAGTATTTTTAAATATACTGGGTGTGGCAGGACAGTAGCAATTTTTTTAAATGCTTTTAAAAATTCTAATCATTTTTTGACAAAATTGTTATTTTATTTTTTTATTTTATTATGGATCCATGGAAGAGGTGTAATGCCTTGATCTGTCTATAGCCAAAAAATATTGTGCTGAGTGGTCACAAATGACCAGTTAAAAATGATGTTTTGAATTTAAAAATATATTGTTTTAATAGAACATCCCGCATTTAGCATTTGTATTTTGTTTGGGATTTAATTCTGAATCATTTCATATAAAAAACTTTTGAAATGAACAGAAAAAAGAACTTTGTTGGTGCTGTAGATAAAGCGACACACGGTTATTGCGTAGAAATTTTGTTGAAAGTAATGAAATTTTAAATTCACAGAAAAAGTAAATAACATTAAATACCCAATACTCAAAATTAACTCATCATGGTCACGGACCATGGATAGTCGTGACGCGGACTTCCAACTTCGAATAACGCTAATATCAAATATGGGTGATCTATAGCGTTTTCTCTTCATCGTTCTTAGTGGCGGCTACCTGAGACTTTCATAAATTAAGTTCGTATTTCGCGCGATACCGGCCATGATTAACGGCTATCCCCGAATTATGATCTGCCGCATACCCCCCACTATCGAGTTTTACGTAGTCGAACAACAAATCACGGCGAGCCACGATTTATGTGGCGGAACGCAGCCGCCTTTGTCTCGATGACATCATCGCAGAATACCCAAACAGTTGAATTTATTTTCTTCGATGGTGGCACTGCTGTCAAGGCTACGCACATATGAGGTGTGTTCAAAAAGTAAGGCGCCTTGTGCATTTTTTGTAGTAACCGATTTGAAACAAAAAAAAAATAGAAAATATTTCAAAATAAATCTGAGCAGTATCAACTTTAATTTAATAATAATAAAAATAATAATAATATAACAAGTTTAATTTTAAATCAAAAACTTAATCAAGGTGACTACTTTCGTCTGACTCCCTCAGGATTTTAATATTTTCTTTGAAAGGCTCTGACAAATTTAAAGCTTCGGGATTAAATCTGTTTTTACTGAAAACTTTGGTTTTGCGTAAATTTTCGATTTTTGGATCATCTTAATTCTTGTTTTTTCTTCTTTAACAAGTAAGTTGTCCTTTCTACATGCTTGCCATTTTCAAAATTTTAAACGAAAACTAATTTTTAGAAAATGAATGAAGTGAGGAAATGCCAGACACCAGGTCTGTCTCACGTAAAGGCCTCATCAAAATATTTTCCATTTGGTTCATAATTGTGTTTTCAAATTTCAGTTGAGGAACAAAGCCTAAATATAAATTTTATAAATTTCGACAATATGGAGAAATCTGTAAATTAAAAAGTCGCCATGAAACTGAAAGGAGATGAATAAAAAAAACCTGTAATGTTATTATTATAAAGGTACCTTAATTAATTTTTATAAAATAGGGAGGCAAAGATTTTTAGGAAGGTATAAAAAAACTGTGAGACCGAATTGCTCTATTCTTGAGATATCTCTACAAGCAAAATTAAAGGGTTTACCTTAGGTAATAGAAGAAGTCTTTTCCTTCAAATCCATTCATCCGATCGGAAAATTTTTACAACTGTAATACGTGGGAGATCCCGCGCTATAACTTTTGTTTTACGCATTTTTTCGATTATATACAAGGTGTTTTAGTTATGCACAAAAATCTAAAAGATCCTGAAAATTGTTCTTTTAGAAAGTTGCTCTTTAGAAAGTAACCGTAAATCAAAGTTCGTACAAAAACTAGCAAATCCGTTAGGCCGTATCAAGGGCTACAATTTTTGTATTACGGTGTTCGAGATATTTGAGAAAATCCAAATAAAAATTACCAGTTCGCGGCCTCAATCTAGACGCGATGTCGTCATTTACTATTACCACGTATTGCATGGTTTCCGAAAACAAGTACTGTCTTGAAAACTATTAACTCCATCGAATATATTCGTATATCAGGAAACTAAGGAGATCCAGGGCTATAGCCAGGGTATACAGGGTATTATTAAACTGTGCCGAGAGAGGAGTTTACGGTTTCGTCTATAATACAAATATAATTTTGATTTGCAATTTCCAGTACAAATTTTAATATTTACCGTAACTTTGAAGGTCGACGAGATGTGAATGACATTTTATACAGGGTGTATTCACAATAAAATTACATCGATTTTGCGAAAGTCCCGTAGCGGTCCGCGGGAGCACGATAGAAAAACGGTGCGCGGCGTAGCGGCGAGATTGCGAAAGCAATCTTGTTTAATGCTGCTGACAATACCTCGGACAAAACGAAAAGTGAACTAAAATTAAACGAAAAGTAGAACGGGATGACTGCACATCATACGGATGAAATCGAACAACCTTCGAAGACGTGGCGATTTCAACGCGAAATTTATCATAAACCGGCGATAGAGGAACTTAAAATCAATAAGCCGGTAAAACGCGAGAGCATATATCGCTCGGTGAAATTGAACCGTAAAATATTCAGCATTCGGTAACCAATTTCTAGTGGTTATACGAGCGCGTATAAAAGGGAAGTCACATTCGAGTGTAATGGCTTATCCGCAATTATAAAGGGCGGAACGTAATAACCCCGCTTTTATCGGACTTTTCGGAATATAACGGGAGTTAAAAACGGATGTCGGCGAGAAAGCTTGGCAGGCCTAAGAGGTTCACGGTGGAGGAAAAGGATCGAGCGAACTCCACGCGGATATTGTTACCAACACCAAGAAGGACATGCCACGCTTCCTTTGCGAAATGGCTTTGCGTTAACTTGCGTCAAAATCGGGTATTTTATATTTTTCGTGATTGATACATTTCGACCTCCCAACAGGAGAAATAAATCCAAGAGGGACCGTCCTCAAACGTAATATATTATCAACATTAATATTGTCAACTTCAGGAGGCATTAATTAGTGTAACATTTTTTTTTCACATTTCACAAGACTATTTTGACAGACATTGATGGTACGCCACTGATTTCTTTTAAAATCAAAAAATCCGATGCACATGGTTAACAATATCGTTAATATGACAGCGTGAGAATTCTTACCAAAGTAAATCAGAACTACAAGTTCAGATATTCACGAAATTATATATTTTTGCATGACAATTGTTTCGACAACACCGTGCCATTATCAAATGTAATATTTACAAACCATCTGCTACTATATATACCGTAAAATGACCATAAAACCTTAATTAATGTTGTGAGAATTTAAGTTCAATAAAGGAGAGGTATTTAAATCTAATTGATTGTTTTGTTGCCATGGCTTCCAATAAATTGAATTTTCTACTTTTTGTGGCTGTATGTAAAATATGAAAATTGTCGTCAAAGATGTGTTTCTCCGTGTTTAAGTGTGTAGCAATATATAATTTCGTGAAAATCTGAACTTTTGGTTCTTATTTATTTTGAGAAATGCATTTTCATCAAGTAAAAGCCACCTATCTGTGTTGAGTTGTGTTTTTCAATTCTTTATAATTATTTTTTGTCATCGCAGTGGGCTGTGTCCGTAAGGTTTATTAATTCGGTTGTTACTTCACGTCTTAACTACGAACGGTCGCGTTTACTGATGAGGTGACGGCAGATATTCATTTTATGGAAGCTAGGATATTGTATCAAGAACGCTAATAGAGTCGTACCAGATGAATTGTATACCGTGTAGTATACACACTTTAACAGATTTAATAAAACTTCAGAATTCATATTTAAGGAAACATTGAATAGTTAATTTATATCTAGCTTGATTGAATATACCTAATAACAAAAATATATAATTAACCAAAACTATAACTTATTTAAAATACAAACAAAATATATACTAACTATACTATAAAAAAATGTCAAAATTTGTTTATACCTTAATGCGTCAAAAAAAAAAAAAAGATTGTGATGTCATAGCCAACTAAATAATAAATTTAAATTATTAAATATTTTGATATTTCTTTATTTTATACATTTTTAACTTTATGGACCGAATCAAAGAACACTTTTTAGTTAACTTTTTTTTTAAATAGATTTATTTATTCAAATTTGTTGTCACGTAACCGCACGGCTGGTCTGATATGTACGTGTTGGCTTTGACTGTGGAAGAGAAAGGCAAAACGCCCCCCCCCCCCCTTCCAATTTATCGCCCCATTGTTTCCCCGCTGCGGGGGCGGTTCTGGGGTTGTAAATACGATTCCTTTTTATCCCGAAATAAATATAAAAATGGGGCGACAGCATTTGGAGCCCCCTCACCTGCGGCTTTATTTAAAATTCGTAATAAATTACCCCCGTCGCGATGGCTGTTTTTTTTTTCGTTTTCTCGTCTTCCCCAGCACGGTTACGAAATCTTCAGCAGCAAGTTCGAGGGCACGGAAGTGAGCGGCAGTATCAGGACCTCCGTATACAAAAACGGGATTTTTATTAAATTGTCGTGCGACAAAACCGATCTCGCTCCCGTCAAGCTCGAGGCTGTTTCCGTGAGAACGATAGGGTAAGTAAACTTTTTTTTATTTCTATTTTATTTATTGAATTAGTTGGTGAAAGTGTCCAATCTTGGAATTGACGCGGAAGCTCTGCTAACAGTCTCAGGATTGCTCTCTGTTTCAATACATTGTGCATTAAACTTTACAGTCTTCCCCATAAAAAGTAATCTAAGGGGTTTAGGTCGGGCGACCTTGCTGGCCAAGGAACTGGGGCGCCTCTTCGAATCCACCGGTTTGTATAATTTACTTGTCGACCAAAGAGGAACGTCATGGCAGTAATATTGGAAGATAATTTTCAATGAAGTATAAACAGCGAATCTCTGTGAGACGTTCTTCATCATCATCAACAATGCCACACCAAATATTCACCGAAAATCTGGCTCGGAAATGGGATTGCAGAGTTTGTGGTGGATTTTCAACTGAAACTCTCTCTCTCGGTACAGTTTACGATACTGCTTATACCAAATTATCACACCTTTAATAGTTTTTTATCGATCGCCAATAATTTACCCACAAGAACGGACATTTTTAGGATCTTTTATATTTTTTACCCATAAACGACAGACCCTGTATATGATTCAAACCATGTTCGAAGTAGAGGTTATACCCCTGGATGTTTCACGTTTCCTGGCCCAAGAATTTTTTGAAAATACTAAATGTTTTTTAAGAAATATGGATTTATACAAAAAATGTAGCTTTTGATGTGGCCTATGACGCTGTTTGAATCAATTAGCCATATTTTTTACGATTTTTGATTTGCTGCTAATAATTTGTTCTGAAATAAATGTTATTGCACAGGATCTTCCGCGTATGCTGGTTAAAGAATATTTCCCATCGGGTGAATGATTATGTGGAAAGACATATTTTTTGGAAGCTAAAATTATGAAAAAAAAAAGTTTAAAGAATATTAAAAAAATACTTAGTAAAATTTGATTGCACCCAATCTTTACCGTTCAAATGAGGACTCGGACTTTTACATGTCTGCTAAATTTGAAGTTGACATCTGCAAATTTAGGACACTTAACTCGTTTCTCATTTAGCACGGAATATCGGGAACACCCTGTACAATAGGTGAAAACTTTAAATACAAAAGTTTTTGCTGTCTATGCGGGCTATATCGTAATATAAAAGAAAGTGAGATCCGAATCAGTTATAACTAATTTTCAATTATAGGAGGACCCATTTTCCGCTTTTTTGAATTTACGGCGCACCCTGTATATTTTAAAAAAATTATCAAGAATAAAAGTTTATCGAGCCGTATCTTCTGCATCTTCTGGTTTAAGAATTTTTTTGGTCTCTAAAACGGTTTTTGAAAAATGATGATTGCACACGCGATTTTTTATTTTCTTACAATACTTCCCGACCCCCAGCCCCCCCCCATTTGAAATAGGTTCCGTTGCGGGGCATTTTTGTGCCAAATATGAAGACTATTGCTTCAAACACTTATCGTGTTTCATAGCAACGTCCAAAAAACAGTCGAAAATCGCGAAAAAAAGATGGATACCGGCGTCAGATCAGGGGTAATTCTTATAAGCTTATGTGCCTTGTGGAGGGTTAAAATGGAGGGAAATTTTAACGCTTCGGAAGTTATTCACGAAAAAACAAAACACGAGAACGGAGAACGAAGAACGGACAGACAAAAAAAAATTGTTTTTGACGGTGATCGTTTCTGTATCAACGGCGATCCCATAGGATTTACCGCTACCGAGATATAAAATTTTTATACGAGCGCAGATACTTTCGAAAAATTCGATTTTCGAAAGTAACAAGTTCGATAGATCGGTGGTCCTACTATACCTTTTTTTATGGTTACTAGTTACAACTTTGACAAAATTGAAATTTGCCTCCCCTAACCTTCCTTAACCCTCTACGAGGCACATAAGCTTATAAGAAATGGCCCTGATCAGACGCCGGTATCCATCTTGATTTTCGACTGTTTTTTGGTCCTTGCTATGAAACACGATAAGTGTGCAAAATTTGAAGCAATCGGTTTCATATTTGGCACATATATGCAGCTTCGCCCCGTGACGGAACCTGTTAAAAATGGGGGGGCTGGGGGGTCGGGAAAGATTCTAAAAAAATAAAAAATTGTGTGTGCAAGGGTCTACAAAAAACATCATTTTTCAAAAACTGTGTACGACACCAAACAAATACCACCAAACCAAACAAACTCACCAAAAGAATGATTGAACCAGAAGACCCAGAAGATAAGTCTCCATAATAAAAGACCTGGAAACTTGAAAAATATGGCTAATTGGTTCACACAGTGTCATAGGCCGCATCAAAAGCTGCAATTTTTGTATTTGCGGTTTTCGTCTATCACATACACTGCTCGGGATATTTGAAAAAATCCATATTGAAATCGTTATTTCGGGGGCTGTCAAGACGCGATGACGTCAGAAAAAACTTATTTTCTCGAAAACCATTTACTATTTTCAAAAAATTCTTGAACCAGGAAACGTGGAAAATCCTCTACTTTGAACAATGATCTAAGAGTCAGTGACGAACTCGTTGCTGATAGAATGAAATGTTGCACGACTAGATATACTTATATACACTATTTACTATTTTGGAAATACCTGAGAACTCCATTTCTTTAGAGAAAGTGTCATAACTAGCGACAAGCACAGCTTTTGTTGCTAGTTGTATAGAATACTTTATCCACATAAGCTTTTCATTATTTTTTGTGGCTTTCAACCATTGAGTCGATTTATTTTTGACTAACTTTAACTAAATTTATTTATAATATTATATAATAATTATAATTATTTATTAAAAATTATTTAATAAATAAAAACGTTACTTACTAGTAACTATTTATAAGATTTTCGAAAGGTTTTAGGCTAAATCCATTAAATTATCCAAAAAATAACGCTTTCAATAAATTAATTATGATTCGATTGGAATAATATAGAATGGCCTTTTTTTTAGAAGTTTTAGGCGGTCCGTTTTACCCCTGGTATTACGCAAAGTGCTAAAAATGTACAAATAACCAAAATTTATAATTATAATGACGAACAAAAAAATTTTGGTGATAATTTTTTGAGGTGGCCCCCCTGCCTCAACGTCCCCTAATTGGTAATGCGAATCTCTTTGCAGTTATAAATATGGAAACTGTTGCTTAGAAATTCTTGTATTTATCAGAGGTCTTGGAATGGAGACGAAGTCGCTCTTTAAACTAGGCATGATTTGGCAACAAAGCTGGGAATTCCGTATGTGTGGTATCAGCTAGCTAAAAATCCCGCCAGCTTCATTTGCATTTTTAAATTGAAGCGGGCGAAACCTCGATGTCTAATTTGATTACTCAAATTACCGGAGCTCGGGTGGTGCGGAGGCATATTTTCGTCAGAGGCGCAGTTGAATTTTTCAATTCTATTCGTTAAATGGGAGAGGACAGTAAAAAGATACGACACGAGCGCTCAGAAAAAGAACAATCGTTTAAATTTTAAGTGCCAGCCTTCCAATCGAATGTCGCCATTTAAATCGGTGATTTTCGAATGCAATCTGTAGCAGCCCTCGAGATCCCACGTAAATTTTGAGGCGGCCGAATATTGGCTCCCCTGTACATTTTATAGAAAACTTTATAAATTTTAATAAGCCAATTTTCAGTTATTGAATTAAATATGATGGCAAAGTAGCAAAATGACAATGACATATCAAATAAAGGTTGGTTTACATTTGGTTTCACACATTCAAAATAAACTAAGTACGTAGGTATACTTCCACCAGAAATATAGTGCTTTTATAATCGACCTCCTGATTAACCATTCCAGGACCGTCCTAGGAATTTATCTACCTATACTAACAAATATATGAATCATTTACATAAAAAAAATAATACAAAGTAATAATTTATTTCGTTCTGTTTCATTACATTTCTACATAGTTTCATTATTAATATAGAAAATGTTAAATATAATGTTAAGAAAATGTAATAATATACGGGAAGTTCCATAAGAAAAAGAAGTTGTGTTTACCCAGGCAACACCTGTATATGCAAAAATATAATAAAATAAAACTTCGTTTGAAGCAGATGACTTTTGTATTTAAGATTTCTTCGTACACCCTGTATATTCTGAGAAAAGGTATATGGTTACGTTATATTGGCCATCCCGTACACATGCATAGACAACTACATTTTGCCAAACTGAACTGAAGAAAAATGCGAACAATGTGAAATTTTCAGAGATGGAATCGTTTACCACTGCCGATTGGCCGTTGCAAAGTATAATGCCGCGTCAATAGAAACGAGAAACAATAACGAGAATATTGACTACGCCTCTGTGCTTTGCGGTTTTAATCCGTTAGTGGTGCTCGACTCGGCAAATAAGATCTAGCGATATGAAAGTCGATCGGTTCTTAAGTTGTCCGCGAGAGTCTTCAAATAAAAGCTACGGTCCAATTTCGAAGATTAAATTTATATTTTTCCGACGGTTTTGACGATTTCACGCCAGGCGTAGGTCCGTGGGTAGTTCGAAACAACACCGACTGTTTTAATTTTTGGGCCATTTCTCACATACCGAAAGAGTTTTTTCGATACAGAGGCGAGCCTGTTTTAACAAATTTGAAGTCGATAGTTACAAATTTGAGACATCTATTACATTTTTGAATTTGGTACAGAATATGCCGAACACCCTGTACAATATGTGAAAACCTAAAATACAAAAGTTTTAGCAGCCCATACGGACTATATGGTAGCCTGACAGAAAATGGCAGCTATCCATATAAGGCGAACCCAATTTTCAGTTTTTTGCAATTTGCCGGCGCACCCTGTACATTTTAAAAAATCATGAAGAATGAATGATTTTGGCAAGAATTTGCGTCTTCTGGTTCAAGAATTTTTTCGATCGATCGAGAAATGAATATTTTCCCGATATCCTGCAAAGCCGGTTTCAAAATTTTTAAAAATACTTTTTTCGAAAAATTCGATTTCATCGATTTTTCGAAAGTAATGACAGTAAAAATTTTTGAGGATTTGTGCAATTGTGCTTAAGGCAATCTATTCTATTTTACAATATCAGTCTAAATATATAAAACACAGGGAAATTAAAAAAATGTTTTAGGTACAGATATGTGCAACACTTTTACCTTGTAACGACGACTTTTACTAAATAAGGGCTGTGTAAAATGCCCAGCTTAGTCAATTGAGTATTAAGTCGACTGCGTTAAAATAAAATTTGAAAAATGAATATGGCGATTTCGGATTTTACCACTTTGAATTTCCGAACACCCTGTATAAAACTAAATGTTGTTGAACAGATTGACACGTTGCATATACTAAACTATACGCTTTCACGTGGGTTTCAGTGACGTCGACGTAGACGCGTCCGGACTCGCTTCTCTCAGTTGGCTGGTGCCGAAAGTCACTTCATGGACGGTCGGCAATCTTCGCTGCAAGGCTGTTCCCGTGTTGGAGAAGCACATCGTTGAGGCGTTCAATTACGCAATCGAAGCTCGACAAAGCCGGAAAAGCGCGAGCGCTGACGAGGACAGCGCCATGTTTTGGAAGGGCATGTTCGTGGCGCATTAGACTTTTAAGTTTTTGCATTTTTGTTTCGATATCGGGTCAATAAAAACTGGTTTCGGAATAGAATTTTGTTCATTTCTTTCATTCTTATTCATTTCATTTTTACCCCCCGAACGTTCTCTTATGTTACTTTAAGGGAAGACACGAGGTAAATTTCTTCTGATCATTCTTGCTATTTAAATGAAATTTTTTTAATTATTAATTATTATTTATTATTGCGGCTTTTGTATGAGACGAGATGTTACGGGTTTCGAGGATGTATTTACAACCGAATAAAAAGTTCTCGCGCTTAGAGATGGTTATCTGCGGTGTACCGCAGGGCACTGTACTTGGGCCGCCGTTGTTCTCTAATTATATGCACTTGTCCAGCAGTCAGTACTGTGTTATATTAAAAAATAGATTTCTTTTTCAAAAAAACGTCCACAGGCTACTCTAATACTATTTACAAAACTTATGTTGGCTTCTTCAGAGCTTGACTGAAACTGTTCATGATTAGCGAAACGTTAGCAAATTCGACTCAACAACAACCGATGCAGGAGGAATCCAGATGTTTTGTAAATAGTAAACAACAATGAAACATAGCTACGGGACTAGAGGGAGGTGTACTTATATCACATGTTCAAAGACAAGTGGCCAGCATACAAGTAATTATTTTGCACCGAGACCACATAATGTTTCCGGATGATACTGCTGCTATAAATACATTTAACAATTTGAGATAGCTGTTGATGGTGGCAGATAAATTGCCAAAGACCTCAAGGACTTAAATGTTAAATATAACTTTTAATGTGTGTATCTATCGATCTTGAGAACATATTAATTTTTGTTTTCCGTTTAAATTATAGTCTATTTTGTTGATTTTTATTTTCAAAAAACGTCTCACATGAAGCGTCACTTCGGTCACGGTTATGTTGTTTCAGAACCCCCTTTGTTTATCTACTGTTGTATTTTGTATCAATTATCCTGAATTTTTCGGAGAGTTGTTTAACATATATGCTGCCTGGTATTGCGACACTAAAACACTTCTGTTAATATTAAAAAATTCAACGTTACCAATGTTTATATCTATACCTTACATGTCTCGATTTGTAACGGGGGCACGGGACTTATGTGACATTCGTCGATAAAATATCGTTTATCGCGATAAAAGTCTGCGTCGCCTGATATTTTTGGGGTGGAAAATTGATAAAACCAATTTTCCTCGTACACCCGGCATAATGAAGCCTCCGTCGATGGGGAACCAGACGTGACAAAAGCGGCGCTCCGTCATTTAATGGCTTTCCAAATGACCGGGCATGAAAAAACCGAAGCGATTAAACCACAGATACGAGCTGGGCACATATAATGGCCGACATTGAATGTTTACATTAAAAACAGATCCTAACCTTCACTGGCGCAACGGCATACACATTTAACTATAACTCAGAATAGTTTTACACGCTTTCAAACTATTCAGTTTGTCAAAACAATTAAAAGTATTCAACCAACATAAAAGCAACCACAACCGTCATAATAAATATGTCCCAGAAAAACTCTCAAACTGAATTTCAATCTAGCTATACTAGCCACAATTTTGTTATTTTAAATATCCGCAACCATTCGAGCATAGACCCATTCTTCTTCTTCGCTTCTCACAAACAGTTGGGTAGGTCTACTATGGCCATTCGCCCATTACCGTCGAGGAAATTTTTGTTTTAGTCACATCTGACCTTTAACCGGCGTGTATGGCCGGCAGCACTTAAGGCAACGAGGTTAAACAAACGGAATTGCGGAGAGTGCTGATTCCAGTGACAAATATATTCTTCTCTCCATTTGCCGGTCGTGCGTGGAGAACAGTTTTCCGTATTAAGTTTTAATCCGAATATGAATGCACACTTCTACAATTTTAAATACTCATGCAGGAACTGGAAATTTAATTAAAAAACGGCTATATTTCGAAGTGCCCTCTAAAATAAATTCGCAACTTGTTTACTGGTGAAATTTGCAATATAAATTTACTGCCGATATTTAAATACACGCGGAGGCCGGCCTCGCGAGGGTTGTTTCAGCGACGATCAAATTAATCGAACTCCGGCGTTAAAATAAAGCCACCCATACAGGGTGGCCCAAAGCTTAGGTTGTTGAGCGGGTTTAACGCTACATCAATGAAATTTGGGGGATTTTATGAGATCCTTGTTTGGCCGTGATTATGCAGTAGTCACAAAAAAAATGGCGGACTAACTAACAGATTACAAATTCAAGAGAGTAACATTGTTCCTTGCCTGCACAAACATCTATACGTTTAATTAGAACTCTAGCTTTCGTTTTCTTGTCTGCCCACTCTGTTTACTTTGGTCCATCGAAATTGGTTTTCGTTTGTTTGCTCGAACATTAATTCCGTTAATGTAATGAGCAAATTGTGTCGTGTTTACTCGCCCTAATCGTATAAAATACTGTCTTGAGTGTTCGCGTTCTCTAAATATCGATAAGGAACCTCTTCCTCTTCATACTGATCCTCCACAGTATATCCGGTCAATGTCCCATGTCTGTTCATAGATATAAGAAAGTGACTAACTGATACGAATTACAGGAAAGACCCGGGCAAGCTGTAAGAATGAAATAAGACCGAACAGGTCCTTACTTCGCTTAGAATTTACTTATTGGGGGTTTTGTTAGGAAAGATACTAAACAATATTTGTTAATTTATATATGTATTTATGTTTACTTAAATTACTTAAAAATAATCACATAATATATCAGTATCACTATCGCTATCATCGCCTGTTCTAATTATTTTTTTTCTATATTATTTGCAATATGGATATACGATTGTTCTGCTTGTTCCATATGTTTAAAAGAATTTGGACACTGGAGTTAACACGACGAATGGCATATTTCAGTTGGTGCCAAACATGTTCAATGGGATTAAATATACAATGGTAAGGTGGAAGCCTTAAAACCGTATGCCCTTGATTTTTTGCATAATTATCACAGACGTATTCCTTTTGCTCTGTAGAACCTCAATTAATTCCTTTTTGATATGATCTTCGTGAAAATAAATGTCGTTATTATACATATAGTTTTGGATTGTTGCTTTTGTGTCACATGAGGAAGGGGTTTTAGTCAACTTAATCTTGTTGCATTGTATGTTAATGACCACCTTTGGATAATCCCATTCAAAAGCAATTCGTCACTTTCTTATATCTATGAACAGACCATATCTGTGTTCTCCGATGATATTAAGTAATATTAAATTTGTTTTATTATTTTTAATAATCTTAGGTACTCAGGATATTTTTTTTAGTTTTCCCAGTTTTTCCATTTTACTGTAGGGGTTGCGCCCCCTAGCGGCCATTTTATGAACTTGAAAATAATTTCCAGCTTTTTATCTCGGCCGGTTTGCTGAATGCTGAGAATTGGTACGGCACGGGAATGTCGAGTTGGTTGCCTAATGATTATCAAGACCTTCTCGCGACGCTTTACAATAGCGCAAATAATCACCACAACGATAATTAACATTCGTAACGAGATTCTCGCGAAGGAAAGGAACAACCGCGCGTTGTGGGTTGCCGCGGTAATTCCAAGTGAAAGTAATATATGTTTCGTCGACACCGAGCAATCTGCTTTCGCGGAGAATATACAAGACCGTTGAAGCTTTTATGTTTCGTTTAAATGGCGACTCAAAATACGCAGAAAAATTCTATTTGAAAAAGAATCAGATTCAAGTTAGGTCGGTAATAAGACAGTGCCACAATATTCGAGTAAAAGGAAAATCGGTTTTAATTTCCATTCGTTCATTTGTACAGGGTGTAAATTACGAGTATACGAGGGCTGCCCCTTATATTTCGGGATTTGTAATAAAAAACTATAAGCTACCAACAAATATGATTTTATCGTTCCTCAGATTACTCACCCGGATGATCAATACACTTTTTCATTCTATAAAGCCAATCATCAACACAGAAAAACACATTTTTGACCGCAATTTTCATACTTTACATACAGCCACAAAAAGTAGAAATGTCATTTCTCGGTATATATAGTAGCAGGTAGTTTGTAAATATTACATTTGATAAAGACATGGTGTTGTCGAAACAATTATCATGTGAAAATATATAATTTATGAAATTTAAATCAATCAGTTAATACTTTATAAACTTTGTGACTAGAAAAGTCCTGAATATTACACTTTAAGTGTAAAACGTTCAGATTAAAGCTGTTCAAATAAATACCTTCATATTTAAAAGTATTTATTGGGAGAGCCTATCCAAGTATCCCTTATAAAATTTAAATCTTTCGCCATTTCATTAGCGAGACGCATTTGCATAAACGGCCGTTCAAATTTGCTGCCGCGTTTCAAATTAGCCTTTTCGCAATGACGAAAGACGACGGATTTATCGCTCAAACATAACGGTAATCGGGATATTGCACGCCAGCGCCCCCAACCGCCCACCGTCCTCTTTACTTTTCATTAGCGGAGGAACCGACCAATCTATCTCGACTAATTAAAAACAACGACATTCTCGGGCAGTTCGGCGCAGGTCCGGCCTAAGTAATGTGAGTTACAGAACTGTAAAATTTTGTTTTTGAAATTGCTTTTCCTCTATGCCACTCAAACTACTGAACTACTGAGCCCGAATGGGACTCATCAGATGATGAAACCCTGGAATTCAAAAGAAGAAGTATGCTTTCTGCAAAACGACAGGCTTGCTTCTACTGTCAAATGGAAGAAAGGTCAGATTGAGTACACTCACACTCTTATATCCGATGAATTTAGATCACGTGAGGAACTGAAAAATAGGCTTTCTGGAAAAACTACGCTTGAAATATTTTTTGTTTTTTGATGACGAAATCTTACATTGCTTTGAGACTTTTAAAAACTGATAAAACAATTACTCAAAGAAATCTTGCACCTGCCATAGATGAAGTGTGTTATGATAATCAAGGTCACCTCATGATTGTTCATGCTACTAAAGCCCGAAGGAGATGTAGAATCTGCCGCAGCCACACAATTTACGTTTGTAATAAGTGTAATGTGCATTTACATACTTCATGCTTTGTAAAATATTAAAAAAAATT